GGATTCGCTGGTCGTCACCGACCCAACTACTAATCCAGCGCTTCGCAGCTTGACGATGGGGGAGCGGACGGGACCCCGTATTCTCTACGAGCTTTGGTCGTATGTGAAAGGCTAGAGAGTAAATAGTGAATATATTCCTCGGTGGGAGAGGCCAAAATTATCATGATGCCTAGCATGGGGTTGTCAGAACAATTGATCCCCAAAAGTTCAAGAAATGAAATAATTCGGTTCCTGTCTAGAGCAACACTTAAACTACTTTATTTTTAGCAGCTCAAATTATAGAGGACAGTTCTTCGGTTACCTGCCTGCCTGGTTGAAGCAGTAATACTTTTCTATTGCTCTTTCCCTCGCAGTTAATGATTAAGCCGATCACATGACTTCGCGATTCCATTTTTCCACTTTACGCGTCTACCAGGAACACCACGTCCCCTGTTCAACTCCACCCTAGGGACTCCTTGTAACTCTGCGTCATTCATTCATTGTCTTCTTACACGACTTCTTCCATTTATGGGCACATTAAACCTCCAAATCTCGTAGATTTCCTGCATCAGTCACATTCAGTACCTGGCAATCTGAGACAAAATGGTCGCCGGATGGCAACGATTAAACGAAAGGAAGACGCAACCAAATCCCAATATTGTCTTTATCAAGCCTTTAGAAGGTCCTGATAAGAAGATTGCCCAGGATTTTCTCGAAAGAATAGCTGCACAATGTCGTGAGTTTTCTCTCGCTCAAAATCCGGATCGCCACTAAGTTTGGTCATGTTAGGCCCCATTATGAAAGAACACCATCTCTACGTCACTTCTCTTGAAGAATACGAACCAAATCGTGAATTCGTCGGACGCAACTTCAATGCAGGAGAAGTCGTCCAGCTTGTTCTCAAATCGCCAAGCACTGGCCGTTGGCTTCCATTCAACTATGTTCAGATGGTCATGATGCATGAGCTAGCGCACTGCAAGCAGATGAACCATTCACGCGCATTCTGGGCTGTACGAAACTCATACGCATCTCAAATGCACGAGCTTTGGTCTAAAAAGTACACTGGGGATGGCCTCTGGGGAAGAGGGGCTAATCTTTCTACTGGCGAGTGGGAGAAGAACACTGTTCTCGCTGATGAGGTTCTGCCTGAGCATCTCTGTGGAGGTACATACAGATCACGGCGCAAAAGAAAGGTCAAACCTCAGTTGTCTTATCAAGAGAGAAAGGAAAGGAGGATTTTGAAGAAGTTTGGCGCAAATGGAGTTGCCCTTGGCGCGGATGAAGTGGAAAAGGTCAAGTTGGAAAGCGGGAAAAAGATTCAAGCGAAACCTCGAGTTGCTGGAAGCATGAGAGGACGTGAGCTCCGAGCAGCTGCAGCCCTTGCTCGCTTCGAAAAGCAAAAAGAAGAACCAGACCCCATTAAGTATGACGACGAGACGGAATTTGGCAGCGATAGCGACTTTGAAGATGAGCCAGGAGAGGATTCGAAAGATGCCATTGATGTTGATGGAAAGAAACTACTAGACGGAAAGGGTCGTGGAATGGTACGGGTTTGTGAAGATGAGGACACCGATGATCCCGGAGCCAGAGATGAGACTCAGGAGCTTCAGAGGATGATCAGAGGTATCAAAAGAGAATCACCCGAACCGGAGATATCGGAAGTACTGCAAAGGCCAAACCCTCAAGCCCAAAAGAAGCAATCACAACCAGCAATATCCGTCACGAAGATCAAATCAGAGTCATCCAAAGAGCCTGAACGACCTAAAATAACAATCACACCAAGGTCTACCAACATCAAAGACGCTACAAACGCTACAAAAGAACCGCAAATGGAATCTTCAACAACAGCAACAGAATTGGATTCCGTGAATGACCAGTCAGTTCCCACTGGGACGTGCTCAATGTGTTCGTACGTCAACCCTAGCCTAGTTCTTACATGCGCGATGTGCGCCAATGTGCTGGATTCCTCAGCTCCTGGTTCGTGGCAGTGTTCGAGTGACGCCTGTCAGACCACGCAGTACCGCAACGCCAGCGATTGCGGGGTGTGTGGGTTGTGTGGGAAGCGAAAAGGGGATGCTATGTAAGACAAACATGGGATTATAATGTATTTACATTGCTGCAGTATGGAGTCTTTCCTGTATGAGAAGGGTCATACTGGGACACCCGTTGATGAGTATTACAGAAGTCACAAGTAATGCCATGTTCCATCTTGAACATGACCTAAGGCTTAGCCTAAACTCGCACAAAGTATCCTCTAAATTCTTTTGTCTCTTATGATCTTGTTGATGAAGCGGGCTAGAGTTTACAGACTTGGAATGGCATTGCACACGAGTCAGTATTCTTCTCTTCAGATTGGATGACTAGGGGATAGTTTATGATGGTTCAATCAAGGTGCAATTGTTGGAAAGATCAGTCTCATTGCTTATCCTAGAGTCTTGATGACCACACAAGATTCGCTTCTATGAGGGATCAAGAGGACTTTCTTTAATTACAAGATTAAGCCTCCCATATCACGTCACGCCCAGTCCAACTACTCATCCCTTCGGCGTCCTTTCTTAGCACATGTCGGTCATGTTGCTATGCGGCGCTTGTTCGGAAGTGACCTACGATTTGTGAGTGCTATCACTCTAGCAGCTACACTTCTGTCCTACCAGTCTGGCCGGTGGTGTACTTGTTCAAGAGTACAACTTGCTAGCGCAGCCAAGTATGGCGAGGCCTTGCGCGTGGGGACTGTTGGTGCGATCTTGATGCCCGATCGAGTGGGTTGATCTAGGGCTACTTTTTGGGCGAATTGAACGGGGGGATCTGCGCATGTTAGCAGCAGTCACTTACATGTGGGCTCAGGTCAAGGCGGTTGTTTTGTTGCAAGTTGTCAGATCAATGGATAGTTAGAACGCTGAAAGTCTGTCGAAGATAAGGCGAACTCGGTTAGGTGAAGGAAAGGCGGTTGAGGGCAAAATGGCGTTGAGAACGTTGTTAAAGAGCGAAAACAGGAGGTAGCTGCGCGAAGGATAGCGGGCCGGCTGTCCGGTACAAGTCTTGTTGATACTTCATGCAGGTAGGAGGCAACCGATGGATGGTTCAAGTGCAAGGTCAGGTCAAGATAGGAGCAGACAACCCACGCGACGTGGGGAAGAACATGCACGCCATTTTGGGAACAAAAGCGGTGAGTATCACTAAAGAACAGAAGAGGAAGACATATCACAAATGAGAAGTAGTAAAGGAAAGACAAAGCTGAAGAAGACAGTCAAGCCGCGCCGTAGGAAAAGAGAAAACAGATGAAGAAGGAGCTGAAGAGAAAGGGAAGAGAAGAGAAAAGAAGGGGAGGAAAAGGAATGGAGGGAGGCAAGAAATGGGCAATGACAGGAGCCAGCCAAATTCCAACCACCAACAAACAAACATAACCTTACTTTAGCTGTGTTTATGTAGAACAGTCACCATTGGATGACTTGAATCAGATCGACATGCTTCAACGAGGTCCAGACCGTTCAGAACATGGGTGGGCTTGATGTTGACGACGCTGTCCCCCACCACCAGGAACATACAGTACCATTTAGATAAGTCTATCACCGTGCAGCATGCGAATTCACCCTTCGTCTAATGGGCTGTAAGATGCAGCATTGTGGATAACATCCATCCATCCTGTCTGTCTTTTCTGGCACTTACCTTGGCAATCAAATTTGATAGGCAAGTCATTGCCGCTACCAAGCTCGCGAATCTCTTGGTGGTGTGGTTAGCTAAGATTGACAGAAGCTATCAAGACTGATTGTGAAAAATGTCCGTATGTGCAGAGATAAGAATACTGTCAAGGAAATCGCTGTAGCCCAGATGCTAGGACAAACAAGCATTGTGGTCCACGGAGATCCTGCTAAGAACCACCGAACTCAGTCGGTAGTCATTGATCAACAAAACCATGTCAGGGAGGATTGGGTGAGTCGCATCAACAACACATTACGAGTTGAAGAGGGTGTCGAGGGTTAGGAAAACCTGCCCAAAACAGTCCAAGACAGGTTGTCGAGGTCAAGCCAAGGGCACCAATGCATCTCAGCGGCCGAGGATGCCGTGAACCGGTCGCGGGAGCATGTGTACAGACGCGGGGTAAGAATCCCAGTTCATGATTGGCTGCTGAGGAGATAGTTTAGGAGATTTAGACCAGGGCCTCTTTGCTTGGCTTTCTCAGTTTGGGGCATGGGTTTTTAACTGTGCGTACTCTGAGTTCAGTCCTCCCGAATAACGTGGCATTTGTGGAATCTCAGAGGCTAACAATTTATAGCACGAGGTGGGCTTGTTATTGTTGCTGTTAACTGCGACACACCAGGTTGTGGCCAGTCATACAGCTGAAGGTAAAACAGAACATGAGAAAGGTAAACTGCAAAAGTGTCAGTCATCATGTATAACGGATATCGAGAGGTGCCGGAACAGGACCAAGCATGCAACAAAGGATGGAGATATTCATCAACATACCTTAAACTGTGGCTGTTACAAATCCCCAGCCCAAATGCCAAACGAAATGGAAAGGTTGCAGCAAGCATTGCCAGCAGCATTACCAATGCCGGGAAATGAACGACATGGTGATATGATGACGACTCTGCCGCGCACCGTATCATCGTGTCAAATCTCCCGAGAGGTGCTGATCATGTCTTCGTTGTTCGAGGTTACATACCACCATTATCTTAGCATCACAACCGTCACTTGATCTGAAATGCTAGGCGCTAAGAATGAGCCAGACGCCAGGCCGTGCGCGATTCAAGGTTTGAAGAGAGTCATGTCAAGGGAAGCGAGGTGTGCTTCGCTGCCAATGGCTTGGGAAGGATTGGATGGAGATACAACAGTCGAGGTGTCAACTAATAACGAACCCAAATCGCACAGGAGATGGGGGGATTTCTCCACCCTCAAAAGCTGAGCTAAGGTGAATGCCGATTATGGTGTTTCGTTTCTGTGTTTGAGTTACGTCGCGTATCATCATGGTCTTCGATCTCATTCCCACCATTGTTGAAGACGTTTACGTGCTAGATCAGCACTTGCTCATCTGACGAAGGTGACTCTGCCTGCTCCCAAGAGTTGCACTGTCTCGAGGGTTTCGTCTGAGTATCTTCGGCCATCTTTCACTCTCGAGTCTTATCTTCAATCATGACCAAAATTGCATATGTAACTAGCTGGTGGCTAGCTAGTGGGGAGATCAATCGTAGGATAGTAATTGGCTACTCGGCCGTCTATCGGTGTATCCTCAAACACGAGAAGATTAAGGTTGAGGATGTTTCCCATGCCTGTTCAACATTTGCTGCATCTCGTTGACTGAGAAACTGTACCTGGGCGGCAAAGCCTCAGCCCCCAGGATAAAATTGCTTGTGAGTTTGTCTTTGAAAGATGGCTGAATTGGCGTCTCAACTCGAATTACCCCGCAAAAAAAGCAAACCGTCATTTGGGGGTGACGTCGATGCCAGGTGGTAATGGATCGTTTACGCTGTGGATACTGCAGGGTGCCCTATGAGGCGCCTTTTCCGCTCTAGGATTGGCTTCTCGGGGCGGTCCCTTTGCAGACCCGTTTTCTCCGCAGTCGGCCAGACAGCGCTAGTAAAGGCACCGCTCAGACAAGCCCATGCTTGAAGCCGCAGATGCCGGGGAGGAATCTAGACATTGAGCACAGAGCCCTAGGCAGGGACCATCGAGGTCCACCGTGCCCTTAGCCGCTGTAGGAGCAACAGCCCGTGCAGCACGACGCTGAAAGTTCAAAGTGGCGGTTCGTTCGTATTGCACCCTGAATTCGATCTCCCCATGGTTTCGTTGCTGGGTTGTCGGACCACAGTCATAGGGAGTGGTCAGTCGCTGGTAGCTGACGTGTAAACCGCCTTCAATTCTCTGACAGCTTGTCAAGGGCAATAGTAGCTTTGACGAGGAGAATAGTCATCGTGGTTGATGCGGTGGAATTACACGTGAAAGACAGAGATGTGGAATATTGAAATGTTTGATAAGCACGAGGAAGGCACCAGCCAGTGCTATTTTGGGTTGTAGAGCTAGGCAGTGGCATTCCGTCAACGCTACAGAGCCATTCCTTCCCATCTTCCTCTTCGTTACCGCTTTGGTACGGTACTTTCCTATCAACATTGGTCGAGCTCTGGTCCATGGGACCTTCCGAGATGACCATGCAACAGCATCATGGAAGGAATGATTACATGAGAAAAGGAAAGAAGTACCTATGTAGACTTTGGTGAGTCTTTGTCTCATACCAGAATCAATGTTCACTCAACGTATTTACCCTCCCTCAACGAAACATGATGGAAAGACAGATCGCCGTTTTTGCATTGTGTGGGTTAGCATTTACGACATTCACCTGCTTGTCCACGTCAGATCTGTCAATCTTTGTCACGGAGTCTCGGAGCGTGTGTCGATAGCGATAGGCAAGGAGTTGCGGATTCTCACACAGCCTTCTCAGTTGAGCATTACACAAACAAGGGGTCCGAGTCGGGAACTCGAGTCGAGTTGACGGGCCCCGATGGTACATAGACTCAACAATATTTGGATATCAACACCAACATATGCTCGATAAGCCAAGATGCATAGTGGCTGTTAGCCTCAAAATTCGAGATGAGCAGACAGAAACGAGATGAGAGACAAGGGTTCAACCCCAGACATAGAGAAGGATTCGATTTGATTCAGTTCAACTCAGACCCTCCACAATGGACCCTGTGGCATTACTGTGCAGTGTGGATGCAGTAGCAACCTAGCGACCCCAGGTCCCCCAACCCTCCTCGATTGGATGAGTTGACCAACCATGGGCCCGATTTCGGGGGGGAGTCTCCACTCGGGAGCCACTACGTCACTCGGGCCCCGGACGCAATCTGCCCTTCCCCTCCATCTGGGAAGGAAGGAAGGTCTCACCCGCCCGTTCTCAGAGAATCAAACAATCTCAAAGCTAGCCGCGCTTGCATGTACCGGCGTCAGCTTGAGGGGAGGAAGACCCATTTCGAATGCTCCCCCAACTTTGAACTTACTTGCTGCGAATAAGACAAGCTGTACTGTAGATTCGACCCTGGTCAATTCCTTGTTGTAGAGGCTCCTGTGTTAGGTTGCCATCCTCTATTCTCAATCTCATCTTATCCATTTCATTTCACTATTCTTCCGCCGGTCTCGCTCATCTTTCATGTCGCCGCCCCCTCTAACGTTGGCCTAGAAGAACGCCTCTTACCTAAACCGGCAACGGCGATCTCTCATCACCACCTGGCCTCCACTGTTAGCCTGTCTCTGCTTCTACCGTACTCCCATTGTTTTAGAGTTGATCAACCCCCAATTCGTCTTCGTTCATCGCTCACAGACTGCACTGTCCGTTCGTCTTTATCAACCCCTCGATCCCCCCGTTTCCATCTCGCCTTTCTAAACTCTTTCTTCTCTTCTTCTCCTTTCTTCCTCTTTACTCATTCCCTCATCTCTTCTTTGTTTTTAACTTTACAAGGCATTAGCAGTCCACAAATTCTCTAAAACACCATCATCCCACTACCGGCTTTACGTGTAACGCTGTTTGTGCCATCGTCGAACCACTCTGGCGCCACTGCTACGCATATCTCCCCATTCTTCACCGTTACCAAAACTATAACTACCAACGACGAAAGTCGTTAATTAGTTGCCCATCATGTCCGCAGACACTGCTCCCGCTCCTCCCAACGGTAACAACAACGGCGAAATGTATACACGCAACAGACGGGGATCCATCACTCAGGCCGCTCTGACCAATCTTTTCCAGAGAGGCAACTCGATTCCCAACGGCAATGGCTTCCCTGGACAGTCTTCTGGTCCGGTCGACACTGGCCGCCGACGCCTTTCTGTGACCACTCTTGGCCTCTCGGGCACCTCGCCCACAAATACATCTTCCTTCATTCGTCGAGGAAGCATGTCCACCAACTCCAACAATTCCGACTCCATTGACGAGAGTGCTATCGAGGATGACGACATGTACTCCAAGACTGCACCCACTACACCATTTGTCCGACGAATGAGCTTTGGTACTGCCAATATGCGCAACATGCGTCCCAACGGCAGCCCTGGAAATGGTAATAGCCCATCCTCTCCTCCAGCTTCTCAGAATGGGCGCCCCGTCCCAGGTGGGCGGAAGGCGTCGCTCGTGGGCTCCCCTGGTCAAGGGTCAAGCCTCGCGGCAGCTTTGTCTGCTGGACGTCGCCCAAGCCTCGCTTCTTCTGTTTCACAGGCAAGCAACACCAAACATACAAGAGCCCCATCTGACAATTATGTTCTGCGCCCAGACCAGCAAGGTTTCAACTGGTCCGAGCAGCTTAGGTCTCGTGCCGAGAGCTCCGTCGTAGGTGCTCCTCGCGCTTCCTTCTCGCTCGCCTCCTCCTCTCCGCCACGAGGTTCTATTCACGATCGGGCAAAGTCCGTTTCCGAGATGCCTCAGCCCCCTGTTCAAGCTTCTTCCGTCAAGCAGCAGCAGCCCAAGCAGCCTGAGCGGCCCAAGCCTGATGCTTTCCAGGAGAGAATTCTCAAGGGTGATTTCTACATGGACTGAGTGCGTTCTTGCCTCACGCCATTCCACCCGGATATGATGACGATGATAATGATGATACCAACAATGACGACCCGCCCACCTTACCGCAACTGTCCGACGATCTTAATAGCCGTCTGATCCCTTTCACCCGTCGGATGCACTACGCAATGTTGTTCCTGATATGGTTACCATTTCCAGCCAATTTCCCTTGAAGGAGATCTCTCGCTAAACACATGGCTGGAATTTTATGCTTTTTATGTGTTTTGCAAGCAAGTCTTTTTTGAGCTGTTGTACTAGGCAAATGCGAAACCGAACACAAAACATGCACGCTGCATCGAATTCACTCAAGGCGCAAAGGGAGTGGTTAAGGTTGATATGATACAAGACGTTGAAAGTTCGGTGGAAGAGGATACTTCGAATTAAGATAAATCACAACAATAGCGAGCATGGGGAGTTTTTGGACTTTGTGAAGATGATGGCGTTTTGGGTTCCGTGTATGAGCACAATGATGCCATGCATGTGTAACAACTGGCAAACAGGCGGAGGTGTTGTACAAAGTGGCAAGATGGCCAAAGTTGCTTCAGAGGCTATGGAACGTCGGGTATTGGGACACTATGACGGTGATAGCTACAAACTTTTGGGCCCAATCCCGAACATGGGATGATGGGGTCGGAAGAGGGCTCAGAGCCATGAGGGTATTCAGTGCCGAAGGATGAAGTAGGCCGCAACTAGAATGAATGGGAACTGGTCTTTGCTACCATGGAAGTTTGTTTTGGTTGGTCAGTGTTGTGAAGGAGATGCCAAATTGCCTGTTCAGAGATTCTGTATAAGTTACAGGATAGTATACCCAAAATAAAGCAACACTTTGAAGGGGTTACATTACTTCAACCCCTCAAGAAACATGGCGCGTTGATCGTACGTTCCTGGGATTCCGTCTTGCTTTCCCGAACTCGGCGCGTAACAATGCATACGAATATCGTCTCATTTTGTTGTATTTTTTCACAAGTTCACGACTCATGTCTCCGCTGGTATGCAAGGCTTGCAGTCGTGCAATGCGTATCAGCGGGTACTTCTAGCCATGCAGCTGTGAGTGACTTGCATGCCGCAGGACGGAGGGTGTATTCCGGGAGATGATTGCCAGATGCAGATGAAACCTTTGACTTTTACAGTAACATTCCCCCTTGCCCATGCATGTGGACCACGGCTTATATGTAGATTCGGGAAAATGAGTAGATTCAACGGCACTTGGTCTGGCCAATAGTTAGGGATGGGAATAAGCTTGATAGGACATAGGACACTGGATGAGTAGAATAGTGGTCTGATCAGCATTTGAAGAATTAGCCACTAAAAGCCTAAGAGACGAAATGATTTAGGCGCCTTAGGGATAATTGTTTTTAGTATCATAAACCTTGAAGCATAATTCTTCTGCTTTCGGTGGCCCAGGTCCCGTATATGCGTGAATGATCATATGGAGGACTATGGATTCTAATGGGGAAATGGTGATGGAAAGACGAGAGAAGGATAAGAGAAGAAAACACATTCAAAGTTTCGTTCTTATCATAAATGCAGTATAATGGAAATTGACTTAGATTCTGCTGAAGGAAACCCTCTTTTTAGGCTTGATTTATACAATGATTTGAATGGTCATCATATCTTACGTGTCATATTATCTATATACTCGATGAACGCTAGGCTTTCTTTACAACTTGGAATCATCTACCTCCTTATCCTCGCCAAAGATGTTGAGGAATGAAATGTGTACCTCGTCAGTCAAGTCACTCGCCTGCAGACTGCGGCCCTTCTTGGCAAAGGCTAGTCGAGAGCACTCCTATAAGCCGTGTTAGAATCGCACCCTTGAATAATGAAGGGGTACTCACTCTTGTAATAGCAGAGCCACCGAACGCTGCCAATCCAACCAGCTCATGCTCGTCAATTGGGTTCTTGCCAACATCCCAAAGACGCTCCATGTAGGCATTTCTCCATCCAAGGAATGTAGCGATGGATCCAGTCAGAGTATCTCCCTGTCCACCACTTCGCTTCTTACCACCCTCAAGGTCGACCGTCAATGTTGTCTCGCCATTGGAGATGTAGTCCTTTGCACCCTTCTGAACGACCGTAACACCCTTGAGAGTCTTGGCCAGAGCCTCAACGCGGGCAGTCTCAGGGGCATTATCGTCGACCTTGACCTTGAGAGCCTCACACAGCTTGCCGAACTCGACGACGTTGGGTGTTAGCACAATACCGTTGTAACCGCTGACGAGTTCGGGTTGCTTATGAACGATCGCCAGCGCATCGGCGTCCAGAACAATAGGAAGACCTTGGTCGCGAGCAGCCTTGATGACCAATGCGACGGTTTGATGCATCAGTGGGTCACGGCCCAGACCAGGTCCGATGACGAGGACATGGAGTCGAGGAAGTAGGTCCTTGATCTGAGAAGCGATGTGCTCAGCGTTGGACTCGTGTTCCTTGGATGCGTTCCAAGCGGCAGGCTCATCTTCCTTCTTGGCGTTTTCGCTCTGGCGCATCAGAGGGTGAACCATGAGGTTTGGTGAGTATGACTTGATGACGGTCGCAGCGGCAGGCGTGCAAATGACATGGGACTAATAGAGTTAGACAATATTCATAATTCAAATACAGAGATTCATACCAAATCAGCTCCCAGTCTGGCACTTGCCATGGCTGAGAAGTATGGCGCGCCTGTGTAGTTCTCGCTTCCACCGATGACGGCGACTCTTCCAAGCTGGCCTGTTATCGCGTCAGTTTCATTGATTGTCCACAATGATTGCTCTTTGGTTACAAACCCTTGTGAAACTTCTCCAGCATGGGAGGAATCATTCGCTGAACCTTTGAAATAACATCTTTTGTAGCAGCAGACATTTTGGGGCCTGAATCCTGAGCCGACATTGCAGGAATGATGTGATGTGAGGTGAAGTCGAAGCTGTGACGTTGCGGGGTTGTCGAGTTGACTGGGGGTTTTGAGTAGCAGAGTTGAAGAAACAATAAAGTATGAGGAGAATGAAGCTCAAAAGATTGATTGTATGAGAAGTTTTGAACCTGATAAAACTGGATTCAGATCAATCGATCGATGCAAACAAATCGATGAGGTATTGCCTCCGCGGCGTTACCAGTTATGATGTCACTTTATGATGAGAGAGCTTTTGACCTCAACGTCTTTGACTACCTATGAGCCTCTTATGCTGTACGACCAACACAATGGTAGCAACAAATAACAGAATCAAACCAGAATGAGTTTAAGAACTTTTTTTTAGGATTGCTAATTGTCGATGAGACTCAGTTGCTAAGCAATTGAATTATCTCAAGATTGACAACAAGAATGCAATTGAATATCGTCATGCAATCAATTTGCTTTTATAAAACCACAATTATATTGGGACTTGGATATGGCTAGCATGTATCCTCATTCTCAGACACTTGGAAGGAGACTAGGACAATTCGATGAAGTGAGATCCATGCTCGATTGTGTTGTCTTTCTGTGGAATTGCCAATTCCATCCAAACGTTTACTTAGACAACTGCTTTACTCTCAAACGGACCGGACAATCATATGCCGATCAACACTTTAGAACACAAATAACTTACTCAGCTCTATATACTAGGTCTAAGAAGGTATATAACTATGAAATACCGAGACTAAGGATTGGTTTACTGTACCACTTCTGAGCTCAGATCGTCTAAAAAAGATGTCAACATATTGGGGGTTTCCTCTTGAATTGGATTGCCCAAACTTAACAGGGTTTGTCTCCTGATAGTCAGGTAACAAGGTAATCTAGTTTATCGGTCGTCATGTTTTTCAATGATCTGGTTGCTTCTCAACGAATAGTGACAAATGCTGGCCATGGTCAAAGCAATTCGATTGTTGTAACAGTTTATTTTCAAGTGGTACCTGGCTCAGCGAGCAGATCATCGCAGCCTAGACTCATGAATGATAATGTAACATATGATTATAATCACCTCAGGTTTTTCTATATGAACCGCTCATATCCCCCCGATCTGGTCCTTGATCCGACCGAATACATGACTTAGTTTCCTTTCCCTCTCCTTGTACTTTACTACATGTATATATGTGTATATATGGATGTATTTAGAGGTTGCGGTCCTTCATTGACCCTGGCCGCCTCGTCATTCTTTAAGCCTGTGTCCATTGCCCTCGGTTTCTCCGATGCATCTACTCAGAAAGTTTGTCTATATTTGCGCTTATATCTTCTTCATCCGTCAACGATACCGGGCGTCAGCTATATAACATGAGGAATTATTTTCTTCTTCAACTACCAAATGAACATTGCAGTCTCGTTGTTCTTTGGACTTAGTATAAATATACGCACTCCCATCCCTTCGTTCTTTGGCCCTTCTATCATGCACTATTGTCCTCGCTCGATCGGTGGGTAAGTTGCTTTTAACTTTGCGCTCACTTCATACTATCTAACAATTACTAGCTAGGCCCGTGATAAGGCCCGCGAATGTTGGGCGGTTTGGGGACGGTATCGCCGAGTCGTCCACATGGTGCCCCTATTCCCACCGAAAGGTTCTAAGGAAGGCGGCCAGAAGACAACTTCTCGTCTATATAAAAGCAAATCTAGCCTCATTCGCACAACTAAGGATGCAAATGAAGCGCAGGATGCATACTTGACACCTACGGGAACACTGCCCTCCAATCCAAGGTTGGATCCAACACTAAGCCTCAGCCCAAGGCCCTGTTTAAGCCGTCTGAATCGCGAATATCTACTCCTAGTATAGAGAGAAAACTGCAAATTGAAAATGGTGTAGGAAAAGATGACAGGAGTGAGGGGGGAGAAAAGGCGTTAGAGTCAAAAGCATGTAAACCGAAACCACATATAGAATCGATAAAGGCAGCTATTACGGTATAAAAAAATTAAACAATAAAAAAAACATGCCTAATTAAAGTCTCATTCTTGTCCTCTGGTCTAAGGCTTAGGATAATAAAATAAAGTAGCCTAAGTGCTTCTCTAAACTTTTAAAAGATAAGCTAAATTATTTTATCCCATCCTCTCGGCAGTCAATTCTTGATACTGTGACGATGGCCTGATACACCTTGAATACATCATTTATTCATGAATTTGACAATATACCATCAAGATAATCTAAGACAAGAACATTCAATCTTCCCTAACTCCTCAAATAACACTCTTTCTCATACCCTAGATTCAGCCGTGAAGTGAAATCAAGTCATTAATCATAATACAAATTCATCAAACCGTTTCCGCTTATCCAAGTCGCTCACTATCATCGATAGTACTCGCGCTCACGATCCGTGATTCGGAGTCGCATATGCTCATCCTCGATCATCCGTCTAGGTGGTGATGGAGGTGAATACTGCTGGCGTCGAGTTCCTTCGACGTAACGGAAAGTCTCGTAGCGAGGCTCAACTTGAACGGGCACCGGAACTGGCACAAATCTCTCACGCTCAATCACACGCTCCCTGTCGTGATCGTACGAAGAACGGTGGCTGTGGCTGCTTCGAGAGCGAGACTTGGGCTTCTTCTTTTTCTTGTGATGCGGTTCAACATCGACAGCGATGACCTCGATAGGCTCCTCGGGAGGCGGAGAGCAAGGTCTTGGTGGCTCAACAACGGGCGGAGGTGGTGGCGGCTTGGGCTTGGGCTTCTCAACCGGAGGTGGAGGAGGAGGACAAGGTGTTGGTGGTGGTGGCTCGAAAACGGGCGGAGGCGGAGGCGGGCAAAACTGTGGAGGAGGTGGTGGTGGCAGCGGAGGCCTGATAACAACAGGCGGCGGAGGAGGAGGTGAAGGTGTTCTTCGCGGAGGTGGAACAATGCGCGTTGTGCGATGACTGACAACGGCATAATCCTCCTCTGGGTGCTGAATGTAGAGTCGCTTCTTCTCGTAGGGTTTGGTGACTATTGCGATGACGTCAGTGACGGTTGACTTTGCGACCCGGGATACACGGCAAGGTGCAGCGCAAGAGACATAACATACCCATTTTGGCGGTTGATAGAGCGATGGGATAGATGGAATGAGATGCAGTTACCCGCAATGCGAATGCGACGGACAAAGAAACCCAACAGCGATTGATGGGGAACAACTCGATGTTGATCAGAGTGGGGGTGATTGCTCAGAGCAGATCACGATGGGTAAAGTTAAGTGGGATTCACTTTTGAGGATGGATGGATGGATGACAGTTAACGGGCGGTTTGAACGGGAACGGCGATCTTATGTATAAAGTGAAATGAGAGTGATTAGGCTGCAACAGGTGATTGATCGAGGAAAGACAAAGAGAGGAAGAGGTATTAAGCTTCCATGGTTTGTTCTAACCCAACTTGACCCAACCAATAACCACCAATAAACCCAAAGTCTAAGCCATCAGCCAAGTTCAAAGCCACTAACAATTTATTTCTACCTTGGAAAGAGGGACTGGACGCTTTCAACTTTGGCAGTTACGGCCTGGTCACAGGATCATGACGTCGCACATGCGCAACCCTCATGCACGTCAGCCCCCGCCTTCCAACAACCAGAACCAGTAACCACAAGAAACCAGCTTTTTAGGCAGGGGCTTAGAGGATACACTAACAGTGTTCTAGACCCCTGGACCCTGGGAAAGAAAAAGAAAGAAAGAAGTTCAAAAACACAAGCGATGCAGGGCTGAGCTTGTCTTGTTAGGCTGGATTGACCGTTGGGAGAAAACGCTGTAGAACCTTGGTCGAATAAGACTGTAACGTTGTGTCATTCTTGACTTGAAAAACAAATAAAATTTTATTCAAGGCTGTGGACTGGCTTAAGCGAGGTGGTATTGGAACTTGATCATGAATACGGTATCGAGAGCCTAACCTTGAAAATACAATACGACATTCAACCAATGATGCCCCAGTGGAATATTCCAAGGCCAAAGGCCCCGGGAGCGGCCGAAGCCGTTCATCCGAACGGAGCCCCGAGACTCGGGTTTAGTGGGTCCCTCTTCCGCCCCGACGCCGACTCTCATTCTCAACAATCCCGTTTCACGGCCCGGAGGAACTTTTTGGTTCAAGGGTTCAGTCCAGGCCTCGGCTTCCTAGTCATGAATTATCACAATCTTACTTAGCAGCTTGTCATGGCGATCACCACTTCCACCGTCTCCTGAAACCGGCTTTAGCTCTATAGACCCCTGAACGCCAGCAAGTGTTCAGGGGTGATAAGACCCTCCGTCCACCGGGGGTTACAAATCCGATGGAATACGATGTTGAGGATGGCTAATACTAAGTTTAACTTGGAGGACAAATAGAATCTGGAGGCGAAGTTGTGAAGCATGAAGTGAGGGCACTGTCACTGGCAGATTCAGATTCGTAGAAGCTATGGCATCTGGTGGTCAACTCGGGTTTCATGGAGCCTGCTTCAGGTTGTTCTATATCAATAATAGTTGCGGTGAATGTCCTAAAACACCATATAGTATCCGTATCGCGAGTTGGATAGGCCTCTCGCCGAAAATAGTGTCAAATGTTGACCAGCGATGATGTCGAGTGAGTCGCAAGTTGAACGATGATCGTACACCGGATGGACCATCGTCGCGTGTTTCAGTGACAGTCAGACGACCAACTTCTCAAAATAACCGCATCAACATCCGTGATCCATCCGACTCAGGTTGATGGTTTAACTGTCATAGATCGGGTGAAGGCATTGTGAAGGCAAACTATCTCTGACTATAACAACATCATAGGCAATGATTTCCCATGATAGTAGGGAATGTGAGAAAGCCGGTTGTATCAAAAGAATAGTTGATACCTATCCCAAACCGAAGACCAGAATTATCGTACGATTATTGCAGAATACCCTAAATCGATAGTGGGATAAGTATGGATGTCATCGAGTAGACCAGCCTTCGGATTAGTGGGAGATTCAGACACCTGAGATAGTGAAACACTTGACAAGAGAATACATCGACCTAGTCGCGCAGAGATCGTCAACAACACATTGATCCAGACCTGCATTCTCATATCAGACAGAACAAGCATCTTTTGCCCACATTACGATGCTATCAAAGCACCCACGGAGTTTGCACCGCGATGCGGTTACCGTCCGTCCACAGCCGCGACCTTACCCTGTAACGGGTAGGCCCGCCGCGCTGGGAGGGGAAAAAAATAAGGGTTCTTCACAACAGCCCGAATCAAGGGACCAAACGAAGAGCACGTTTGTTGACTTAATTACGCGAATGATTAAAATTTAATGACTGCTACCGCGCTAGAAAAGAAGAAGAAACGTGGAGAATATTTCTTGCATTTTTGCGGGCGGAGTCGCGCTGATCGAAATCAACCGCATGTAACAGCGCAAGGTTGCAGTAGATATCATGACACAGTGGACAGTCTTGAGTCTTCATGATGGCGGGAGAATATGCATAATTACAGGAGTCTTTTCGGCACGCGTTGGTTGACATGGGTGTTGTAGTTTAATCCATGGACAAACACGGCTCTGAATGGCTGTTGTTACTGTCACATATGAGCATCACACCGCTTTACGAGTATGATATGAGAGTTGGCCTATCTGAAGATTAAGAGGTTTGATTTAATTGCTCGATATTCAAACATTGACTTGTAGCCGATATTTGGCCATTGTGTTCTTTTCCTCTCATAATAGCAGAGATTGGGTCTTGTCTGACTACAACTCACCCTTGAGACTCAGACTATAGATCAATACAATGAAGCCGCTATACAAAAACCATTCAAGCTATCAGCTATGTATCCACGTGGGTCTCGGGAATTCAAAGTCAGAGCTGAAAAAAGACTGCAATTCCCATACTCGGGATCCCTTTATCGTGACGAAAAGCCGACTTGGAGCATTGTCTTGGCACATCTCGCAGCGCAGCCCTTGAGACCAAGATCGTACATGTACCAATGACAAGATCCAGGAACACAGATCCCCGTTCCCGTTCCCAAGCCTCAATATGGAGCCGTCCTACCGTGGCAGTTCACAATCCAACCCTACGGAAGAATTTGTGAACAATCTGCGAGACATGCTCTGAGCGGCCACTGACGGATGTGTCTCAGTCTTGAGCTGCAAGGAAGAGGAGGATGGCATGCGTTGAAGATGTTGCCATGGCCCCTATTGTCCGTGTCTGCATGTCTGTCTGTATCTGGTAAATGTTGCTGTAGTTCATGGATAGACAGGGACGGAAGGGAGTCAGGACGGTTTTGTGTGAGCAATTACCCTTTCTCTTGCATATGCAGCTTGGCATTTGGCACGGATGTGACGCTTCCAGCGTGGCTTGCATTTGATAGATCAAATGACTGCAGTGTTTGTGTACAGTATACAGGGCTCCTACTACGTACCTTGATTGCCATACCACAAGGAAATGTCTTTGCTAAGAATATCTCAGCTGCTATAGCGTTACAAACCATCTTAGCCCGAAGCGCCTTGTGTTTCTCGTTTAAACCCCCAAAACAGAGCCGATATACAAGGAGTCTTGTCATCTGAAGCTCCTTCTGTGTCATGTCATGTCATCCATCTCTCGAATAAACTGGGTCTGGGCGGTTAGAAGCTGATTTGATTGATGACGACTGACAAGGATAGAGAAATGGATCTTCGGAGTCCGGGCCACTCGAGATGGCCAGATTGTACCTGCATAATGCTCGATACGCCATTGATATAGGACACACTTGCATATTAAGACTATATCGAAAGTTGACCTTCTGCTTTCGGGGACCTCAAAATGTAAGCGAGATGTATACGGATAGTAAAGGATTGCTTATGTACTGAAACGTGGAAGACCATGATTGATAATGACAGACTACAGCTTGCTTGCGGATACAAGTGGATATTCCATCCTTTTGCATTCTGATTCCGTCCAACAAATCTAAATTTCCATCTTTTCTTTTCTTTTTCTAGCTTTGTCCAGGTTTCGTGTGTTTTTGTCCAAGCCCCAAGAGCCCCAACCATCTGACCCCTTCTCGGCTGCTACATGACAGTCTATAGCGGTTAGACTCACCAACCCTTCGCCCTTGATCCCTGCAGTGGATTGTTTGACCGTGCTGGATTAAGCCCATTGCGGCTCTGATTGGAAGGGTGATCCTCGACTCTTTCAAGGGTGGCATATCCCATCCCTGCCATTGTGTAAGAGGAGCCCACATGAGGCTTGGCCGGTTGCAAACTGACAATGCCTTTTCAATCGAACAAGACAATTAGACAATTAATTAAAAGATTTTGGACAAAGGTTGAATCTTGACAATGGTGTGGACGATAATAGTCAGGAACACTTGAAACATAATCGAGATAATCAGAGTCGTCTCATCTCAATATGATCCAGCTTCATGGTAACTCATGGTAACAGCACTGCAACATTGCGCTTTGGCCGAAGAGGACGATCTTTCAAGATAGTGCCCTCCGATCTCAATCCCTTAGGTAGAGGCTTGAGCAAAGACCAGAAACCACCTCTTTTTACCCCTGACTAAAAGCCCACGCGTGAACCCAAGCTTCAGCACTAAAATAAAACGTTTAAAAAAAAAAAAGTCTTTGTCCACAGGCAAAAGTCAGGGACAAACAAAGTTAACTCTCGCAACGTCCCGTAGGTCCCGTGGCATTTTGCGTTCCAGTCGCGTTGCAGAGTGAACCCATGACTACTTACAGAGTAGTGAAGCGTCTTGGAAGGGAGAAATCATCCGTTAAAATTCTAGACCTTTGAAGCCCGTTTCTGTTTGAAACGACGATTCTCTGGAGTTGTAGTTTCGTTTGACATCGTCTTCAATATTAGAGAACCCTTTTTCAATGTCACGATATGACGATCATGACGATGAATCGATAGCAAAATTAAAATTCAATTCCCCGCAGCAGCCGCCCGCCTTCAACCTTGCATGGAAGGCAGGCCGGCCCTGAGTCAAGTCGAGTTAAGTTACTGTAGGAACTTGCATCGTAAAGTGGACGCTTGAGTGGCGTCTTCTAGTCGAGAGCGATTGACGATTTTCCAGTGGACAGGCTAAGCAGGGCGGAAGCCTCGTTTGCTAATTAGTAGGCGTTAGTGCGGGAAGCTGACCTGGATGCTGGGATTATTGTTACCTTGAGTAGGCTAATGGCTGAAGATAGTCAAGTGAAGTCAGAGTTCAAGTCAGACTACCCCCTTATTTCTTCAGTGGTCATTTATCCGGATGGGCAGTCATCTGAATGTGCCATGTGGTTGATAGCAATACTATCGCTCACATGTATCACCAGTATAGGCGCCTTGCACTGCACTCTTGTATGCTGTGCTGTAGGTGCAACAGTGATGGGTGAACATTTGCAAGGGCATCCTTCTGCTGTGTCAAGGGAAAAGGGTCCCTTGATCCTTGCCCTGTACTGTACAGTAGTCTGCTAGCAAGTATCATTCGGCGGAGACACCTCCGTTCGGTACTTTTTCTCTTTCTTTGTCGACATCAAAGATGACCTGGCCTGGCTCCATCTCGTCAGGTTCAATGGGAATGAACAAACGTTTGTTTGAACCAACTTTTCTTTTTTGCTTGAAACAGGGTCATAACGTAAGTATCCGTATTTCTAGAGATTGGTCGTGGACTTGTACGAGTGGGAATTAATAAAACCATTTGATGGTGAATGATTCAAGCAACCTGATCATCCATAACCTGGAAGGTACTGTAGTGGCCGTTTCTTGCCGTTTTTTCTCGCCCCCCTTTCCAGAATAGGTACTGGCTTTTACGAGGGCGGCACCTACTCTGGTTTGGTTCCATCGATAAACCATCAAATCAGCAAATCTCCCCCTCAAAAAGTCTGTCCATCTACTGTACTAAGCTACCACTCCTTTTCCTCTAGACTATCCGTAGTCTCCCATCATTCATTCTTTTCTGCTTTTCTTTTTGTTCCATTCAAAACCCTTACAGTACATACCTGCTCGTCCGTCCTACCGATCCGAAGCCGAACACCCCCCACGCCCGGCGCATATACTGCCTACAGTACGTACCTACCGACCGTCGACATTCGCTTCAACCTGTACCTGGTTCCTCCGCAAACGACATTCCCTGTCCTGTCCGCAGCCCGCTGTCTTTGCTCCATTCATTCCCATTCCCAACCCAAGCAAGGAAGCCAGCCAGAGCAAGGTGTCAGGTATCCTGTCTTGTCGTCCAGGGCAGCCTACCTTACCTAGCCTGGTGTCGCATAGCATAGTTATACTGGGCCAATCTTTTGCGATAGTCCAGTCGCTTCCCAGTCGCTCGCTTCAAAACCCTTTCCAACGGCACTGCATTACAACTCCACACCAAAAGTTGCTCTATTATACCCGTAATCCTTACCTTACTTTTTCCCAGTTCGTTCGTTTCCCGGTCCTGTTTCGCGCGCTACACTGTCTCACTCAGGCTTGTACATACTACACTGCACTGCTCTCTGCACAGTTAGTACTGTACTCTACTGCCGTAACGCGGTTACAGCTGCATGTAACGTTGGAGCTCGGACTAATTCCCACCGCAGTAACCGGCATCTCGAAACGCCTCACCTCGCCAGGCTCACCTCACCTCACATCAGCGTTCCGTGCCCTGTACGGTACTGCACCGCGACCCATTGGCCGATGCCCTATGGTGCATAACAACGCAAGGTAGCCCGGCGCACCATGCCACAACTTGCGCTCCAGAGCCAGAGCGTCGAAGCTTCTGTTGCTTCTGCTAATAACTCCGTCACTACTCCTATCGAATCCAACTTCCTCGATCGTGCTCGTTCACCTGTCGAAGTCCCCGTCGGCGATAGTCCTACCGTTGGTCGTGTCATTCGCGCAAGCCCAAGTCTTCCCTCATTCTCACTCGGTTCCTTGTCGCCAGGTTCTAGGTAAGCATTAGTCTACATGCTTTCAGCGTATTCATCCCAACTCCAAGCCCTCGCAAGCAACTGCATGCTTGACTGCTTGGATTATCTCCACCCACACCCCCCCCGGCCAGCGCTGGCCCCAGGCTTCTTCCTGGCCCCTTCATCACTTGTCTCTCACAATCTCTCCCCTCCACCACACATCTTTGCTTCTTGGCTTCTCGACCAGCAATTATCTTTCCTTCCTACCCCAGGTCGAGTGCTGTGCGAGGTTACCATTGTACTTCGAGCCTTCACCATACCTCCAACTTCGATCCCAGGAATACCTTGCGCTCTGCCGTGGAACCTTTTGCGCCACTTCTCTAACGCACTGCGACCACTAGATCTCCTCGACCAGCGATTTCGAGCCCACTTAAGACAGCTTCCAACTTTCCTTACGAACAAGCAAGTCCTAGTCCGCGAAGTACCACCTTTCCAAGTCGATCTACACCAACACCAACATACCGAACCAATACGGAGCCCGAAACTTCTTCGAGCCTCGTTAAAGAGACCTCGTTTCTTAGCGACTCCTCCGACGAAGGATCACCGGAACCACCTCTAAGCCCCAGGTTTGTTTTCCGACGGACGGCCACTAAAGCAGCTGCCACCAATATTCGAGCTTCACTCGTAAACTGACTTCCACCAGACAGGGCTATACAGGCAGTCCGAATGGGTTGCGAACCGTCTCCGAGCCTCTAAATTCGAAGCCTGCTACAGGCTCAGACTCGACCTTGTCTCCGACCATGGCTGGTCCGGTAGCTGCGGCCCAGGCCGAATCTTCCAGACTTACTCGAAATTCTTCTATTGACTCGGCCATCTCAGCAATTTCAACCAAGTCTGGTTCAAACACCAACACCGATGGCCAACATGGACCTTCAGAAATCGCCCACCTTGTTAAAACGGCGGGCAGTCCCGAAACCCTAATCCAATATTTGCTAAAGGAGAAGCATTCTCAGTCACAGCAAAATAGCCAGTTATGGCGCCTGGTGGATAAGCAACGAGCTATGATTCTGGGCCTTAACAAGGACCTTGAAAGAGCTCTAAAAGACAAGGAGAAGTACAGAAAGAAGCTAAAAGAGGTCATGTCGCTTCCATCAGCTCCGTTGTCATCAAACGATGACGCAAAAGAGCCCACGAAAGCACCTGCTCCCTCAGCCGCCGGGGCTGACTTACAGCGGGCCAAGGAGCAGACCATAACTCCAGAATCGCCTATTCTCGAAGCCGAAAGCCCAAGAAATTCGCCGATCGACATCTCCATGGCGCCTTATCCCATCACTCCACCAGCAGACCAGCTCAGTGCTCCACATTCAGCCGTTGGCGAGCTGTTAAACCCTGCGCATGCGATGCCCAAGCCCCAAGACCACGCTCTGGACAAATATGACCACGAGGCCGAGGAGCGCGCTGCGGACTTCGCACGGAAGGAGAAGTCGGGCAAGCTGGAGGAACCACTAAAGGAGATCCCCTACAACGTCTCTATCCCACCATCACGCAGCCTCCCAAGTGAACCGCCCAAGATGCCACCACCTATTCCTCCAGTGACACATCTCCCAACGGTCGCTGTTCTCGAGGCCACTCCTCAGCCTGATGAAGGCCTTTCCAAGTTTCCAGTGCCTCCACCAAGGAAACCACCACCTGCACCCTTGAAACTAAACAAGGAATTGAGAACACATCTAAGCCCCTCCCCCGAAGAAGAGGAAGAAACAGAATCCGATTATGACGACATCTTGGAAGTTGATGAGATTGTTAACGATCGCCGTGGACGCCGGAGAACCCGAGAAGAGGATGATCGAGATCGTGAAATTATTGCTATAAAGGAAGCTGCTGCACGTAGTGCGTCCAAGAAGAGCAAGTCGAGCAAATCTAGCCAGCCTGGATCCCCACGAGACACAGCCCAGGTCCCTGCACCAGAAGTCGGGACAGCCTCACTGGGAGAGATGCTAAGTACAATCAAGACCAGGGAAATCCCTGCGCCTTTGTTGAGCCCGGGCCTACCCGCAAGCCCCCGGCCTTCTAACTTCACTTCGCCGCCTTTGTCACCAAGATCGATACCGTTTCAAGCAGCACCTCTTTCTCCAAGACCACCTCGCCAACCTATTCCATTGCCGCCAAATACTCCGTTAGCAACACCTGCTACACATCCAGCGCGGGCATCCGAAAACAGCGTTGTTTCTGAAGGAGCGTCCCAAAGACCAGGCGCTGCGCAGCAAGAAGTCGGCCACGCGGACCAACCCACTCCCAGAATGTCAAGCCCTAACGAACGCACCGAGGTTTACAGGGGCTTGGTGACGGACGAGTACCCGGACCTCTTGCTGCCACCAAATGCGTTGCCCTCTATTAAGATTATGGTAGCGTCTTCTCGCATGAAGCCGTCTCGCGCGAGTATGATGTCCCTGACTCAACTCGAGGAAGACCCTGTTTTCACTCTTGCCATTATCTCGCGCTCTGACAATGGCGAGCTTTGGCGGATTGAAAAGGACTTGGCGTCGTTGACAAGACTTGATCAGCGACTGAAGCAGTGTGCGTCTTACACAGTGAGGGCACCTGACCGTTCTCTTTTCAGCGGTCATGCGCCAGCCAAGCTCGATGCTCGTAGGACGATCCTGGAGCAGTTCATGGACGACATTCTAGATATTCCTTTTGACACAAAGACTGCCATCGAACTCTGCAAGTACCTGTCATCTCACGTTCTACCACCTAACCTGGACGATGCAGCATCCTTGGGTGATTCAGGATCTGAAATTACCGGTAACAAGATTGGACCCGATGGACGACCTCGTCGTAGCGGCTACCTAACCAAGAAGGGCAAGAACTTCGGTGGTTGGAAAGCTAGGTACTTTGTCTTGAACGGACCACTGCTGAAGTACTTTGAAGTTCCTGGTGGCGCGCATTTGGGAACTATTAAGCTCCAGGGCGCACAGATTGGAAAGCAGAATCAGAACAGCGACAACCAGTCGCCAGCGCACGCCGCCAATGGCGACGAACTGGATAACCAGTTCCGTCACGCTTTCCTCATCCTGGAACCCAAGAAGAAGGATACCAGCAGCCATTTTAGACACGTCCTTTGTGCAGAAAGCGACAAAGAGCGAGATCTCTGGGTTGACGCTCTTATGCAATGGGTCGATTATCGCGACCCCGAAGACACTGAACCACCACTGACATCAAGAAGCGGCCACGCTCACGATCGTCAAACACCAGGTCATGACCACCGTACTGAGCATCGTACTGACCACCGTCTCGAACCTCCTCATTCCGGCAAAGTTCGCAAGGTGCCCAGAAAATCCTACCATCACCCCTCAGACTCCGATACGTTGGTTGGTGTTCGATATGATTCCACTCAAGCGGGAGATGCCCCCCAAGTCACTGGTCCCGCACGACCGAAGACTTCGGGTGGTCTCCCTGAAACACCCCATGCCCATGGATTCGACACCTTCTCTTCATCGCAGAACAAGCTTATCTCAGGTCCTAGGGATCCTCAGCCTATCTCAGACCTGGGTGCTTGGGGAAACAAGCCAAACCTCCCAACTGCCGATGAGAAGAAGGTAAGGAAGCGAAGCTTCTTCGGGTTTGGACCAAAGACTCGGTCCTCATCTGAAGGCCAAGACTCATTGTTTGGTGGCAGCGAGGGCGGCGCAAATGCGACACCTCCCCAGAACTCTTACCAAGGCCCCGTGCGACAAGCTTTCGGAGCACCACTGGGCGAGGCTGTTCGATATTGTTCTCCTACGGATGTGAACGTGCCTCTTCCGGCTGTTGTCTACCGATGTATCCAATATCTGGATTCTAAGAACGCTATTCTTGAAGAAGGAATCTTCCGTTTGAGTGGCTCTAACATCGTCATTAAACAGCTCCGAGAACGATTCAACACTGAAGGAGACATTAACCTGACCACTGATCGCCAATATTACGATATCCATGCAGTGGCTTCGTTGTTGAAGCTCTATCTGCGGGAGCTACCAACCACAATTCTTACTCGAGATCTACACAACGAATTCCTGACAACAATGGAGATTACCGACCATGCGGAGAAGATGTCAGCATTGGGCGAGCTGGTTCAGCGACTTCCTCAGGCCAATGCGACGCTGCTCAAGTATCTGATTGGCTTCTTGATCAAGATTATCAACAACGCGGATATGAACAAGATGACGGTCCGCAACGTTGGCATTGTCTTTTCACCGACCCTCAACATACCAGCACCAGTTTTCGCAATGTTCCTGCAGAACTATGAGGGTATCTTCGGCATCGACCCCGAGGTTTATGAGCTCCCCTCGCCCGTCTCCGAACCGGAACTACAGCGATTTGAGGCACCGCCACGATTTGACGTTTCTGCTCGTCCATCTACCGCTGGTAGTTCATCTCCCCATGGCCAGATGCGACCAAACGCGCAACGATCAACCCCTACGCCTCCCCTTCTTGTCAACAACGCCCCCATGCGATATTCACCCCCTTCAAGCGCATCCAGACCCGGCTACGACCCCTCAGCCGGCGCTTTTGATGGTGGCTACCGGCCACCTTCGGCAAACGATAGACGCATGCTGCAAGCCTCATATGAAGACCTCGGCAGTGCTTCCGCATCATATGATTCCATGCCAAGCAGCAGACGTCGCGAGAGTTCCATCTTCATGGGTGGCATGATGGGACCCCAGCACCAGGGATCGAAGAGCCGTTTGAGAGAGGAAACGCGGTTCTAATTGTATATGTGAATGGCTTTTTACGTCTTTTTGTTATTGCCACATACCCACTCGTTTCAACATGCGATGATACCATACATACCATACCGTTACTGTTACCACACTATTTCATGACGATTTATACTTTAATACCTTGCATATCGGAGTTTTTACTTAATGGCTTTTTGTGTTGGGTTGGATCTACTCTTTTCTTGATATATCGCCAACCAACATGGAATTGGACTCTTGGTTCGAAAGGCTTGGAGACAACTGCAGAATGGGAGAGAAATCGAGAGCGAGCCAGTTCATTCATATGAGAGACGGTTTGTGAAAGAACTTGAAGAATTGCAGGTGGAATGAGTATCGTCGATCTAGGCTCGAACATCATGGTCCTTTTTATTTTCTTCTACTTAGCATGGCGTTATGGATAGGTCATTTTATATAGGATATACTGAAATAACCCATTATCTCAAGTCTTGTTTCTTGTCAACGAACCCATCTATAAGATTGCATACTTGAACGTATTTCTACGTAATAATTCTTCAAGAAGCAGCTTTGCTCGGACATGGAATTCCGAGACTATTAATTCTCCGAACAGAAACGCCTTGTGGATCACGGAACCTACACTAGGCCTGCAAATCCGTGCCTAGCTAAGCTCGGCTCGACTAATAGACTGTAAAAAACAAATGATCTGGAAACATGCTTAGAGTAAGCATAAGCTGGTTTCTTTATTTTGTTCAATATGCTTCTAGCGGTCGGAATTCTCAACATCCCGAAAACCGTGTCGTGGTTTCAATCATCCTTGGAGCAACTTCCATCCGCCCAATGACATAGGCATTGAGACATTTTCGTATTTATAGTAGGGTTGATACTTGAATTACTTGTATCTATTCATTGACCAGCTGTCTTGTAATCATTTTACTCAATCCATCCTTACTTTCTTGACACCATATATCACATTCAGACCATATATCCATCATGGCCTTCTCACTCTACGACGCAACCATTGTTGAGGCCAAACTGGCCCTGGGCTCTCTATCACACATTCTCAAAGAAGCCCAAAAGCACCCCAACGCCGCCAAGTTCCCTGAAGCTCGTCTCTATGAAGACATGAACCCCCTGAGCTTCCAGGTCCACGCAGCTACTCGCTTCGCTGAGAAGCTTGTAGCAAGACTCTCAGGCCGTGAATCAGTCGAGTTTGAGGATGAGGTCGTCACATACGACGACATGCACTCGCGCATCGCTAAAGCACAAGAGCTGCTTGCAAAGGCTGATAAAGAGACTGTCAACCGTTGTGGAGAGGAGGTTGCGCCTACGGCGTTGCCATCTGCTGGAACGATGGATTTGACAGGCAAGGCTTTTGCTATGGGAGCGGCTGTGCCTAACATTAACTTCCACTTGTCGATGGCGTATGCTATCTTGAGAAAAGAGGGTGTTCCTCTTGGAAAGAGGGATTACATCACTGCTTTTGTTGGAGAGTATATTCTCAAGCAGTAGGTGCACTTGGGAAGCTGTCCCGGGTGAAATATATATGAGTGTGGAAGGAAATCGCCCTACTATACTCGATGTTAGATGTCCCGACTATGAGAACTTGGGAGATAGATACATCTTACAACTATAATAAAACATAACTGCAAATAAAGTGATATATGACTATGAATCCCGAATGTGCTCAAAGAAGTGTGAAAAAAACGATATCCGAACGCCCTTACTCGCTGCATTTACAAACATAATATTAAAAGTTCAAATTGGGGTTGTTAGTAGCAGGGTTGCCCTGGAACATGGAATTAAACCAAGGCTCCTCGAGAAAGATACGCATTCCATCCTCCCACATTCCCTGCGAACCTAAGCCCATACCCATGCCTTCCAAGTCCCAACCTGGGATGAAGTTGGGGAAGTCAAATATGTCGCCGTTATTGTTGTTGCCCATGCCATCAGCTGCAGACGGCAGGGATGGCATTACGGGCGCCATTGCGGCAGCCAGATCTGCTGAGAATGGCTCGTTGTAGTATGGCATGGAGCCGGTTGAGTTGGAAGCGTTATCAGAGTTATCGTGGAAGAAGGGCTGTGGAGCTTGTGGCATATTCGAGCCCCATCCTACTACCGATGGCCGGCTGGCTGAGGATTCCCGGTTGCGAGAGCCAGCACCGGTAGCGACTTCAGAGAGAAGCTGAAGGGGAGTATTGGCCGTTGAGGCGCGGTCTGACGGTTTGGATGACGGATTGTTGCCAGGAGTCGCCTGTTGCTGCTGTGAGGGTGATTGTCTGACTGAAGGTGGCGGAGGAGCCGGTTGGGATTCCTTGGCTTCAGACTTTGCTTGTTTGTAGAACCAGCTACGAAGCATAACAAGAACAACAAGGAACTTGGCGGCGGGTCGACAGCGGTCGTCTGCAGCGGTGGCACGGAACTTATCGAGAAGGCCATCAAGGTACTTGCCAACTTGCAAGTCTTCTTTGTTAATTACGCGACCAAGATCTGAACCTGTCGCCGATACTGTGAAGTAGAGCTTGATAAGCATAACGACAGCATAGGCAACGCGGACGAAGTTGAATACGGGTAGGGTTCGCACGCTGAAGACATCCATAGCAAGAAAGGTGCTGAGCATGTCCCTTATAGAGGCCAAACAAGTTGATACGGCACTGATGTATGCAGCGGACAGCTTGTCCCCGCCGACCAGACCGTTTTGTAGGTTGGCCGTTGAAAACGGCGGACGTAAACTCTCGGCACGAGACTGTAGCGCCACCTCATGCATGTATAAGTTTAGTACGCCAAAACTGATCAAAAGCGTTGCTATACAAGGTCAGTAGTAAGAACGACATTGGGAGGCTGATATTTAACTTACGTTGCAGCAGGTCCTGTGGAACTTTTTCTTTGTATTGTTTCAATTCTTGCTCAAGGCCCCTGAGAATGTATTGGGTCCTTGGATCGCTCATGTTGATATCTGTAGTCGGATCATCGAGGGAAAATTGTACGCCAACTTCTTCTGATAGATGATGTGCCCAAACAATATGGCAGAAATAAGCATCAGTCGGGGCAGCATCTGGCGATGATTGCAACAGTTGGAGACTCTCGTCCATAAAAGGAGTCCAGCGAATGAGATTGGGCCGATGCAATGCCATGGAAGTATTGGTTGCTAGGAAATAGCACGTCAGCCAAGTGCGTCGACTCTCCAGACTCGTCGAATCTGGAGGTGTCCATCGACGGTTCTGAGGCATAGGAGGTCCAGGGAGCGAGGCGCCTGGTGCAGGACGCCATGTATCGGGCATGACTAGTCCACGGCGCTGCTTGAACTTTTGACCGAGTCCAATATCGATGGCCATGACAGCTGACATGTGAACAAGCTGGTAGAACTTGAGCTCTTCAAAGTGCTCTGGCGGCCAGTACCAAATCACACCGACATTGATTGCCTGGACTAGTTCGAGACTCTTTTCACCTGAGAGTATCACCTTCTCGGCAAAGGTAAGCATCATCTCTTTTTGAAGAGTCTTTTGGAGAGCAGGCGACTCTGCGGACGCAACTGCCATGATGGCTAGAAACAATATTGGTTTAGTCTTTCGCAGCTCAGATGCTGTAAAGCCGGGCTGGAAGATGACAGCCGGAAGATGCGAGATCATATGGTCGTTGTATCGAGCAAACAGCTCGGTAGCCTTGTCCATAGTGATAATGCCACGCTCGACAATATCACCACCCTTTGCTCTAGTCAGATAAGCCGCCAGAGCCTCAGCCGGAGTTTCTTCAGCGCGTGGTTGCTCGACTGAGCCTTCGCGGCCGTCTGAGAACTTCCTCTTCTGTCCGATTGCTGGAGTATGATTCATCGTCGCAGTTGATCGAGCTGGAGATGCGCGCTCTGAGTTCTGTTCAGCTGCAGACGCCTGTGGCATGAGAGGTTGAGTCGATGCAAAGGAACCCCACGCAGGCGGATGAGTGGGCGGTCTCCAACTAGCATTATTGTGTGAAGCTCCAGGTAGGCTGGAGTCATTGGATGGCTTTGGAGTGACATTTCTGGGAGAGTCCGCAGTGCCGTGAGTTTGAGCTTGCGTATATGTCTGACCACCTACAGGTGCCGCCCTGGCCTGTAAACTTGCTGTCAAGGCATCAATCTTCTTTTCCAGCTCGGCGACTCTGCTGTCCGTCTTCTTCTGACGTTTGCGCGTTGGCATGGTCACGACGCAGTTCCTTCCGGCCTTCCGGCATCTTTTGCATGGCCCTTCATCATTAGGATCAGGTTCGCAGCGTACTTTCAATCCGCGACAAGCTTCACACGCCCGCGGTCGCTTAGGATCGTTTGCATCTCCATCATGTTCATCATGAAATTGCGACTGTTGATGCTGTGGCGTATCTCGATTTTCAGCTGATGCGCTAGGCGTGTTATCGGCGCTGTTGTGGTCATCATGCGCGTCGTGAGAATGAGAGAAGGGCATCAATGAGCCACTACCAGAAGACACATTATGACTCGGCGACGGTCTTGAGGTTTCGTCTGACCCAAAATTGGTTAGTGATGAGGCTCTATCGCCAGTTGCGCCAAGGCGAGGGTCAAGCTCCATCGGAGCTTGTTGCTTCAAGATGCCGGTCTTTTGATGATGCTATGGTGGAGGACGGCGATGTTTGTCGCCGACCCCGATACTTCCGGACGCTTATGGTGGATTAGTCAGCAAGTATCGGGGCATGACGTCCGCACCTCCGTACATATCGTCCTCGACCCAACATGATCACCAGGAAATAGAGAATTTGTGTAATTAAAGATCGATTCCGTATAAGCTAGAGTTTCTGAAATCATTATCTGCTAGCAATTTCACCATCCAGTTCTTCTGTGATGTGTCGTGACCAAAACAAACGTAAACCCATCCCCGATGTGCTTGTTCTGAGATGTCTTCTTTCCCTTAACATCTCCCTCGATGCAGAAGAAAGCTCAACGCCGAAGCCAGCCGCAACTGGCCCATATTGTCCAATAGTCCATCCCAAACACGTGAGCCTGCTATCTTGGCACCTCAATAGTCCTGAGACTTCAAGGCGCAACCTTGACAGCGCGGATCTCCACGGGATACCAAAGAAGGTCTGACCACGATTGTAGAAACTCCTCGATCGTTTTCTTTAAATCTTTCCAGGTATACTCCACGTTGTTGAAGAGTATCTTTTCTTCGTCGGTATTTCCAACATCGACAAAAGTTACGTCGCTATTGGGCAGAGGGGCGGGTTGCACCACGAAGATGAGGTTCCTCATCCTTGGAAATAGTCGGCCGTGAACTAAATCATGGAACAGTGTTTCCATCGATGAAAGATCGTGCGTCAAATTCACTGCAATATTCTCGAAATCGTGGACTGAATCGAAGCACCCGCGTATTTGTTGCCTCTAGCAACTTTGATAGGCCCTGTTCGTGTTCCAATAGATGATGTCGCGGGAAAACGACACCCAATGACCAAAGAGACGTCCATCTCGGATCCCTAGTGCGTACTTCATCTCACTGTGATATATCAGACGAGAGCGATTGCATGCTTCAGTAGAAGCCGGGGGCTTGCGAGGTATCACGGCTGGGTAGCAAATCCGTTTGCGATGACGCACGTATGGGGACCAACTGATACTGAATAAGTGCGGTTCAGAGTGCAGCCAAAAGATTCGTGGCTCTCGGAAAGACAATCTCCATATTCTTTGTTGTATCTCAACAGGAAGTTTCTTGAACCCGTGGAATGTAGTAGCAGGACAAGGCGGCGGTCGCACACCTGCTCGTGCTCCTGTGTTGTCAAGCTCAGCTCTGAGAGCAAAAACCTGACGGGCTGTTCGATTTGGTTAGCAGATGACCCTCTTCAGAGGTAGCCAGGGGAAGTGGTAAGTAGATATCCAGCAGGATGCGCAGACCGAAAGCTTAGCACTGGGCCTGCGGCGCTCCCTTCACCTTTGTAGCGGCCGACAGACTGAAGCCTTAGATCGGTGCCCCCAAAGATGGTCCCAGTTCCAAGATCAAGGCAGGTACTGACCGTCAGGTGTAGTGAAACTCATCTCCAGTTTCCCAGCTGGGAGCTGTGACTTGAGCTTCTGAAAGGCAGAGATCATAGCCTCAGAGATCAACGAGGTCTCTGGTGGTGATGACGACTCCATCTTGAGTGATGGCGATGGAGGTAGTTTTCAGAGTTCAGGGAGTAGGTGTAGGAGGAAGAGGGAAGAGAAGGGAGAGGGGGCTCAGGCTGCTAGGCATTCATTGCGCCCTGAATCTTGTAGAATAATTTCGACAATGTGATGCAGCTTGGACGTAGGGGGATGTGCTTCAAGCGAGCGAACAGTGGCTGCCAGCTGCCATGCACTGCAGTTCAGAATGAAAGATGTATTATCCGGGATGGGATTTTTGTAGCCTAGGTTCTATGCAAACAGAATTACCCTCTAAGACTTAGGTTACTATAATAAAGAAGCCTAACAGCTAGTCTAAGCTAGCATAAAGTGACCAAATAATTTCGTCTCTTATGCTTTTAGGGGCTAATTCTTCTGATACCTGGAGGGCTGCTTGATTCTAGAGATCCACGTATAATTACGCACTGGGATAGCTAAACAGATACATAATCTAATAGGTTGCGATCCATTATATCAGTCTACGGATTTAGAATACCTATGATGCACTGATTGCATAGGTAGCCTCAATATCGAATACTTTGCTTCCGCCTGACACAAACACTCGACAACCTCGCAAACCAGGCAACAAAGTGAACGAAAATGGCAAGGGAAATAATGAGATCAAGCATAAGATTACTTGGTTTTCTCAGTAAAATTTATCTACCGCACAAGCCTTTGTTGCCAAACAGTGCGGCAGTGCAGGTATCCGTTTCGAGCGCGAATCACGAAGAATCGGGCCTTCGAGTCGACGGACGGCTGGCAGCTGTTGACAGTCCTCGAGGATTCACTCTCAAAATTCCCAGTGTGACAAAGGTATCGCACAGAAATTGTTATTGTGCATAGGTGGTGCTCTCCTTGCACAGTCGTGCGCCCTTAACACGCGCTCGCCTGCCTGTAAACTGCTCACTGCCAAATCTCTGCATACCTTTATTCAAGATCTTTGGTATTTCTTTTCTTGATTTTCTTTCAGTATTCATCGTCATGGATAAAGCACCCATCGATGGGCGGTGTAAAAACAAAAACGCTGCTCTGCCGCCCATCAAACTCTTGCGCAAATCCGAGGCAGAAACGCCACCCAGCTTGCGACCGGCGTCGCCTCCTAAGAGTAATCCATGGAGTTCAACAAAGAAGACTCCGGCGGCCTCTCTCAAGGGCATGTTCCCGCCCCTGCCAAAACCTCAATCGCCATGGTCACCAGTCAAGACACCTACTGCCGAAGCATCTAGGGAGTCTTCCATATCGTTGAATGAGTCCCGCCTTGGAAACGACATCGCCCAACCTACGCCTTCGATCAGGTCAATTTCCCCTGTGTCCAATACTTCTTCCACGACTCGCCAGCTGTTTGAAGCTGCAGCGCCTCGAGCAACCGAGAAGTTAGCCAGCCTCCAAGTGCTGTTGGAAAACCGGAAGCTAACTTTTCACAGCCTTTGGAGAACCCCTTTTGGCGCTGATGTGCTGGTACGTACTGGTAACATACTCATCAAAGTGCATCGCAATATTGTGGTACCTCAATCAGGGTGGTTCCGCGACAACCTGCCACCACCAAATTTGGTAAGTGTTTACCACTTCAGACATATAATGAACGAACTGACAGTGTCAGGATGGAACCCCGGTCACGGTGGACCTACGATATGCCCCTGAAGCCGTCGCACACTGTTTGCGATATATCTACACTGGTAGTATGTCTTGCCCTTCGTCAGGGTGTCAGAAGAATTGTCCACCGAGAGCATAAGAGACGAAATAGCTTTGTTACTTTATGCTAAATTAGGTAGACGTTTAGGCTACTTTATTTCTGTACCCTAAGCTTTAGACAATTCTTCTGACACCCACCTGCCCTTGTGTCGCGCGAAGACATGAAATGACTGACAAGAGGGACAGGAATCGAGATCTGCGAGTTCGATACAACAAATCCTTGGCAGTCTTCACATATCCCACGCTGCGTCTTGGCTTACACTGCAGCTATATATCTGCGCATGGCCAGAATGGCAAACCATCTTCTCCGAGTGGTTGAAAACACTTCAATCGAGATTGCGACCATCATCCAAAGATACTACCTCCATCGAGACATAGACTGTTCCTCGTGGGTTCAGTTCTCATGGCACTACCAGACAGCATTGGAAGTTGTATTCAGAGGACAGCCTCAGAAACTAATGATGCCCATGAGGCTCGCGATGGCAAGCATTCTCGATGCCATGCTCTTTTGGCTCGCGCGGCAGCCACTCTTCGTCAGCGAGTTGAAGTCAGCCTGGTGGAAGATCTTGCAGATGAGCATGGCCGACATTGCTGAATACAAGCGTCTCTGCAGAAGTTCTGGCAGTTATAACAGTCCTTTGCCAACCGAGATGGCGCTGAGGGGGATGTTTGAAGAGACGAAGTCGGCGGAGGAGAGAATAGGGATCAAGTCAGTCGCAACACAAACCGGAGATGTCTCAGAGAGCACAGATTGCCAAGGTGATCCTCGGCACCATTTCCCTGTTCTTCACCGTACGAGGCGCGTTTCTCTATGAATTTCAGTCTATTGCTTGCTAGCGGAATCCATGGATACTGGATTTCCAAGGATCATTATGAGATCAGACGCGAATAAGGGGGGTGGTACGTTGTTAGAGGTCTGGCTATACTGAGGCTTTTGTGTAGACGTCTGCCGTAGAATCTTTACCACTTGGGACAAAAATTAGAAATTTGTTTGCTTTGCACAGATTAAGAAGTGAAGTTGAATATGATAGATCCAAGTTGGAGATCATTGGCTCATAGTCTTATAGCGGGTTGGTCCGCCGGGGGTAAGCGCTAACGTTGTGCCCCTGCTCAAGCTTACCTTTACGGCCAATAATGGAAGGAGGTACGAACGAAGGCGATCTCATCCACAAACTACAATTGACTGCCTAAATGAATCTCTTCATTAACAGGACAATGATGTCGTAAAGAACAGTAACGAATTCTAGTCTCTGTTGTGTGATTCATAATGTCTCCTTCACCTCCAGGCGATGGCCGTAGTCGCGTCCGATGGGGAGAAGTAGAAGAATATCCGGTCTGTTTACATTCACTAACAAACACTCTCTGGCACTCAACTCACGCCTTGACAGCTTCCTCGACCTGTGAGAGTTGCACCACGTCCAAGGCCCAGCTCCCGCTATGAACCAGCATCTAGGCCATATCCGCGAAGGTCCACGGATGATCATGTCGGCATGCGACGGATGGCTTACACAGAATCAGAATGGGAGATGCCTGCCACTAGACCACCACCCAGAGCATACACTGAGTCTCCGCGCCCAATTGAGAACGATAGCGACGATGAGAGGGAAGGGCCCAGGCCAGGACGATCCGGTCCTGGCATGAGAAGTAACAACAAAGTTTGTTACGTTGAAGCGAGTCCATCAATATCACCTGATCCCCAGTACAGAAGGCCTCGTTATAGTCCTACACACGACACATATCGCTTTCGCGAGACTTCCTCTTACCCCCACTCCCGTGCAGCTGACAGCGACTGGTACTCGAGACCAAGGGCAGACAGCTTCTCGAGTGACGACTTCGATCCATACGACAAATTCGATTTCTCTAGTCAGACTCAATCTATCGTCATTGAGTCGTCAAAGGGCGATGATTCTGACGCTGAAACCCCCGAGTCTGAAGAGCGTGTTACTCTTGCTAAGGATGAAAAAGGAGGCAAGACAAGCTCTCAGCTGGCTTTTGTTGATTCTTCGGTCTATACTGGTAACGCTGAGATGGGGAGCTCTCATACTGCGACCTTGAATGTGGTTCATGACTTGAACATGCAGAAACAGCCCCTATTCAGATGGCTGTAAGTCTCTTTAAATCTCGGCGTCGTTTAATGCTAATATCGGCCAGGCATGTCCCTCAGGATGTCATGAACTTTGAAGACTTCTGGGTAAATTGACGTCTAACAAAGATATGAACAATACACTGACTCATCGCCAGGTCGAGATTAGTCGCATCTCTGGGCTTACTGAACTAGAGAAAAAGGCCATCTCACGGCTTCGCGCAGACGTAAAAAAGAACTGTGTGAAAACAAGGACTAATCCCAAAGGTGCAAAAGTTGGTTACTTGGAGCCCAAATGCATTGAAGTACCCTTAAAATCACTCAAGCAGGAAGCACCAACTACAGAGATAGTCACTGGATCCGCGAGATGGATTTGTATACCCTACTTCTCACTTCAACAGTATTCAGGTCTACTCGCAGCTTCCAGTGCATCTGTATTTCCAGCTCAGACTTTGCTACAGTCTCAGTACTCAAGAAACACTGTGGCAAGGGATATGGAGCAGGCTGTCGTTCGACTAGGGAACGCAGGACGTGAAAAGTGCTTTCATGTATCCCAGTTATGGTGTGTCACAATTGACAACAGTAGGTCTTCTCTCTTTCTCTCTTCTACCTGGAGAGTCAATTACTGACGAAATTTGCCTGGACAGGCTTGATAGTGACGTGTGGCACAATGGCTCGAGAGGATCTGTTTGGTCAAAGCCTTGAGCTCAAAGAGCACCCTGCCCGTGCCATGTCAACAGAACAACAAGGGAAGATTCTAGTTGCGTATGGCGACTCAATTGTTTGGTGTTTCAATGTTGAAGAGTGCCAGACGTGGTTTGTAAGTCAGACCCAGCCCAGTCACACCTCATTCAGTGACATGTATAGCGTTGTTAGAGATGGTTTACATGATAGTGAGGACTAAATCTTCTCACGATGTCTTCAAAGCTATCCAAAGATTGTCAAAGGAGGGTTTAGGTTCCTCTAGATACAGACTGGTGCTTCGGCATGACAGTTCCGCAGTTCTTGAATCTATTCTTAACAGTATCTCTACTAACCAGGGGTTTGGCCTAGGCATTTCTGTCCAAGTTTCGGAGTTTTTGGCCTGAAATACCTGAATTCTGGCACAAAAGTCAAGCCGTCACCGCCGAGTTATGGCCCAAGGTTCTTAGGTTGGCTTCTAGCAAACGATCGACGTTGATCAAGCTTACCATGAAGCTTGGAACAGCGCCTGATCCTCCTCCGCGTGCTATTCTTCGTCCAGAACCCCATGTGTTGCCCACAACGCATGGAGGAAAGGGCAAGGTTAAGATCAATGATTTAGTCCACCTACTAGCATTACCAACAGGAGGTTCCAAGGGTGTCGATGCCCAGAACAGCGGATTCGAATTCTTAGAAGCCCAATTGAGTGCGGCTGAGTCTTTCTTGATAAGTGAGACGACTTTGTCGGAGCGCAAAGCATACAAAGCCTGTAAGGCGGGGAGTAGGTCCGAGTGCTATGCCTATCTAAGCGGGCTGTCTGGTCTAGTTGAGGAAACTGGAAGTGATACCATAAGACGGGCATATCAGGAGAAGGTTGACATATTCAATGCTGCCGACATCACTTACAGCTTCTTCATACCCCTGAATTTTGATGGTCCTATGATCGGCAAGTTCTGGGGGGCTGTTAGAACGCTCATCGAGGTCAGTTAGCTTACGATATTTGGAGAGAGATTGCTGACAATGAAAGCTTCCCTCGACTGATGGTGATTTCCTTCGCCCATCGTTTGATAACATCGCCGGAAATATTCGAACGTCACTCAGATACTTGACCCGAGATCTTTTTGCTCTCCAAAATATCCTCGCCTACTCCTCCAAAGAAGAGCGCACAGAGGTTGAACTGCCAACCGAGTTTTCCAAAGCCTGGCTTTATATCGTTATGGCTTTGGTATATAGCTCTAAAGAGGATCTCAAATGGGATAGTAGAATGAAAAGAGCGGAAACGCTCATTGATAAAGGGTCAAAGAAGCTTCTCCAAGGGCTTGGCGGGAGAAGCCTGTTGGATAAAGCTGCCGTGCTGCCGCTTGAGGTTCTTTCGCTTATCACGATGGGCTTGCTGCGGGATCAGGTTGGCAGGTCCGATGACATCTGTGACACTTACTCGCAATACCTTAACTCTCTGGTCAGTTATAGTGTCGGTTTTGTGATAAGTTACTGACATTAGCAGGAAAATGCAATTACATCGAAGCCTTCTGACAGATCATTCCAACACCGAATCGATCTAGTACAACAAGAGTTGATATCAGTAAACCGGACACTCGGCAAACAGAGATTACTCATCTCACGACTACGAAAATCTCTGACCGCCATTGACACTCACGATATTGTCATGAGTCAATTCGAACATGAGGCAGCGCTAAAAGATGCCGAGAGGCAACACAGCAGCAAACGGCACTATGCAGAGAGTGTCCCGCCACCCCCAACTTATGTCTCTCACCGAGCAGATGATGATTACTCACGAGTTGCCCCTATTAGCTATGCTCAGGAAATACCGGCGTACGACTACACGGGAGTTGATGATGACTTCCTCTTTGACATGACGTCGACTTCCAAGCTCTCGCCCACAGATGCAGGCGGTTTGCGTGGTCTTTTCTTTCTCGAGTGTACGCGGCTCATCGAGCAGCGCGAGTTTGAATTTCGACGGTTTACTGACTTTTCCAAAGATCTGGAGCGTGCTATAGCTTATAAGGTGGACTTTACACGCGATCGACAGGAGCGAGCTATTTATGCTTTCACTCTTGTCACTATCATCTTCTTGCCCATCAGTGCTGTTTCGAGCATATTCGGTATGAATACGACTGATGTAAGAGATATGCCTCACTCTCAGTGGCTATATTGGGCTGTCGCCATACCGTTGACGATCGTGGTCATTCTAATCGGGTTGTGGTTTATGGGAGAGTTAGGTAACCTATCTCGATGGTTACTCGGGCGACCGGGAAAGGGGGCATACGCTGAGCCAGTAACCATGTCCCAGCCGCTCATAACAGAAGACTGGACTTCAGTTCCTGCACAACCTTCGAATCGAATTGCAGAGTACTCGTCGCCGTATGAAATGGGGGGCATACGCAGAAGGGCGACACAAGATTATCATCCCCCAGGTCCGGGGCGGTCTTATCCGATGAGGGTTTCTAACGCTAGAGTCTATACTACGCGGAGATAGATGTATATTAGGTCCATGAATCTCTTAATACAATACCCTAATGTTCCAATACCAGGACCATAAAGAAGAGAATACCCTACTAAGAGCTGAACTAAATATTTCGTCTCTCAGGTATGCCATCAAAGTCTTGCTACCGGGGTCGATAGAAATGAGAACGGGGCTTACCCTTAGCTGGATACGATATATAACAATAGCATTGAACCGTTAACAAGAACGTTTACAAGGCTCGTACTTGACTATTCTTATATACCTATGTTAGTCCTTGAGATGTTGAATGTCGTGATTCAGCTTCCCATTGGCTGTATGACGCCAACCCCGGTATAACAATGACCCCTCCAGATCGATTTCTATTGGAGGGGCTCAACGTTTGGTCTAGAGAGGTAGGCAAGGTACAGTACAGTGCCTATTCCTGGCTGATAGGTTGTCTCTGCCACACCGTCATACCCCGTCAAACTCAACTGTCGCAAGATACCCATCATGTCGCAAAACGTCGTCTCGATAGCCTCAAAGGCCCAGTTCGACTCTCTTCTCAAGTCCTCGCGCATCGTTATCGCTGACTGTGAGTTTCCTCTCTCCCATGAAACAGTCAACAGACCGATACCCCGCCATCCCGCTTGCCCAGCTTGTCCTACCATGCGATCTACCGCTGGCCCTTTCGGATGACAGCACATGAACTCTCATGATAGACGCTAACGACTTCTCTAGTCTGGGCCGAGTGGTGCGGTCCTTGCCAGCAGATCGCTCCTGTCTACGAGAGCCTTGCTGAAGCGCTTTCGCGCCCCAACGTCGTCACCTTCGTCAAGGTCAACAGCGACAGCCAAACCGACCTCTCCCGAGAATACAGCATTTCCTCTCTGCCTACATTCCTCGTCTTCCGAGATGGAAAGCAAATCGACAAGGTCCAGGGTGCTGACCCTCAGAAGCTGAAGGGTATTGCCCAGAAGCTAGTATCTGAGGTGGAATCCCTTGGCGAGAGCTCCGGCTCCGGCTCAGGCAGCGGTGGTCCCAGCTGGAAGGGTGCCGAAATTCCTCGAGGCTACAGCGACATCACCGACCAAATAGAGCTGCGAGATCTCGAGGTTCTTAACGCCGATGAGGCTGCTGGAGGTGCCCGCGACCTTTTCGACGGCAAAAAGCCAAGCGGGCTTAGCAACGGCAAAGGAACAGCTAAGGATTACGTTCAAAGCGGTGCCGATGACCAGCTACTTGTCTTCATCCCTTTCCAGTCCATCGTCAAGCTTCACACTCTTCAGGCAAGTGTATTGGTTCTCTGTCGTCCAGCACTCTACTAACATGTATGTTACAGCTCACCTCTCTCCCTCCCAAGGACGACGAAGATGTGATGCGACCTGGCAACGTTCACCTATATATCAACCGCACCCATAACCTCGACTTTAGCGAAGCCGACGATACCGAGCCTACACAGGCCATCGAGATTGGCCCTGAGGACTGGAACGATGATGGAACAGTCAACCTGAGCCTCCGATACGTCAAGTTCCAGAAGACATCAAGTGTTGTCATTTACGTCCAGCAGGGTGAAGGCGATGGAGAGACCGTCCGTCTTGACCGAGTGCGACTCATTGGCGAGGCTGGAGCCAAGCGCGACATGGGCAAGCTCCAGAAGGTTGGAGACGAAGAATAAAGGATCAGCTGTTAGAACGGGACATTATGCTTTACAATGGAACTACGCGCCGATTGGGTGCGCAATGATTCATGTATACATGTCGAAATGGGCAATAGGAGTTAAGGAAAAGGCGATCCATGATATCATCATAACTCGGGTTAGATAATACACCACGGTCACATTTTAACCCATAACTGCACTATGTCCAATTCTACGCGCATCGTCTCAAACAATTTCAGACTAGTCAAGTCGCATATACATATCACGAGGTGAAGGTTTTGGTATGTCCTGCCTCCCAAACCACGGCTTCAGTGTGGTAGAACACCGAAGCCAACATTGGTAGGGCGGGCCTGCAATTTTGATTGATCTGGGGCATAACTGACGCTTCGATGACATCCACGGAGACAGGGATTCGAGCAACACGGGTATAAAATTTTCATGTTATGCCAGCCGCACGAAGAAGAAAAGAGAAAAGAAAAAGCGAAGCTTCAACAACGCGTTCGAGATTTTATGCTCCGTTGCTGCGGATCTTGGTCCGTGCGTCTTAGTAGTTCTGCGGCCAAAAATGCTTCCGGCTTCCGGGATAATCGGGGTCTAGGGTAGACTGCTGCGAAATGCTCAAATATTATCATGAAGTGAACATTGTTCTATGATCACCTACGAGCGAGAATGAGTTTCTTCCGTGAAACTCTACAGCGATAAGATGAGAGGTAGAAAGAGAAAGAAGCATCTCATGAGGAACGTGGGTAGTAGACAGCCTTCTAACTCTGTAAGGCTGTATCCTGCAAGACATAGACGAGTCATCCTAGCCGATATTGAAGCCGGTCAGATTATCCCCGAGAGTCATAGAACCAAGCTAAATTGGCGATCACGACCGTCGAGCTAAAGACGGTACCGATATCCCCGAGATCATATTATACGAAGCGTCAAATAGTAGTCCGAAAAGGGCAATTCAAACTAGTATCGTTTGTATTAAGTAAATTACACTATATATTGCGACTTAAGATAGCTTCTATCTAGCTTACAGTAGCAATTCGACTCTTCGTATCCAGATGATGGTCACCAAAAAGCGAAACGTACGTTTTGGCACAGACTAACGACTAGCTATGTGTCAGTCTTGAGTAAATATTATAGGTTTGACAAGTTTCTTCTCGCACCGTCAAAGCGAACGGGCACCCATTACCTTCGTCAGTAAAACTTCAAAGAACTCAATGTACACACCGAAGAGCCGAGGAGCGCTATACGCCATATCTAACCTAAGTTTTGGCCGGCAGATGAAATGAATACTACCCGAAGAACTATGCTAGAATATCGTGCACCGTCATACTGGTTCTCCAATCGCCTTCGGCAGTTGAGTCTCTCCATGGTGTTGTTTAATAACGGGATGCTGGAAAGTAGTACGGCTTTAATGGTAGCAGATATTAAGTCTGAGTTAGTAGACGTAGACCAGCCACAATTTGGGGGCTTATTGAAACCTCCAGTGAGGGTGTATAACCAGCAGAGCTAATTCTCAACCAATCGCTGTATTTCCGTCATCGTGAGGCATAGGCGACCGGTGCGGAATCTGTAGAATTAAGACGACCTTCGGGCTACTCTAGATGGGTCTAGGGGAACAAGCTTTCTTATACACCGACGGCCTGATAGATAGTGATGTTTGAGTCAAGCTAACAAGCTGAATCGTACACTACCAGGTGGGTATTAGAAGAAATATCCTCTAAGACTTAAGCTACAGAAATAAAGTAGCCTAAATGCTAACCTAAGTTAGCATAAGGTGATCAAATTATTTCGTCTCTTGTGCTCTCAGGGGCCAATTCTTATGATACCCTGAGGACTGCTATCTGCAGCTCTCCGTTTGGTCTCCCATCGGATTCGATCGCAGAGCTACGTTGCCTGCATAGACCGCTTGATCGACGGAGGTTACATATCCCCTACGTTGGTCGAGTCTCTTCAGAGTCGTGTGCTCATCTTCCTCTTCGAGTTAAGTCAACGGACCGGCAAGATTTCGACCGCATCTCTACCTACTCGTGCGTTGGATACAATGTCTCACTGGTGGAGAGAGGATCCGAGTTCCCGAGACTTCCACCATACGTCTAGCGGTGACAATGTGATCAATACATTCATCGAAATCGATCGTGCAGGCCGCCTGATCGTGGCCGATGGTTGGATTCGGGTCTTTCGGTCTCGAAGAATTCGGTATAGCTCCTGGATCATTAATGTCAACAAATAGATCATGTATCGTGTGAAACACTAGAACAATGTTAGCATGTTGGGTACGGGCTAAAGTTTGAACGGTGGAGGCGTAGCCCTGTGATGGAGTCTCGCTATCTCGTAAACGTTACAGATATGTGGCTTTGTATTGTCTTTCGTCTGTAGACTCCATAGCCAGCGAGTTGACAGTCGATGAAGATAGTCGGAGTTTCATCCACGCACCGTGTTGCCAATTATTTTTTTGTCGTACATCTCCGACCGTAGACAAAGACAGGTAGGCGTTAGAAGAATTATCCCCTAAGACTTAGACTACAGAAATAAAGTAGCCTAAATGCTAGCCTAAGGTGGTCAAATTATTTCGTCTCTTGTGCTCTTGGGGGCTAATTCTTATGACACCCTGAGGAAAGAGTAGCTATCGATACACTCTCCTACCGTTCCAGGTGATAGCCGTCCGAGCGTCTTCGAATCACTGGATAGTGTCAAAGCCCTTCGACAGACTTAGCATTTATTAGTCGCCGAGAGGAAATGGCCCGTGGAGTGCCCGTCGTGTCGGTAATACAGCTTGATGGCTACAGACTAGAGACGCCGGACACGAATGTCCAAAACTGTCATAGTGTAAAGAATATTCGCGTCTGTAGTCCTCTGACCTCCATTAGGCTGTGTCGTATCCATCTGCTATCGGGTTTATTGGGATGTTCGATATCGTCCGCGTGTCGTGTATAGAGTATTCGTCGTCCCTGTAAGCTTCGGCTAGAGAGTTGGTGATAGGCTTAGGAGAATCTAACGCCAAATCATCGTCGAGTTCGGCTTTGAAATGGATACGGTGACGGGCTCACCTGCAAGACGGTCAACAAATAGAGGGCGAGGTAGTGCTTGGTCGAATAGATGCCAACGTAGAGTGCGGAGGAGAATGTTATCTTTTGTCAGTATTTTTGCCGGCGCCTGCGTGAACGTACCTTCCAAATGGATAAAGTGAAGGTAGCAAGGGACGGACGAGCAATGAAGTGGGAATCCGTGCTCTGGGCGGCAAATTGGAGGAAACACCTGTCTGTTTCAACTGACTTTGGTCTGGCAGGACAGGCATAGTACTGTGATGGGCTATCCCAGCATTTAATGGTAATGGATAGCAAGAACTGCGATATCACCCCCTTTTAACGGCAATTGGACCCAAGTGAAGACCAAGAGTCTGATTCTCATGTCGACGTAGAAGGATGAAGCCGACAAGGCAGTATTCTAATCTTGTTTATCTTTTTATTGACACAGGCATATAAGGAGGAGAGAAACATGAAGTGAAGACACTCTCACAAAGGAATGTTTACTTGTCGTAATCAGGACCAACGTGCTCGGCGATCCGAAGATAAAGATTCGCAGATAGGGGTAATGTGAACGTGAAAATACCAAACTATGATAGCAACTAAATCCAGATGGAGTTATCCAACTGAGAAGGTAATCCTGCGATTAAAGACAATTGGCCAGATAAAGGCCGTTTGACTGAACAGAACAAAGAGGACAAAGCCAGGCGACTACCGTTTCGTTAACTTCCATCGCATGAGCATCGATTAAACATCACTTTGCACTCCTGACAGTAACAGAGCCAAGGCAGACATCGTCAACTCGTTGGGCAGTTTCTGTCTGCTATCAAGGTAGTCCTTTGAAGAAACCTAACCTGTTAATGCCAGATTATGAAGGCACTTGCACAGCGCACGGATAACCGGCAGGCAGAAGACAATAAGGAATTACAGCTCCCATAACGATCATCTCATCACCTTAATGTGGCTAACAGGACAAACTTACTGGTGTCTTGATTGAGCAATCAGAATGGGACTCATTAAGGCAACAGTAACTCGATGCTGGCTGCCAGCTTTGCTTCCTTCCCATCTTTCGAGAAAGGAAGGATCCTCTGTCCTCGTACCCAGGCAGCCATTCAAACGCAGGCTGCACCTTCCTTACCCAACTTTACTTATACAGTGACGACTCAAAATGCAAGGGTGCATGCGTAAACAGAAGGAACAAACATTCTGCAAACTCTGACTCATTGGATACCCCTTTATCCTCGCCCAGCCATTATCTCACTTGGAAGGCCTGGACTGCGGCAGAGAAGAGGAGATTGCTTGTTTTGTATACCCGAATGCATCCAAGTGTGCTGTCAACTATTCACCGGTACGGGTCCATCACCAACAATTCGTGCGCGACAAGAGGAAACAACACACGCTTAAGCTTTATGACCACTGGCTCCTTTGACTGTTTCGCGTTCTAGTTCTACGGTCCGGGAGACTTGGATCGCGGGAAACTCTTTTGGGTATTGCGTACAAGTTGAACTCGTGGGGGTAAAGGGGGCGAAGACACAGTCAAGCCTGCCACGGATCGTAGGATCCTTCATTCTTCGCCCGGGGGCGCTTAGGGTGAGAGAACCGCAACATTGATCCATAACAGTGACTCTCTTCTTCCCTTCCAGGCCGCTTCCCGAGTTGTGGAATACATGATGTGGGAATACGTCCTACCCTGCCCTGCTCTGACCGAGTCCCGATTGTGAGATGTGAGTACTCGACGCGCCGCACTCACTGTGAGGGATGATGGGATCCACAGACTTCATGCTCTCGACCATTTCAAAATCATGCTTCTCTGATTCTCCTACGCTACCAGGACTGTTGAGGGTGTATCGTGTACCCGTGCCCGGACGTTACAGACCCCTGGCCCCCTCGAGATGAGTGAGTGCATCGATGCTGCCCAAGACTTTGCCATATTGGAGACTGCAGTCCCTTTCCCTCATTAAGCGGTTGCTGAGGGTACTTCATACCCATGCCGAGGTGGATTTAATGACGGAGGATTCGCACCAAGTGGCCTTGCGGACGTCGTAGGGTTTAGCACAGGGATTATTTGCCCAACTCTCGTGTGGAGGTGTTAAGAAGCAACCCGAGTCTGTTGTTGAGAGACGTTGCGAACGTTCCGCAATCCAAGAGCGCAGCCGTGGTCCATGGGAACCACACCCAGTCCCGTATATCTCGAAGGCCATGAGAGATGCCACCCAGTCAGGTGGGTGTCAGAAGAATTGTTCTCTAAGGCTTGCGGTGCAGAAATAAAGTAGCCTAAACTATACCCTAAGTCAGCATAAGGTGACCAAAATATTTCATCTCTTATGCTCTCAGCGGCCAATTCTTCTGACACCCTGACGCCAGTGACTACACCGGTATGAAACCCGGCGCTGAAACTGCCTCACGTACCACATGTCATTACTATCGCAGCTCGATTCGTGGCTACCCCTTAGCGGTTGAGAACTTCGAGATGAGGGGACTTTGATGGATCCGTCTGTATCAGGAGATAATGAGAGTGACGACGTGAAGCTCAATCGTACGCCCGCCGATATTGAATAGAGGCGATACAAACAGCGATTCTCGAAATATGTTTACTCAACATCGTCGAGGCGTATACGAGACATGCTGCCAAGACTTTTCTCACTCCCAGGTCAAACGGACGAGCGAATTATGAAGAATAACGAGCCTACTACGGGATCAAGCTGGACGGGAGTTTCCAGCGCCACAAGACGCAAGTGCAAATTAAGATTCAGGTCAATTCTATCGGCGCACATCCAAGAAGGGGCAGACGACAGCAGTGTCAGGAGATCATTGGATTCTCAAGACATAAGAGATAATCACGATTGACGCTATCGCAAGCCCTGCCAAGTTAGGCCTTCCATGTGTACATGCGCGGAACAGTTGAACTAATGATCGGGATGTGGCCGTGGTGCGTGGTGACGGCCGTCGTCTCGGCCGATCCGGGCTAAATACAGGCGGCTCTAACCTCGTCTGGGCCAAGGATGCGAGCTACACCCTGTGATGAACCGCCCTGGTCGCCTCCGCCTAGGGCCTGTGAGACTTGACACCGGGCTGCGGGTATGTAGGGAGAGGGGAGATGAAGGCTAAAGTCTAGAGTCTAGAGCCTAAACTAACGGTGGGTTAAGAGGAGGCTTGCAGGTCTTGTGGGTTCGGTTAGGCAACTGGCAGTTTCCGAAATGAAAAAGCTTGGTATTCGGTAGTGTTGATGGGTGGCGTTCGGCATGCAGATGCATATGAACGGGAGACGGATGGCGTTTTCGAGAAGATAGTGAACCTATCATGGAAGTTTCAAGCGGCTGCAGCACAGAAACAAGTTGTCTCCTCGGTAGATGATCATGGCTAGGGCCGAATGCAACTGTCCATCCTATTTGGGATTTGGGAGTGTCAGCCATTGGTCGCGCTACGAATGCACTAGCTAGTGCCATGGAATGCTTGATGAATTGCCCATATGAGTTAAGGCTTGGCGTTGATATCGAGGTCAACTGCGTACCTACGGGGAAGGCTACAGTCGGGAAACAAACCACTGTATGAAGACTGACAGCGACAGACTCGAGTGTTGCGATACGATGAGGACCATGGTGGTATAGTACTGACATTGCTGCTAGACCTGAAGGGTGTATAGTGACCCTAACCACCTAGCTGGGGATCAGTAGATCATTTTGACTTGACCTGCCCTAGGAAGCAAGTTAGGTTGTTGGTGCACAGTACCCTTGAACGTTGTAAAGTGAAAAGCCCCGACAACCTTCCATGCTGATGGCATGTTAGTGGCCAGCAAGCCCACCGAGCTGAACTGCAGAGTTGAACTGGTGATGATCCATGTTGAAACGCTCAATTCCAATTGGTCATATAGCGGCGGAGGTTGGCCGTCGAAAGTGGATTTGAGCTCATGAAAAAACGTGCAGTGCTGCAGTACAGTACAGTACATAAGTAACCGGCTTGGTATATCACGCGACGGCTATAGCAGGTACGTATCCATGGATAGGATGAATGAAGTGTCTTGTGAGATACAGATGCAGATGCAGATGCAAATGCAGAAATCGAGATCACGATACCTGGACAATGGAACTTCGCCTAAAACGCCACCATTCTTTTTTTACTGTTACGTACGTTGAGTTGTACAACCATGGCACGCATGGTAGAGAGAAACAAGACCCTGTTTGACCCTTGGAACCTGATGTCATAGACTGTGGCTTGAAGCTCGGATGAAGTTCCAGAAACGATGATTCGTGAGATCACTCAAGAAGGAAAAAAACGAGATAAAAATATCTAGGCGGTCCGACATTGATCGGGGTGGGCGTCTATTAGTGAGGTCATCACCAGAATCTGTCTTGTCTCCCACGAACAACAAACAGTTTAGTTACCAAGTTGTGGAAATTTCACAAGCTGTTGAAGATTAACCAGAGACTGCCCCATCCTGTCCTGTGGGTCGTTACATTGGGTGTCAGACCGTTGTGACCTAACTACATAGTGATCTTCCATATCTTAAATTCTCCTCAACTGGAATTGGGTAATCCGTATAATGTACTGTACCAGGGATCCAAAGAAGGGGTACCGCATGTCCATAGCATGGCATGGTATGAAAACACTAGGTTATCAAGTACCAAAGTACCTTCCTTAGTGGCCTCACTCTACCGATGAGGAGGCTGTCAACTTTTGACACCAAAGCTTCTGCCGCTCACACCAGGAACAGGCAAAAGATCGAACGGATTCGAGACCAAGAAGCATGCGAAATTGACTTCCGACCCTACCCGGAAAAAGCCTAGAGCATACCCAGTATGCAGGGAACTCAATCGTCCAATCAGATGTAACTAGCCCCGAGTATTGTAAACGGCTTCCATCTGCCGGGGAGTTGAAGACTAAAAGAAACACACGAGGCGTATTTGACAAGTTAAGTTCCTGTTTGCCATGCACATCAAACAAACGGTCCGGCATGCCGATGCCGATATCGATACAGATCAGCTACAGGTACAGCTCCAACAGCTACAGCTATACTTACACTTGCAGCTACAACCAGGTCAATATCTGACCTCGGGTTGAGGCTCTTGGCGGAGGAAGGGTTTATACGCATATCCCAATTCCCATCATTATCACCGTTGCAGTACATGCCCTATTATATTGCTGTACTGTCACTGATCTAACCATCAACCCCTGCAACTCTCCCGCCGGGCTGGGTTGAGGTTCAATCCCGAATCTACCACTACACCCAATCCTGTTCCACTTCGCTTCATGATAGAATATCATGTCGTCCAGTTTGCCAGCCCTGGCTCCCCGGCTTCCGGGCTGTCCGCCACCGGTAGATGACAGGACTTACACGAAAGAGCACTCTGAGGACGAGTGGGAGTCTATGCGCGAAATCATCAGGAAATTATACATCAAAGACAATAGGAAGCTCAACGAGACTATGGCCATACTGCAAGCTCGATATGGTTTCGCAGCAACGTGAGTGGGATACAGAACCCTCCCCATCGACGACCCCTTAACAAAACAAAAGACCCTAGAGGTGGAAAGGAAAGCTGATTTGTGGTTCAAAGAGAACAGATGTTTAAGAAGCGTCTAAAGAAATGGAACTTGAGAAAACGAACATATCGAAAGGGTCAAACAAATTCCACAGCTCCCACTCCCGTAACAGAGGTAGACGCCGAGGGGGAAGCAGACGCAGATACGGATGCGGATGCGGATGCGGATGTGGAGATGGGAACGGAAACAAGAGCAGTAACAGAGGAAACAGAGACTCCCATCGACTACTCTGGTGCAAGCACCGTCGACGATCAAGGCTCATCTTCATCTTCGACATCACCAGAAGAACTCGCAGACCAGGATGACACAAGCATGGCCATGACCCTGGTGCAACCATCAAATACAGGGCCCTATGCCGACCTCGAGCAAGTCCTCGGCAGCGTCTTCAACTGGAGCCAGTCCAAGCTGGAATTCCTCCCCAGCATTTCAGACCCCATGTCCGCCTACCTAGCAAATCCAAACTCACCCCCTATTCAGGACAGCCGCACAATGTACCGGATTTTCGAGCTTGTTTTCGATCTTTGGTATCACGGCAAGGGCGATCTGGCCGGGATGGCTGCACGACGAGGGTTCTACGTGCTTGAGTTCGTTCTAAGCGAGGATCATCCCGACCTAATCTGGCACGTACTAGACACGATCTTCGATATGGTAGACAGGGGGCATCTGCAGCTCTTGGGCCTATTCCTGGATCACGCTACGGTACTTGCGAAACGACAACTCCCCGCCCAACATCCCCTCCTTCTCATTCTCCAGCAATTACGGGATTGCGATTTCCATTCAGAGGAGGGGCGAAGTTACTTGTGCCACTTACTACGCCAAGCTTGGCTACGGAACGTCGATCTCCTGGGCCAACACATCGAAACCTCAGATGCACATCGGCTTTGGCTTTACGAACAACTAATATGGGATGGGAGGACACGCCTACGCAAGGGAAGTGATCTGAGGAAACGGCAGGAAGCTATGTACCAAGCCTTGGAGAGACTGTCGCAAGCGCAAACCCAGACGTCAAATGTGATCGATGCGGATAGTCTACGAGTCGAAGCACTGCGACTAGAATTCACACAAATGGACGTCGGCGACAAAGTCAAGGCTGAAGAGCTTGCCACCAACTTACTCGACATCACCAGATCCGACACGGGACCCAAATCCAACGATCGATTCCACGCATATGCATGCAAAATGCTGGCTCGAGTACAGGAAGAGAAGAGAGATTGGGTTATGGCCGAACGAAACCTACAACATGCCATCTCTAAGAGAGAGTCAGCGCATGGCGGCGACAATAACTTGCGCGTCATTCGCGACATGTGGGTTTTGGCGGCACATTACCAGAAAGCTGGGCGGTTGGATGATGCAAACGCCATTACGACCGATGCATTGTCGAGAGCGCAGAGGTTTTTGAGTCAAGGAATGGAATGAAGCATTTGTCATACACGAAGCCACCAAAGGAGTTTACGCCAATGTAACACAATACACAATTTGGGTGGGGGTGTTTGTTGGCTGATATGGCGCGGCACGGATATAACCGGAAACAATTGAGTCTTGGTTTAACCTTTTACAACCTAAGACGTTAAACTTCTTTTTTCTTCTTCATCATTTCTTTACTTCTTAAAGGGGGAAAAGCATAGCGGTGCTGGGGATAGGGGATCTTTACCATCTTCCTTTGAGAAGATAATTGGTTGGAGTTCTAGTTTGAGATACCCAACGTTTAGACATGGAATGCAGTTACTTGATTCGTTCGCCACACTTCCGGTCATGCACCGCCACAATGACGTTGACACTCCCGCTTCTGGGTGAGGGACACCTTCGAGGACCTTGATTCGGCTACGTCTCTTTACTCTGCACCAAGAAACAAACTTACCTACTCTACTGTACCTCCCTACCAACTTCCAACTTGGCATCTCCATTCATAGAGAAAATCCTAGAACTTTCGTTCGCTACAAGCCCCTCAGATCTTCTTGTCGTTGCAACCTATTCCCCATCACACTAAGCCATCATGACTGCTGGAGCTCCCCCAAACTACTGTAAGTTTCCATGATGACCCCACCACATGTGAATGCGACAGCTAATCAAGCTTTCCATCAGATGCTATTCTCGAGGTCTCTGAAACTGCGAGCACCCAGCAGATTCGAGATGCTTACAAGCGGTATGCCACTGCTCACCTATCACTTACACCGACGGCATGACTAACATATGTTTCCAGTGCCGCTTTAAAGACGCACCCAGACCGTGTCGCAAATGATTCCCCAGAGCGAGCTGAGAGGACTCGCAAGTTCCAGCTCGTAAACGACGCTTACTTCACCCTCTCCGAGCCCACGCGCCGTCGCGAGTACGATGCCCAGCGCAAGCTCTTCAACACCAGCACCCCCTCAGATCCCTGGGAAGACATCCCCGAGACTGAAACCGAGGGCGGCGCTGCACCGCGCCAGAGCCCGTACTCATGGGCATGGAATTTCTTCACCAACCAAGCCACAGGAGGCCAAGCCCCTCCACAGGACCGTGAGCAGACCGAAAATGCGCAGTTCAGCGATGTCTTTGAGGAGATGATGCGCGAAGAAGGCATGGCCGAAGGAAGGGATAACCACCCTACTGGCAGATTCTGGAGCATGCTGGGCGGTGCTAGTGGCGGCGCTCTAGGCTTTATTGTCGCCAACGTGCCTGGTCTTGTAGCGGGTGCCGTTGCAGGAAATAGACTGGGCGCTGTGCGCGATGCCAAGGGAAAGAGCGTATACTCTGTATTCCAAGAGCTTCCTCAAGATGACAAGTCAAGACTGCTCAGCCAGTTGGCTGCCAAGGTGTTCAGCCATGCTGTCGGTATTTGAGCTTGAAAAAGAATGAGGTATAGGTTAGGCTAGTTTCACGAGGCGCTTTGGGAGTTGGTTTGCTTTCGAACAAGATATGGAATGGATTGAATGGGATGAAATGCGAGCGGGACATACCTAGGTAGCTTCTCAGAAATACATTTGCAGCTGTCGGTAATAAAGGCAGTGTACGTTTGATCCGTCGTCGTTGGGGGTGGATATTCTCGATGGACCTAAAATGGTCCATGATGTTTTAACGACAACTTATCATCAAGACACACATCAAGGGTGACGTTGAGTCAGTAGCCTTCTTGAATCTTGGGGTGATTCAATGACTTTAGAAACAACCTGTAATATCTAGTCAGATCGTTCTTCCTCGAAGATTATATCACACTCAGAGTATCGAGTGTCCCGTTGGGACATCAATGCGCTGTAGCGTCAAAGAGCTGGCCATTACAACGACCTAAATATCATGTATACATGACAGAGATTAGCCCACCAGACGATAAGTCCAGAAGAGGTCAACCTTCGGGCGAACTAATATAGTGGGCGAGTTGTTGATCTTAGTTTCCAGGTTTTGTTGGGTCCAGTCGAGGACTGAAGTCCGTGATTAGAAGCCTGACTCCATGAAAGATCAACTCGAACTGAGGCCCCAATGATAATATGTATGCTCTTCGGTTTCAATATGAACTCTTGTACACTGCTGTGACAACAGTTTTATCATGATATTTCAACACCATCAATTCATAGCCTTGAAGCGGCTGATTACCCTATAAACGCAAACCACTTCTAGTCCAATGCACCATCATGCGCCTCAAGTGCTCCGTAGTAAAGTTCTTGACAAGCTTGTTAACACTGATGGAGAATGGTAGAGCGCCATGAAGAAATTCACATACATTTTCGTATGACCCAAACTTAAAATCTCGATAATTGCTTCCAGTGTCCAAGGTCCTTGGGTTCGACCGACTTGCAAGACATTCTCAGTCTTGTAATCGATATTGTGGCCGCCCTCTGCACCAGTGGGATCACTCTGGTCGTCCAGCTACTATATAACCTATCTTCGGGGAGGAGGCTGGAATCCAGGAGGTGGGGGACCACCGGGGTTAAATCCGGGAGGAGGGAACTGGGCGCCTCCGGGGAAGCCAGCTGGGGGAGGGAAGTTTCCAGGGAAACCTGGGGGAGGAGCTTGGAAATGGTTAGAGACTCTATGAGTGTATCGGGATCTGGTGAACTTACCACCACGACCACCAGGGCCAGGGAAGCCAGGAGCACCGCCAGGGAAACCGGGGAATCCAGGAGGGGGAGCACCACCAACGCCAGCAGCAGGGCCCTAGCAACTGTTAGCATCTGTTTAAAACTTTGAAGAGAATAGGGGTAGCATACAGCTAGAGAAGGAGGGGCAGCTCCTCGGCCAGCAGGACGGGCAACGCCGGGGCCAGCAGCCAGAGCAGAAGAGATTCCACCAGGCGCACTCTTTCCAAGTCGGGCACTGGGGTCGGCAGGAGGAGGCGACTCGACGGAGAGGGAGATGATATGAGCGCCTCGAACGATTGTGAGGCCAAGAGTTCGCTTTTCCTCGGATTCGATAGTAGCGGAAGCTGAACCACTTGCGCCAGGGGCAGCGGGCTTGTTCTGCTTGCGCTTAACGCGTCGGAACTCTTCTGTATCGGCGAGAACAAGGTTCATATGCTAGAGTCCAGTCAGCTTGGTGTTAATGGCGATGATAGAGGAAGATGTTGTACCTTGTCGAAAGCAAGCATCTGACCGGTCATTGCTCGTCCATCGTTGAGAGTGACTCGCATGCGCCAGTTGATCTGTGTCGTCCAAGTCAGCTTTATTGATCCATCAAGAAGATACGACGTCGACGTCGCATGCGCGTTCGGGTATACGTACGTAACCGGCCTAGAAGAAAGAAGTGGTTAGCTATGGACAACAAGCAGTTTTTGAGACGCGTGAGCATTGAGAGAATGATCATACCATCTTTCCTTGTTTGTTCGACATATTGGCGGTGTTTTGCGAGAACTTGCTAGTGCAGTTGCTCAATGTTTCAAAAATTGGTGTTGTATCGCGGTGAGTTTACGCGCGATCGCAACAACCTTCAATGCCTGGAGCTCTGAAGGTGAGTTATGATGTCCAAAATTTGCGGAGCCTGATGCGGAAGGCTGAAAGGTACACCGACAATGTACCAATCTGGCGCTAGTCCAACAGTGGAGTAGTCTACAAAAAGCCCCACCTTTCTCGCTTAAGGGCAGCCAAACCCTCCTCAAATATTTGAACACACCAAAATTCGATTCTGAACTTGCAACCTTTGCGGACTTTGACAACTTCATCACCAGGTCGACTAATAACAGCAGCCATGGCTTCCGAGAAGGCAAACAACCCCATGCGGGAGCTTAAGATTCAGAAGCTCGTTCTGAACATCTCCGTCGGAGAGTCTGGTGACAGACTTACCCGAGCCGCAAAGGTCCTTGAGCAGCTTTCTGGTCAAACCCCCGTCTACAGTGAGTTTTGCCCAATTATGAATATGACGATTCCATCTGACCCCTTCAAGGCAAGGCCCGTTACACCGTCCGAACTTTCGGTATCCGACGTAACGAAAAGATTTCTGTCCACGTCACCGTCCGAGGCCCCAAGGTAAATTCACACAATATCGACAATTCAAAAGGCACGAGACTAACAAATCCAAGGCTGAGGAGATTCTCGAGCGTGGCCTCAAGGTCAAGGAGTACGAGCTCCGCAAGCGCAACTTCTCCGAGACCGGCAACTTCGGTTTCGGTATCAGCGAGCACATCGATCTCGGCATCAAGTACGACCCCTCCATTGGTATCTACGGCATGGACTTCTACTGCTGCATGACCCGACCTGGTGAGCGTGTCACCCGCCGTCGCCGAACAAAGTCCAAGATCGGTGCCTCTCACCGCATCAAGCGTGAGGAGAGCATCAAGTGGTTCAAGTCTCGCTTCGATGGTATCGTCCGATAAACGGTTGAAAACAAAATGGGTATTTGAATTTGCGGATTGGGTCACGGCGAAAATAAGGGGAAAACTCACATGGGGCATGTATTTTCTGTTGCCATTGCTGCATCAGCTCGACTCTTTTAGTCGAGCCACGGCCTGAGAGACCGACCGGCACCCTGCCGGCTTTCCGATATTCACTCTGAATGTGACAGTTGCCATCAATCGTCAGATCATTGGTACTTTGTCTACTTGGCCTCTCGTCTGTTTACGTCTACGTGAGACGTTATAAACATGTCCATTGGGACTTTGATGCATTACTCTTTGCATGTCTGGTCGTCTTCCCATCTATGCGTGAAACTTGTGAATGTTGTAGTACGTTTCATAACTGTAGATGCTTTCTTGACCTGAGGGTTTTCACACAACCTTGACCAAACCATGCCCTCTTGGATACTGGATTTGTCGCCGGTTTCTGGCCAGGCATATCATGTAACAAAAGCTGGCCGAGAAGAGTATTGCCAGAGATGAGCACCTACTATAAGACATCCTTTATCTGTTTGGCTTGATTCATGCATCGCCGACAGAGTACGAGACTTATGTCAATAAATTTGGGGTCGGGTTGAAACTCGTCATCAAATGCCCACGGCCTGGGTTTATGGTTGTTGTATAGACTTCTCCTGAAGAGAAGGTAACCCAACTTTTATCGTTTCTTTTTCTGAGACCTGGTATCTCGTTGTCAGAATACTTTCAAGCTTGTCTTGTCTTGAAAGAGAATGCATTGGACTCTCTTAAAGCGTGTGGAGCAGACCGACTCAAACACGCACATCTCATTTGAATCTAAGAGAGAGGACTGAGGTATCGTCAGGGTGCCAGAAGAATTGGCCATCAAAAGCATAAGGGATGAAATAATTTAGTCACCTTATTACAGCTTAAAGCAGATTTTAGACCGCTTTATTTTAATTGCCTAAGCTTCAGAGCGTTTCTTGTGTCACCTACCTGGGTACCAACAAACCAGAGCAAACACAACCAGATCATTTGAACATTGTATTCTGTAGACGGTCGACCGTACTGGCTTACAATTAGCATCTTAGTTTCGCGTAAATACTGGTCGTCATGCTCAGTATCACACTAGGTATAGACGGTATATCAACATGAGCCACCATCAGCGGATTGAAGGTCAGTCAAAGATGGATATCATGACGGGACCAATTGCGCCAGTGGAGAAACACCCCGGATTAATGGCATCTGATATCTCGGGGGACACGGGAGTCCGTCACCGGAAAGGAGTTTAAGACGGCAAGGCTACCAGGACGAAATTCAACAACTCGGTGGGATACAATTGAGTCGGGATATCCACGGAGCAAGGCTGAAGAGGAGGAAAGCCCTCGATCTTCAGCCACGGAAGCTTGCTATTGATCAATTGATGGGCTTAATAAAGTTGGCCTTGGTTAGCTTGTCGCTCCAGCGTTCTGTGACCTGTTCTCTGCTCCGTAGCCGGTCACCAGGCCAGCGTAAACCCCACCACGAAAATGAGAGCTTGCTGGATCAAAGCTGTTCTGGTATTGGCTCGCAGCTCCATTAGAATGTGCAACCACAATTCTCAGGCATGAACTAGTGACCTGTACCCGGGTAATACCGATCATTCGGCGGTACGGGAGTTAGATGAGATGCAAGAAGTCGGCTAGTGACCACGAAAGAGGTTATTTAAGGTCCAGGGTTTCAAGATCGGATCAATTGATACGAAAAGATGGCTGCAATACATAGATATGGTGATTTAAAGCTTCGAGATTCCTCTCGATCTGGCATCATTGTCGGACGTCAGCTCGGTGGATGAACTGAAAGCTCCGAAATATAGGCGGGAAGAGAGGCTAAGAAATTGTTAAGGCTACGTCGGAATATCCAGGCAAAAAGACGCAGTGAAGGCTTATTGGGCAGTCGGAGCAGCTAGCCCCACTTCATCCCTCAGACAGACTCTGCTCTCCATCACCATCCTCCTCAAAAATCTCCATTTGCTCTCCTGTAAAGGCAGCACCGCACTCCCCAATCTCCCCTCCTCCCAATTGCACCCGGCTGCAATTGCTCTCCTTTCATCTCCAAACCTCCCGTATACCTCTAATATGTTCCGGAACGCCCTTCGACAGTCGACGCGCGCCGTCGGCGCTGTCTCTGCTGCTGGCAGGGTCGCCGCGGTAAGTCAAAACGTGCTCTTCCGAGCCCCGAATCGACAATTCCATCGACCAGCGCCCCCCAACATCGTGCATCCATCGACAATTTACCCCACGAGCTCAATTGATTAGTTGGATTGCCTTTTCGACTTTGGATTCAGCTTTTTTGAGCTGTTTGGGGCCGCTGTCGCTGTCGACCTGTCGAGGACTTTTTCGGACTTCGGCTAACTTGTTTTTCACCACCAGCTCCGAAATGCCGCACCCGCCTCCATCAACGCCGCCCGATTCTACGCCTCCGATGCCAAGGCTACTCCCACCGAGGTCTCTTCCATCCTCGAGCAGCGAATTCGTGGTGTCCAGGAGGAGACCAACCTCGCTGAGACTGGCCGTGTTCTTTCCGTCGGGTATGTGGATCTCCACTGGGAGCAACCGGAGCAAGGCGAAGCTGGTGCACGATGACTTCAACCAACACCGCACCGCCCAACAGCCCGGATGTCCAGGACGAACCCAATTGGAAACTATTCAGTGCTGACTTTGAATTTATAGTGATGGTATCGCCCGTGTTCACGGCATGGCCAACGTCCAGGCTGAGGAGCTTGTCGAGTACGTACTCAGCAAATATGGAGCGGCTTCGTCATGCATCCATAGCTAACAAATCTCAGGTTCGCCTCCGGTGTCAAGGGAATGTGCATGAACCTCGAGGCCGGCCAGGTCGGTGTTGTGTTGTTCGGTTCCGATCGTCTCGTCAAGGAGGGTGAGACCGTCAAGCGTACCGGTGAGATTGTAAGTTATCATCAAGTACGACAACTTGCTACAGCTCAAGCTAATACACTTCCAAGGTTGACGTTCCTGTCGGCCCTGAGATGCTCGGCCGTGTCGTCGACGCTCTCGGTAACCCCATTGACGGCAAGGGTCCCATCAAGACCTCCGAGAAGCGCCGTGCTCAGCTCAAGGCTCCCGGCATTCTGCCCCGAAAGTCCGTCAACGAGCCCGTCCAGACTGGTCTTAAGTCCATCGACGCCATGGTTCCCATCGGCCGTGGTCAGCGTGAGCTGATCATTGGTGATCGTCAGACCGGTAAGACTGCCGTTGGTCTTGACACCATCCTTAACCAGAAGCGATGGAACGATGGCAACGACGAGAAGAAGAAGCTCTACTGTATCTACGTCGCCGTCGGTCAGAAGCGATCTACCGTCGCTCAGTTCGTCAAGACCCTCGAGGAGAACGACGCCATGAAGTACTCCATCGTTGTCGCCGCCACCGCCTCTGAGGCCGCTCCTCTCCAGTACCTCGCTCCTTTCACCGGTGCCTCCATCGGTAAGTTCTTGACACAATTTCACGATTAAAACCTGCTAACCTAGGTCCAGGTGAGTGGTTCCGTGACAATGGAAAGCACTCTCTCGTCATCTTTGACGATCTTTCCAAGCAGGCCGTCGCTTACCGACAAATGTCTCTGCTTCTCCGACGTCCCCCTGGACGTGAGGCTTACCCCGGTGACGTTTTCTACCTCCACTCTCGTCTGCTCGAGCGTGCTGCCAAGATGAACGACAAGCTCGGTGGTGGTTCCATGACTGCCCTTCCCATCATTGAGACCCAGGGTGGTGATGTCTCTGCCTACATTCCCACCAACGTCATTTCCATCACTGATGGTCAGATCTTCCTCGAGGCCGAGCTGTTCTACAAGGGTATCCGACCTGCCATCAACGTCGGTCTTTCCGTCTCTCGTGTCGGTTCCGCTGCCCAGCTCAAGGCCATGAAGCAGGTCGCTGGTTCTCTGAAGCTTTTCTTGGCTCAGTACCGTGAGGTCGCTGCTTTCGCCCAGTTCGGTTCCGATTTGGATGCTGCTACCAAGCAGACCCTCAACCGTGGTGAGCGTCTTACCGAGCTCCTCAAGCAGAAGCAATACAGCCCCATGGCCGTTACCGACATGGTGCCCCTTATCTTCGCTGGTGTTAACGGATTGCTCGACTCTGTTCCCGTTGCCAAGGTTCTCCAGTGGGAGGCTGACTTCCTTGCTCACCTCAAGACCAACGAGTCTGAGCTCCTTTCCACCATCGACAAGGAGGGTGCTATCTCTAAGGAGACAGAGGCCAAGCTCAAGGACGTCACCCAGTCTTTCGTCAAGAGCTTCCTCGGTTAAATATAATCAAAAGCAACTTGTGCGGAGAATAGCGGGGGCCTTTGGGGATGTCGCTGTCTATATCGAATATCTATTGTCGTTTTTCTCTCTTGAGGCGGAGGGAACATGTCGAGGGGTCGCGCCTGGATGGAGCGACGGGAATGAGTTGAGGGAGATTCGCCCGTCGTATTGCCACTTGTAAAATAGAGCACAAAACTCAATGAATGCCCTCGATTCCTTTTGTTCTTGAACTACCTAATGAATATCGCGGTTTCACAATTTGCTCTGTGATTGTGTTGTGACGTAAAGTCTTAAGTATTTATCATTGATGAAAAATTATTCTCTAAGGCTTACGATGTCCAAATAAAGTAGTCTAAACTCGCATAAAGCGACGGACGAAATCATTTTGTCTCTTATGCTGTCCGACTTAGTAGTATTGCATCTCATCGACACAGGCAGTTTATTTATTGAAATTCAGAATCAATTTGCTATTAGCTGTATCATAGCTCTCCCTTAAGCTCTTTTATATCGCCTGTCAGAGTCTGAGACAGTTCAGATAAGTAGTACCACGACCATAGTAACCCCATTTGCTAGAACCACATGTGATGGAATGGTTTCTTTTTACTTATTCTTATCGCCTTGCGCGACGCTCCTTGTCCGCGAACATTAACTCCGCTGCCTCGATGGTGGGAAGTTGGTCCTCAGTGAGTTTGCATTTCTTTAGAAAACCGTCTTTGCGTCAGGCTCTGTTGATACAAGTCTTGAGTTCACCCTAATCTTCATTGCTGCTCGAATCATCAATGATGCTCGAATGTCTAATGGTGCTTATCGATCCAACGGGTTCGTCGTCGAGAATAGGGTAAAACTTGATGTCTCCGAATGGCTGCCTCCTGACACTATACCATAGGAAGATAATCCTTTGACATTTAGGATATCTTCTCAGGAGGTTTTGTACTTCCTTAGCTCTTAGAAGTAGAAGGCCATCGGAATGGCATACCGCTATATTGTGAACATGGTCTGTGAACTTATGCTCTTCCACTATGAGCCCGTTATCATCGAACAGGATGTCACTGTGAAAGTCGAACCAGAGTGACGCCAAATGTGAATCCTCCTCGTCTATCAGATACTTTTCGAGATTCTCTGCAAACTTGGCGCACTGCGGGAGGCTTATGTGCGAAGGCAACACCTTGCATTTCCATCAGGTCCCCTATATTTTCGGTTGGCCAGAAGATTCTAGGCTGATCTAGAGAGCATCCCCAAATCTTGACTCGAATCTCAGGAGGTAGTAGACTGAACTTTGGGAAAGTGGTTGCCGGTATGGCGTTTTGGTCTGGAAAGGGATGGGTGCCGCTGATGTTGAGAGTGATTTGCGATGAGTGCTTCTATCCGCTCCATTCCGATCGTTCCTCCAAGCATTTGTGATAGAGGTAGACTTAATTGAGGTACACGGTCAGCGTGATTAATTACTTGGCGCTTGAGAAGGCTGTTCTGCTAGCATATAATATTCCGATTAGCCATGACATTTAGAATTAAGTGATGTGAATGTTAGAAACTCAAGTTCATAGTGTGTTTATCCTAGCTCTGATAGACACTGGCTTTACAGGACCACACAATTCAAGTCAGACTATGCATTAGTAAGAGAACATGCATGCGTTAACATCGTATAGTAAAAAGAATGCTCTATGTTGAATGGAACGATCCTGCGACATCCATATAGTGCTGTATTCCCTTACTCGGACGCCTGGACAAGCAATCGTCCGGGAAGGCTGCAAAAAGATTGGTTTCAGCGTGAGGCTATAATACAGGTTGAACTATTTAAAATGCACCAAGTTATGTGCAGCTTCTGTAGAAGATAGTCTCGTATTGATCCGGGCAGATCTCTGAGTATAGCGGATTTGCGAGGAGCCAGATACACATACCTGACTAGCACGTTTATATCAATACCATAGTAACGACTCAATAGACTCTATAAACCGATTGCACACATCATAACTACGACTCACAGTTGCCTCTGGTATTCCATCTATGAATACCTCTATAAATTATGTCGGCCTTCGTCTTCATTATTCTCCTTCTTAGATATCAGCATAATCCAGCTGGATTATCATTATCGTCACATCTTCATCTCTGCGCAAGCAGAATCCAGACACCTGAACGATAATCCCGCAATTATAATCGTTACAAAATGATCCTCATCCTTACGGGGGCAGAATACAACTCGCCAGATGACAGACTAATAGAATTATAGTTGTAAACAACATTACAGCAGTTATATACAACGTTGCAGCACTTGAGAAAGACGTATGGTGACCGTCTACAACACGACACGACGTTTGTTCAGAATCAACCCTCTCTTGGATATATATATCAGCTTGCACGGCAGCTATTTGCTGCATCCCATCTTGGTTACACTTATACTGCAGGATTCGACGCATCGACCATGATATATGCCCCTATTTTTGTCGATTCCCATCATGACTTCCAACCACAGAGGCACCAACAACCGACATCGCAAACGCTGGGGTATGAAATCAGCCTCCAACACTGATGACTTCAGCCTTTTAATCATAGATCTTATAATGGGACTGGTAAGTGAATTGACATGGATATTTTATACAAGTCTCATCGAAGCCACGTATTATCCTAAGGCTTAGGGTTTTAAAATAAAGTATCCTAAGACCTAGCCTAAGCTATCATAAGGTGACCAAGTTATTTCGTTTCTTATGCTTTTAGGGGCTAATTCGCCTAGGACCAGGTACATACGACGTTGGCAGTGATTCAGAACAGAAAGGTAACTCGCCATTCCGCCTCTCCCTAGTCTAACACTCTACTGCTTCTTATCAACAGTCAAGATCTCTTTTTTGAAATTCTCATGTAGTTCATGCTATATCGTTTCTTTGCTGGCAAGCTCATAGATCTTTTTCTGCCGATGCGTGTTTCATAGTCAAACCTTTCGCGACTCTACAGGGCGGTTTCGTCGTTACCTGGAAACACTCATGGCTGTGTCGACCAGCTTCCCCATATCGATGCTCTCCATAACTTCTTCCGCTGCCGATTTGGCTTGGCCAATCGTTTTGGCAAAGTTGATCAGAATGCGAATGCCATCAATTATATCGTGCATGGTCTGGACTACTAAGTAGAGTTTAGTCCAATGCACCTTTAAAGTGACCGTAGGTCAATTCCCACCTATCAGTGTTGAAATTCATCGCGAGAACATGATATACAAGACAAAGTAGTTATTATATGTGTTCTGAGGCCAGTTATGACTGATGTCCTAAAACTTAGGGCGTACAATCCTGATGTTCACTGGTCTACTCAGTCTTATCATAGATACAGCCGTTGTTGGTTCCCTATCGTGGTGTAGCAGCCTGAGTCCGCCTGCGTTCTTCATCATGGGTTAGCCGTCGACATCGGCCTCGAAGAGCTTTGTCCGTGATTGTTGGGTTCTGATAAGAGGTGTCAGGTGGGTGTCAGAAGAATTGTCCTCCAACGCTTAGGGTACAGAAATAAAGTAGCCTAAGCGTCTACCTAATTTAGCATAAAATGACTAAGTTATTTCGTCTCTTATGCTCTCCGCGGACAATTCTTCTGACACCCTGACGGTGCGAACCAAGCAGAGACAGTCTCGTTCTTCTCCCTGGCAACCGGGTATCCCTCGTTTGCTTGTAACAGTCTATCGAGCATACATGGCTGATACCCAATCTGTCAGTACAGCAGTCCAAGGATGATTTTTACAACTCATCACTGCACTCCGGTTAGAAATTATCGACGTAGTGACTATCTTTGCTTGCTTTGATAGGCCTAGAATCACCAACTCCTCTTTTCACGTACAGACATCAGAAGAAAAGCTACAGATATAGCGATAGGTCTTTCTTTCTAGTATATAGGACATGTCACTGACAACACCAAGAAGAAAATCAGACAATGGAACAGAGGCGTTTTTGATCATTTGTATTATTATGGTTGAACATATTGGTTTTGACATAAGGCTCATTAACGTTCTTTGACCATGATTCATCAAGCATCAACCGTGTCGCATATTTTTCATCCACACATTGTCCACTAATGGACAGAAGAATGACAAACTATCGTCTCTCCTCGTACGAAGTCTAACAACGTGTCTGTCCTCGAGTTCCATCACTGCATTCCCCGAATCTGAGCCGATTTACATGCATGGCCTGCCTGCCAAAAGCAACCCTGGCGCCTGTTCATGATCGTAACGTGCAATGAAAACAATTGTGACCGCCCATTGAGGTATCTCGAGTGCAAAGAAGAAGAAAAAAAAATCCGTGTCGTATCATCGCAAAGCTCGGCTTGCTCGCAGAAATAACAAAAGAAATGATGTCATGAAAACATGTCTCATTGTAGCAAGACTTGCTAGGGATGTTCGCTGTTGTTGACTTCGCAGATACCGAACCTTCGTGTTGGCATGGGGCCGGTTTCTTCCGATTGATAAGAAGGAGATCGAGGCTCGCGCAGCTGATTTGTTTCGTTGATATCGACGAGCATCTCAACAAGTGCCTCTGCATCCTTGTGTAGGTTGGAAAGATCAGATTTGGTACACGCCAGAGTGCCTTCAGATCGTGGTACACGGTAGGCGGCGAAGACAATTCCGCGGTCAGGATTTGTGAGCTGCACTGAAGCTGATGAAGAGGCAGAATTTCTCGACGTGCCACGGCCGGTGTAAAAGGCATGGGCATAACCCCGCGCAAACTCGTCATCTCTAAAGTGTTGAGGCCGATACTCAATCCATCCTGAGGTCTTCAGCATCTTTCGATGGCTTGCAGTTGATATCTGCATTGGCGCGTGGAGGTTCTCCATTCCATAGGAAGCGAGAAGACGACCGGCCAAGGGCTTGGTCTTCTTTCCCGGAGACTGTACACCAGTCTGCGCCTGAGAATGATCCGTCCATAAGTTGACCACGTAAATGAAATCGAAGTCGTAGCGGGCAGCAATTCTAGCAGCCTCGAAAGCGCCAATGACAGCAGGTTTGCTAGCATGGGGGGGAGGAGTCAATACCAGTACAGAAGAGCAAGTGGATCCAGTAGGAGAGTAAGGAGTGGATGGAATGGGTGCTTCTGGTACATCTGCTGCCTCTTCTAGAGCCGACTCAGCAATGTCATCATCACTTAGCTCAAAGAACTCATTGAAGTTTGGTTCTCGGAGAGTAGAGCTACTGATAGAGAGTCTGTTCGTGCAAGACTCCTGGTAGGTAAAATTGGCAGCTTTCTGTACTTGTTGCTGTTCCAAGTTCTTGGTAAAATGGCGTCGGATATCTCTGTACACAGCCTTGTTGAGGATGTCGATCGATTTCGATGCTGTTAGTTGTGCGATATGAAGGGGACGAAGTTCTGGAGAAGACTCTGGGGTTGGAAGCCTCTGCTGGGGCAGTGCTGGAAGTTTCTTATTACGGAAGTAGAGAGGACTGGAGGTACCCTCGTCTTCCAAGTCTGATGAGGGCGGTGTTTCAAGCCGCGAACTGCATGACGCTTTCTGTCTTGGGCGTCGAAGAGGAAGGCTGCGCTCACTAGGCGCTTCCATCGATGATTTCGGATCGCGAGTAGAAGACGAGGCGGAGGTTCCCCCTTGGCTGGTTGGGGGTCGAGGGAATTGGTAAACGTTGAAGTCGCCTAGAAAGGACTTTTCAGGCATGGAGGTATTGAGAGGAGAGTATTGTGAATGTTGAGGATCCGATAGGCATGTAGGACTTTGAGCATCTGAGAAGTCCACTCGATGAGGAGAAACAGGACCGGGAAAAGAAGGATGTCGGCTCGCAGGCTGCTTTCTGAACTCCTCTCGTGCAGCCATCCGGCTGGTCTTTGGGCGGATAAATGAAGGCGAAGGGAATTGAGGTATAGTAGGAGGGGCAGAAGCTGGCTGGGTAGGAATTGGCTGTACATGGTTGCTTGTGACAGCTGAAGTCTTCTTCTCCTTCTTCGTGAAGAAGCGCTCGAGGCTCCCAAAACCATTGGCCATATTGAATCTTGGTCGATAAGTAAGTGAAGTCGATGTTGTGCAGGATGCCTGGACCAAGTGGTGTTAGCGAATTGGGATAGAACCTAAGGCCTGCCTCGTGCTTGGAGGTGCACGAGAAGAGAAATATTGGCTGTTACATACCGGGTTCGATTTGATGAAAAGCTCTGAATGGAGGAAAGGACGCGTGAAGAAGTGCGCCAAGGTGACTCTTGGGGTGAATCAGAGTCACTTGTAGTGGAAATTGGTGTTTGTGAGATCAAGGCAAAACAGTTCAGACTGGAATTAAAGCTGAATGGCGCGATATATTCGATGCTTATTCAGGTGTAACTGTATCAAACAGTGACGAGGAGGGGGGAATGCGGAGCGGAATTGTTCATGGCCACAAGGGCAAGTGCAACGACTCGAAATCCTATGATGAATTCGTTGTGTGAAAAGTGCTTTGTTGGTGAAAGGTCGTCAAAGGTGAATCGAATGGGATTCGAGAGTTGTCAAGGTCGAGGTTGACACCGTGATATCATGCGCTTGCCTCCTTTGCTCTACTTGGTGCCGTGTATTGTAATGTTGTTCGCCGTGTAAGCTCCACCACAAGGAAGCTGTGCTTCCAGCGTCGTAGCAGGCGATATCGATGCTGATACTGGAAGCTGCAAGTAATAGATAGAAAGGGAGTATACTGATTGTGTGCGAGGTGTAGGAGTAAAGTAATGCAAGTCGGTAAAATGCAAGAAAGGTTGCACAGCAGGTGCAACGGAGTGAGAGTGGTTCGAAGGAAGGAACCTCAGCCTGGTGTTTAGGTTGTACAAGGAAGGAACCACCGAGGACAAACGGTGCCTAGATCTTTGCTACTGCCGTTGCGGTTGCTGTTGCGATGCGACTTCGTACGTGGAGATATGGAAAGACAACAAGAAAACAAACAAATTTGAAGCCGTTGGAATGCAGTAATCTTAAAGGTTTCAAACAGAAAGAATCTCGTTCTCCTCTCTTAGTATCATCGTGAGAGACAGTCTGGGACAAAGGGTGACTTTAAACTAAAATAAACATCCAACGCCCACCAAGGAATTCCCACTTCAACGTTGGTACCGCAAAACGTCTGTGGCTGCTCTGCTCTGCGGGATCAGGGGCAGGGATCATTTAGCAGCGCCCTAGGCTTCCCTAGTTGGTTCCCCGCCCACTTAGGCAGGCTTGGCTAGGCCCTAATGAAAGAGACGGGAGTGAAGGGAGTGTGGGGCGCTAGCTATGGGTGTGCTGGGGCCTCTCCCTGCTCGAACACCTACTAGGTACACGAACTGGCTCAGGACCAGCTCCCTTCAATACCTACCTGCCAAGCCAAGCCAGACACTCGACTACCTAGGTAGCCTCTCATCTGTTACAATTCAGCGTATACGAATCAGCTACTATGTAAATACCACCAGCCGATGTCCGGATGCTACTGTTCTTGCTCTTCATTACTGAAGAGAACCGTTGACGCCACGGACATTTGATAGAAACGGGAATGATCACTCAGATTTCCAAGGATAGCCACACTCCATTGTCTGGACTCGATCTCTCAAACCGGGCTTCCGAGAGTAATTCAAGAAAGAACTTGATTCAAGTGACAACCCTCGGGGGGAAAAGAGCCATACCTCGAGTCTCTTACTCGTCTGCCTCCTTTGTAAATACCACTACTTTTGCTCACTTTGTCTTTATATACAACGAATCATGAGCGTTGCTACTGATGCCACCACCCTTCTCGAATACCCTTTGTTCGAAAGGAGGCCGGACCCAATTGAGGACATTTACGAAACAACGATATCACAGGCCAGGCAGTGCCGACTAAGGGTACCATCCAAGTCACTGCAGGGAGCGCGGGCTCTTGATCTCTCCCCGAGAGATCAGACGTTGGACTTGTTTTCTCCCCGGATATCCCACGACACCATGCCCTAGCCCCTAGTCCTGACTAACGGTGGATGGCTTCTTCTTATAGTGAGCCATCTTTGGTCTAGCGCTGTCAACTACTTCTACCCATGACCCTGAACATCCAGGTTCTCTCAAATCTTCAGGCGAGGAGAGCAATATGCATGGCATTCCGCGGTCACGGACAACATTTTTCTTCAGTTGAAGTTGACGCGGTTTGAACTGGGACCCCGCTTGGCCTTCGAATTCGCTTATACACAAGTTTTTCACTATTATCGCGACAACAGACAAAAGTTGCCAACTCTCTATTAGGAACAGCCTTGTCAACCGTCGATGACCGGCCAAATCCTACTAAGAGTAACTTCGTTCTCGGGATTGTCATTTCACCTTACGCAACGCTGGACTGGTTGTCTATTATCTAGGGCGTCGCACGTCATCTCGGGACCCCTAGACTTGGACCCTTTACTCCCTGGACAACTGCGGATGGTCTATCGTCAAATTGGCAGAGTAGTTCTCTCGCAGGGTGGCGCTGCGACCGAAACAGTTTCTGGCCATGAACGCGCAGACCCTCGGCAGCTTTTGACCTCGGACCTCTATGATTACCACGGGGCATGCACGGTTGGATCGCCATCAGAAAGTCCTGAGCACAAAGAAACGTAAATTGCTGGATTTAATGGTGGATTCTTATAAGCTTGCGCAAAATCGACTGCAAGTCCGAGCAAGGGAGATGCATCAGTATGTCCAACTACCCAAACTCTTTTCAGGACTGCTAGATTATTCAACATATTGCCCGATCTAGGGATCTCCTACCATGAATGGAACCTCCATTTCCTATCACACTCGCCCTACTGTTCACCCTAGTTGGAGTTGCCCTGAATATTCTCCTGCTGTCTAGTTTCTCATTTACTAAGGGCAGATCTTCGACTAGGACTCTGCCGAAACCATGAAAATGCACGGACATATCTTCGGTCTGTGCCCCCAAGCGAACTTGACCAAGTACCGGATGACAAAACCACGGACGAGACTTCACAAAAGTCTGTTACAATACTCCGTACCACAGGCCACAAGGGTTACAAAATGAAACATCCGCAGCAGCGCGCGTACCTTCCGCTATCACCCTCACCAAATACTTAGTAAGAGATACTCATGGCAAACTGATAGGTAGCTCAAGGCTGACAATGTATACCCATCAACATTTGAGATCCTTTTGGGCCATGTTCTAAGTAGCCAGGACTCGAATGTTCCCATCTTGGGTACGGCTTTATGTTCAGCATACACTCAATACTAAAACCAGCACTTGATCGAGGTTGATAGTGCGATGTTGTACACGAAGAAAACATAACAAGGCTTAGGGTCACCAGCGGACTAGCAGAGCCTCGCCTCATCATTCTGCTTTTAAAAAGTCTCTCGCCGCCTACCCAAAAGAGCTCGCAATTTATTACTGTCTACGGAAAAAAGTTTACGTTTCGCTGCGGGAATCTTTCAAGTTGCTCAGGCTTGCTGAGCTGGATCGCGAATGTGACCTTTCAGCATGCCCCTGTCCTTATCGTTCAGGGCCTGGGAGGTGGGGATCATATTGCTTCTTTTGTCTCTTGCATGTTTGTTCATTGGCTGTTGCTGGTGGGTAGAACGCATGGACTCCCCGCCTGCTATGGCCGTGCGACTGTTCGTCCTCGGATTGGAGGCCCCTGTTGACCTCCCCTTGGTTGAGTGCTGCATCTAGCTTCGCATACCCTTGTTCAGTTACGCTTGGTGCCAAGGCTTGCGGCATCGACGTAATGACCTAGCAAGAGATGAACCGGCTGTCAACCAGAACTGCCGTCTTCCAACTATATTGCCCCCAGTGCAGCTCTGAACAGTCATGGGACCAGATATGAAAGACCTGGGGACTAATAACTCTACTTTTCCCCACTGCAGTAGCGACTGCACGAACACTCTCAGGCAACATGGTATGCATTTTAACCTGGGAAATAGTTCCGCCTTGTAACCACATCCGCGAAAGAATTCTCATCAGTTCTCACATAACTCGCCTTGAACAATGTCTCTGCTAAGCTTTTTAAGGACTCAATCCCGTCAATCAGAAGACCTCGGTGATCGGGTCCGAGTCGTATCAACCCCGCTAATGGCATTTGGGTTCACTGACCAGAGTCTCCCTTGCTTTTTGGGTTATACGAGCCTGAATTGCTCGCAGCCTCACAGAGCCAGACCAATTCTAAAGAAACTGCCAGCTTCTCAATGTCTCATCTGATTTGAGTCAATTCATAAAATGACTGGATGGCCAGACCATGAGTGGCAAGAAGGGAGAATCCTTATGCACCACATTTCTTATCTGAGCGCCCTTCATAATCCCTTATGCCAACCCTTCTCTCTTATACTGGGTCCGGTCTACTGATAGTGACAGCCGCGACGATCCCTCGTCACCTGGTAATCTGTCCGCATTGCTGCCAGACACGTTGTTGTTATGCTATCTTCGAAACTGGTATTTCCCTGTGATACTGACGTACTATCTTGGTTGTGGGCCGCTTGTCAAACACTTCGGAGGCTCGCCGCTGCCTGTTGTGAGACTTGAGACCGAGAGGCTCACACTCTTTATGTACAAACAATCTTGTTCTCATACGTGTATGAAACCGCCCAAGCCACCACCGAAAGAAGTACAAGCAGGTGGTTGAACCTGAAGCTCCTAGACCTTTTTGCGCGACGAGCCAAGCTGAAATGATTGAGACCTATCGCTCCTACTGAGGACTGCAAACTGATATTCCGGGCTTTTGGTAAATCTCCAGTCGATATATCAGAAATTTTGGTCCGGTCAAGAGATCTTGGTTCAGCTTGACGTACTTCTCCCGCAACCCTCACTTGAATGTGGGATACGATTATGACTGATATCTCACTTAACGTTGTGCCGTGTCAGGTCTGTGATCATGCTGAGGAAACCATTTCACCAGCGACCTACGGCAGGCCGCAGCAGTGACCCCGGCATTGCGAAGCTAGTTTGGTGCAACCTAGCTCTGACCTTTGTCTCGATCCCCTCGTCTTGTTCACAGAGCCTCGGAGATTCTATTGGTGGACCCAATGAGTTGACTGGTCACTGCATGCCTGCAATCCAGAGCATAAGCACTTTGTGCTGGATCTTGGGAACGGATGGTGCCCTCCTACAGTAGCAGCGGTACCGACGGTAAGGAAATGCCAGATTAATGGCAACCCAGAATCTGACCGACATTGTAGTGATGGGGTCATCCCTGTGCCGGCAGCTGCACAGGTACATATGTACTGTACCTTACATACATACCTAGGTATCTTTGCGCATGCAGAGAGATAACAAAAGAGGCAGTTTATTGCAACTGAAATTCATATAACAAATATCCCTCGAATGAGAAGGATACAAGATTTGAATTTCGCTAATCTTGCTAATAGATCCACGGAACCCTCGAAGTTCAACAGAATTTTCATCGCTTAAATCTCTGTTACTCCCTTGCTTGATGCTTATGATTCGAGCGTGGCCAAGTCAACAACATCATTCTTCATCCCTCGCGTCAACCCCACTGAACAGGCCCCATTCTATCTGCAAGCCACTCACCACGGTGCCCTGTCCCTGTATCTGTGCCTAGCCTCTTTTCTTCTTCTTCCCTCTTGTTTTCGCCGTTAGACTATGCGGATCTGGTCCGGACCACGCGAGTGGGAACGGCCAACGGCCCCGAGAAACATAAAAAGCACATCACAGGCGTTTCGCAGCGCTACTGTAAGAGCCTCCTTCTTGTCTGCCAACAATAAGATAGAAATGCGCAGTTTCTTGCAGGATGCATCCTTGGTGTCTCTTGTTGTTGTCGCAAGTGCAACGAGCTCGACTCTAATCCTGCAGCAACCTCGCTGCCGCAGGAACCCGGAGCGCCACTATTTCAGTCGTTTTTTCCAGGGTATGTTGCTCCTGTGAAGCTGTCATATCTGACATTTGAGATGCACTTGTTTGGCTGGAGTTACATTGTCTGCAAAGTGAGCCTTTTTGCCCTGTCTTGGTTCCTTGGCCTGTCCTGGAGATCTTATGGGCCCTGGGCCCAAACCGGAAATACTGGGATCTGCCCAGCCTTTTTGACAGCTAAACTGGCAATCCTGGCAATGTTACAAGGTGGATCATGATTGATATGCCTCCAATGCTACCTTGACTACGTAGATACGTGCGTCGTACGCATAAGCTCGATTTCAGGTGAGGGACAGAACGGCAGAGCAAAGAAAACATGGACCAGGGCCTGACAACAGTAGAAAAGTTCGGATGATTCATCGCGAAATCAATATGCGGCAAGTCAGTGTCAGTAGTGAGAGAACAACTCGAGACTGTCATAACAGCAACAATTGGTAATGTAATTTTGTATTACATTTCGTATTAGCAACTATTTCTCACCGCTAACTCATCAATGGTGTCAACATATTAAGTAGTACCCAGTCAGATACTACGCAATATGCATGCTTGACTCTATTCATCCTTCGATCTCAGTTCTCCAGTAATGTGGTCCAGGGTAGTTGGCATGCAAGATCTATCAAGGCATTTCAACTCCCACAAAAAGATAAAAGACAAAATAAGTTAATTACTTTGAACAACCTTGGATCAAATCCTAGGATTTCTTTTGTCACCTGAAGCTTAAATTAGAAGGCAATATTCCTGTCATCTCTTTGTCTCCATCTTGTATCTATTTGAAGCAAATATTTTCTCCTTTTTTCCCCATCGTGAATAATCTCCGCGTACATGGGATGATTTTCAACAAATATGGTGGATATGGATATGGAGATACGTAACTTGATTTTGATACAACCTTACACGTCATATTGGCTGCAAGTTCGGTGGATTGTACGATCAGCAGAGCCGGAGATCAAGGAGAGATGAAGACTATTCTGAAACACGAGACTATACGAGATATGGCATGTGATTAAGTGAATGCCGAAAAGAAAGGTCACGTTCTCATACTATGGTGCAAGAGATATCATAAGAAATGGGTCCATGAGATGTCATATCCGTGTTCGATTCCCCTGTCATCCGTCACCTTTCAGTTGTACCACAACTGCTACTTAGATGTAGAAAAGGCCGAGTCCTTTAGATCCTTGTGATGTGGCCCACTGTCATCAAGCGATTCAATTAAGGTCAATAATAGCTACCAAAAGCAATGAGCTTAATTAAAGGGGACATCTATCGAGTTGGTGACGGAGAAACTCGACTGTCGTATCCCAATACCTTTGATACTATCTGACCACATATCTGAATATCATGAGCTACCTAGGCAGGTAGGTAACAGAAGAATCATCCCCAAGGCTTAGGCTACTATTTTAAAATAGCCTAAATACTTATCTAAGCTGGCATAAAGTGACTGAAGTATTTCATCTCTTATACTTTTAGGGGCTAATTCTCCTGATACCCTGAGACTCGGGCTATCTTATCCATCTCAACTACCTAAGAATGTTTACTGTTACCTGTGATTGTTACTTGTGACCACACATTACGATGATGATCGTTTCAGTTTCATCTATGCTTAGTGCAGCACATTTGCTGAAGATGTTTGAAAGTAGTTGGAATAAGAAAGTTGAGAGTTGGTCAAGCCTGAAGCTGGTGATGTATTTGATTTATAGCTATTCCTAGTGGTTCCCTGAACTTGTGAGCATGTAATCACATTATTCATTCCATCTGAGGGTTCAAAGTAGTTTGATCCCTGTAGTTACCGATTATTGCTGAAAGCCCTAGTCTTATATACTTATCTCTCAGCCTCTTTCAGAAGATCTACCATCATAGATACTGATAGAGAGATCTATGCTTTGTTAAAAACCCAGTCCTTCCATAGTAAACCTCATATCGCTATCTGAGTAGCATTACAGAAACTAAGTCACATAGTTGACCATAAGGCATAGAATCCCCCCGAAGCCGTACATAGACCTCCTTTAAGATTGGCAATTGGCAATGTAGTTTTGTATTACATTTCGTATTAGCAACTGTTTCTCACTGCTATCTCACTGCTAACTCAAGCAACTATTCTTTCCTTTCGCTTCCTTCCGCGATTGACGATTCCAGCCTGTCTAAAACCTTCCGCGGTTCACACCTTATTCCATGAAATCGAAATCGAAATCGCTCAAATCCAGCTTGGTCTTCTTTGTTGGTCGTGGCTCACTTGAAGTAGAACCACGTTTGTTAGTCGAAGGAGTAGGAATAGAAGGCGTGGAACCTGACCCAGTTACTTGCCCTTTACCCAGTTGTGTCTTCTTGAACTCAGCGAGGTCTTTGTCCAATCTACCCTTGGGATCGCTTTGTTCTTTCTCGAGCTCCTCTTTAAGCTCCTTTTTAAGCTTCTTCTCAAGTTCCTCCTTGAGACGAGCTTGTTCCAACTTGAATCCCCCATCAAGCTCTGCCTTAAGCTCAGCTGTTTGGTTACCGAGTTCCTTCTCGAGAGTATCGACCCTAGGACCTATAGCATTAAATTCACGTGCCAAAAGCGCCAAAGACTGAAAAGGCTTCGCAATCCTCTTCTTGAACCTCTCCTCGCTCGCTTCGGCCGCTTGAAGTGCATTAGCAGCTGTATTAACAGCTGATAACGCTAGATTACGGACTTCTCCGTCTTTGTCTCCATCTCCAGTGCTAATAGTCCTGACCTGCAGAAGGTGAGCCAGCGACATGGCAGTTAAGTAAGTGGCGATCGAACTGTTGATTTGCCCGTTTTTCGCCACGAATTGGCATGCTAAAATCTGTGCATGTTTTGGGATAATCTGTTCCCATGGCCTTTGGTGCGCTTTAGCCCCAGAGTACGCCTGCCATGCCTTCTCGCAGGCAGCTTTGGTGGTTCGGACTAGGCTGGATTCATTTTCATAAGAGCGAGAATCTTTCTTTCCCTTCTGAGAACTCTTCTTCTCCTTCCGAGCAATCATCCTCTCCTTCTGCGAAGTGTAGTGTTCTTTAATGACATCGATTGTATCATCCAATAGCTTAGTGTGCAGTGCATTTGATTCGTCGAAATAGCGGTATGCAGCTTCAATAGCCATCTTCTGAGGCCACTTCTTCTTTGCGTTGCCTGTGCAGCGGATAAGAGGCCAATTGCTTACATCTGGAGCATGATTATTCCATGCCCCCTTATTCTTCTTGAGGTATTGCTCAAGATAGACACTGAAATCGCATTCAGCATCAAGATCATCATTCTCATCGTCGTCTTCGCCGTCGTATTCGTCGTTGTCTTCATGGTTGTCTTCATAATCGTCTTCATCGTCATCGTCATAATCGTCTTCGTCGTCATCTTCATAATCGTCTTCAGCTTCATTCTCATCGTTGTTATAGTTTCCCTCAATCTCATTGCCGTCTTGGACATTCTGGTCGTTCCCATTAGTGTTGTTGGTGCATTTGGGAGTAGAATTGCTGTTTGCAGAGTTGTTGTTGTGGTTTTTAGTCCCCTAGACATCCTCCACAAACATATCAACGTCAGGGACAACAATTATCTCAGCCCACTCAAATGCTGGTTTGTTGTGTGTGACAGGAAGGTTGTTAATGCGCTCAGGGCTAGCAAACGTATCTGCGTAGTTTCCGTTTGCGTAATTTTCAAGGTATCTGTAGCCGTCGAATACAAGGTTGATCTTGCGTTTTTCGCTTTGTACCGCGATATAATCATCAACATTGATACAATCATCAACCTTCTTGTCAGGTGAGAATAGAGGCTTTGCAGTGAAGTTTCGGCGGTCGCATGCCTGAATCGCCCAATGGTCGAAGGCCTGATCACGAACCCATGATCCGAACTCCAGCCAACGGTTTGGAGTAGCGTCCAAACCTCCGTATTCTTCGTCCATTGCGACAGCTAATATTTATTAGATGATGTACAGTGAGCGCAAAGTTCAAATTGACGTACCGATCAAGACAGCGAAGGAGGCGTGCGAAGAAAGATATAGGAGAAGAGTAAAGAAGAGCTGATCTCTGACTTCGTTTGGAGGCTAGTTAGCAGTGGCCACAACAAAGGGCACCCTGATGAGTACCTCCAGGAGTAAGTGAAAAGATTGAAAGCCTAGGACTCTCCGGAAGTTGGGACACTTATAGCTCTCAGGGCAGAACGAGAGCTTAGTTAGTCATAAGTGGATGAAGGTGAAAGATGAAAGAGCGAGAGGTGAAGAAGGAGAAGGAGAATGAATGCGAGTGCGCTGCCTGCTGTAATGAGGGGGCTAGGAGAGTGAATTACCATCTACCCGCTTCTGTTTTGCAAGGCAGTGGATGGCACTGGCAGATTAACTCCTGTTCACTTGCTGGGCTGTTACTGCGCGGGCCATTTAGGCAGGATACCGCGACTGCCAGTTGACTGCCTCCTTCCAATCATAGATTAGCAGAGATAAAAAGGAGTGAAGGGAAATTCAGAAGACTTCTTGTTTCTTTGAGTCGCCCTTATGATTGAGTGTCATTTCGTTCATCTTCACGCAATCAACCAACAGCATGAGAAGAAGGTTGACGCAACTAGACTAGGAGGGAGGCTCACGAGTATCTATTGACAAATTTATGACGAGACCCTAAGGGACGAAATAGTTTGGCAACTTTATGATAGCTTATGTTAGCATTTAGGCTACTTTGTTTTAACACCCTAAGCCTTAGGCAGAGAACAACGTTTGCGAAGCCCTGGCATCCATTATAAGGTGGTGAGTGCTGAGAAGCCTGGGCTATAGAGCTCTCTGCCTATAAGTTTACCCCCTCTCCTTTCTTTTTCTCTTCTTTCCCTTTTCTTCCTCCTACATCCTCCTCCTGCATCTTCCTCCTACATCATCCTTTCCCACCAGACAAGAAGGTCGATGAGTATATCGCGGCACGGCTTGAGAAGCGCAAGATCTACCTCCTACGCCGCAGCTTCAGAATCTATAACAACTACGCAAAGGACGGAGATGAGTTTGTCCATCCTGAGAACACTGATGGCCTTTACGTTACCTTCAACAAAGCAGCATTTCTGTGGGCTGAAGAAGAAAACTATTCTGAGCTCGCAATCGGCAGTATTGACGTCCCTGGGACGTGGTTTGGAGACTACTCAGTGAAGCCGAAGTTAACCAAAGCCATCCGCGAGCGACACAGCGTTGTACTACTCTACAATACCAACCCGCTATTCAACAATCCTTCGGCCATCTGTTTCGCCTCTGAGTCCGCCTTTCAACGAGTATATCTATACTGAAATGCAAAGAAACTCGATAATTATAACCATCCTTGACGATGACGACGAAGAGTACAAGGTACCTATGGAGACCACTCATCGATGATGACTTCGCCTACATTGAAACCGCATTGGGATACGGAATCCTTGTTTGTTTCCCGGGCATGAATGATCTCTTCTGGAGAAACACAAGAATCAGATGCCAATGAGGGCGCAAATGTGCTGGGTCGGCGACCTGGGGTACCTCTTGGCTAAGGAGTACTTGAAAGATTATCCGGTCGAACCCGGATTCCGCGGGCGTTTTAATAGTGGATGCGACATCGTCAATAACATCGTTCGCTCCTGGATCAAGGGCAAGATTGTTGTCCCTGTTGTTTATATGGAGGATAGGCCGTCTGCCGAGGAGTACGTCGAGGGAATTGGAAACCTCAACAACGCTGGAAACAGCAATTATACCCCCCAACACACCTACAACACCAGTTCAAACAACCAGAATGTCCAAGGCGACGATGGGAACGGCCAGAATGCTCGGAAGGAGAAGAAGATTTCTCAGAAGGGAGAGAAAGATTCTCGCCCCTACGAAAATAAATCCAGCCTACTGGGTGATCCGAGCCACCAAAGCTGCATGCGAGAAGGCATGGCAGGTATACTCAGGTGGATGAGAGAAGAATTGTCTAAGGCTTAGGCTACAACAATAAGATAGCCTGAAGGCTAGTCTAAGCTACCATAAAGTTACTAAACCTTTTCGTCCCTTATGCTCTTGACGGCCAGCTCTTCTAATACCCTGAAGGATACCTGATTCTTGTATTTCCCCTTGAGAGATTCATCTAATTCCAGAACACGGAGTGAGATTTCGTTTTCCAACGGAGAAGCCATCACGATAATATTGATGTAACAGCTTTCGACATGTACAATTACTTGGCCTAGCGGAACAAGTTGGATAAGAAGTGTCTCGTCGTTATTCATTATGAACGTAACAATAGTACATGATATCTCGTCAAAGCTGTGACTAACATTAAAGCTTCTGCTCCTTATAATTTACATTAATCAAAAGGAATTCGTCGTAGGCCCTGACCCATGCCTCTCTTCTTCATCTCCTGAGCAGCTGCGATACTGCTAGGGACCTTGATACCACAGCAGTCACCCCAACCCGTACCATCGTGGGCTTTGCCAGTATGGTCATGACCCGCATGTGGATCATCTTCAGCAACTTCCTCATCACCGGCACCGGTGTCCTCACTCATACCATCGTCAGCTGGTACTAGCGATCCGAAAAGGAAGTGCTGCATGACGGGAAGCTTGCCCAAGACTTCGGCGACAAACATGCGGCGCATGCCTCCGTCGATCTTTGTCCATGATCGCGCTGATGAGATGTCATCGAGCATGGGGCTGTGCCATCTCAAACCCTTGACAGTTTTTGTGCTATTTACAAAGCTCACCTGACCCAAGTACATGTAGTCGTGGCCGAACTCTTCCAAGGTCAAGTCCTGATGAATCGCTCTTGGTGTGATATATGGGTGGTGCAACAGCTGCGTGGCACCAAAGAGGAAAGGCAGAAATTGGTAATCATCGAGACCCCAGACACCATGGGATCCAGCAGGTTCGAGGTAGTATGTCATCTGAATAACTCGCATAACCTCCAGGTACCGCACAAAGACCTTAAGTACGATGGGCTTGAAGTCGGACTGCTTTAATAGGCCCAGTTGGTAAAGGCAGAGGAGCCAAATCATAAAGTTCAGCTCGTGTCCAGATCCGTAGTCGATTCGGTTTCCGTTGCCGAATGACTGGCAGAAGTATGTGGAAAGTTCGTTGATAGCATCTTCGTTCTGTACGCCGATCTCGCGATGCCACTCTGCACTATTTTTTTGAGCAAGCTCGAGAAGGCCGCGGAATGCCTTGTTTCCAAATCTCGAACCGCCCTGCTCATCTGGAGGAGATTTTGATACCAGTTGTTCTGTCTCGTCGAGGATGTGTAGGATGGTTTTGACAGGGGCGCTCAAGTCTGCGTCCTTGACCGCGGAGTTGGGAGTATCCTTTACGGACTCTGCTAGGGCAAAGACCCAGGCTGTGATGAGCTTATATGTTGAGGATGAGAGGAAGATATCATGGTCCTTCTTCGATAAAATTCGTCGTGAAGGCGTCTTGAACGTCCAGTTGTTGGTCTCAGGTGGCGTGGGTAGAGTGGGCGTCTCGGGGATGGGAGTAGGATTGGAGGGGCCGGAGCGTCGCTTTCGGGGTTCGAGCTTTGGGAGTCGGTCTTTGAGATTTGGTATCGATGATGCCGCTGGTTCTGCGGCACCTTGTGGTGATGCTGACTGAGGAGGAGCTTGTGAAGTCATTTTGTGTACAAGTTGTGGTTATGTTGTTGGTAGGTTGAAGTTGGATTGCTAACACCGAGAGAGGCTGCATGTCATAAGTTATGGAGCTTTGATTGGCAGCCACCTTTACGGGTAGCTTCTAGACCGACCCCACTATCTTCATGTCACAGCGAGTAACAAACCAACTAACTCATAGAACATTTTTCTTTTCTCAGGTGAATTCTAATAGCTTCACTCTCATACCTTGATACTAATCTCATAATTTCTCACGCTCAATAATTTCCACTCACTTCAATTGACCAAGATAATCCGATATACCACCTGACGCAACGCGGGGCCATAGCTCAAGGGACCTAGGAAAATTTCCCAGCCTTACAAGACAACCAAAACTTAGTCGTTTCAAACACCAAATCAAAGACATCACAATGGCTCCCATCGAACCCACAGCCGAGCTTTCACATCTCACAAAGTCCGACGGCTCTGCGACATTCTCATACGGCGGATATGCCGTGATAGCCGCAGTCAACGGCCCTGTCGAGGCCCAGAGACGAGACGAGAATGCCTTTGAGGCTCTGGTGGACGTCATTGTTCGTCCCGCCGCTGGCGTAGGAGGTGCGTAACATGTCTTGTTACAGATAGTATCAGATCCTCATACTGACTCGTGTCGCAACTACAGGTACCCGTGAGAGACAGCTTGAGTCCATCATGCAGGCTGCGCTCAGGCAGCTCATCCCTGTGAGAGACTTTCCTCGATCTGTGATTCAGATCACTCTTCAGGTGGCCGAGACACCTGAGAATGCATACGTCAATGCAAAGATCAATCAAGCCCAATTGGTAGGATGAGATGTCAAACAGATGAGATACCCTTGAGCTGACGTTTACCAAAGAACCTCCCCATCATTCCCGCACTTTTCCACACAGCTATCCTAGGACTTCTCAGCGCCGCAGTTCCTCTGAAGACTATCGGCGCAGCGACTCTACTTGCCATTCCTGAGGAGGAGGGCAAAGGCATCATCGTCGATCCAAGCGCCGTAGATATTGATCACGCGAAGTCAGTGCACGTTCTCGGATTCACTTCTCACGATGACTTGCTCTTGGCGGAGAGTGAGGGCGCTTTCACCCCCGATGAGTGGACCAAGGTTCTCCAGACTGGACAGCGCATATGTTGCGAACATCAGCAACCTGGCTTCGATACAGCTATGTCCGGAGACAATGTTGAATCCCCGGGCATGCGACAGTTCATCCGCTCTGCTATGGAAGCTCAAGTGGCGGAAGACCTTCACTGGAAATGATCCACCAGTCCAAACTGCATGACAACAAGCTCGTTATCTCCAACATGTATCTACAGCCAAGATGAGCATCAAACCCTCGTTTACAGAGCAGTAGGCGCCCAGCCACTAGCCGTTTACCAATCTGATCAAACATAGCGTAAGACTCTCGCGTGGCGAGGATTATCTCGACGGGGCTTTGAGGCCAGCCTTGAAAATCCTGAGAAGAGGGTCAAACCCAGGATTATCAAATTGGCTTTTTTGTTTCCCGTTATTCAAACTGCCAAGCATAGTTTGTTCTTCCCAAGTCTGTCGGGACTTTGCTGATCCGGGCTGCTATCGGATAGGGTGTCAATATGTGTGTACATCAGCTCCTCAGCCTCAGTGGACGAGACGAAACTGGCGGGCTGGGGATGTTTCACCATAGCATCAGAAACCGTGTTGGCAGTCTCAGGCCGATTTAGGGATTGGACGAGTTAGCGAAGGAGAATAGATACCAATGAAATTTCACAGAATCTTGATATAAAACATTTTTTCTTGACCGTATCCCCAGACTGGAAGGTTGGTTGGTCTGTTTGTGATTTTAAACGCGGTGAGGATCTTGATGGCTTTTTCTTCTCTTACAAGGGGGCTTACAAAACTGGGGGTTGCATTAAGATACGAGCATGCAGACTTGCAGAGTTACAGCAAAATGCAACACTCTTGTCAGCGTTTGTACGGAAGGGACATTTTGAGTGAATATTTCCGACTTTGTATCCAATGCTTAGTCTAGATCTCCACGTTGCCGTTTGGTACCGAAACATGAGGTGAACAACCTAGGAGAGATTATTGCTGAGACAGCTACAGCTTGCCACGCGGGTAAATGTCCACATGGCATTGGCCAGTTTCTACTATCCACTATTTACTGGTAAACAGTCTGTGATAATACCTGATGCCAATGTTTTGGTGTCACAACGGCTAAGAGGATCGTCATAGCTGATGTTATAACCATTGTAGAGCTCGGAGGCCGAGGTTCATGTGTCGATTAGGCGAACAGATTGACAATGTTGTACTGAACAAAAGATGAACTCAAATTGGTGGAATTTGAACAAGATGAAGTTAAATCTCAAACAAATGTTGACTTGCATGTAAGCATTGTATCACAGACTATCATGCCCTACGTGTTGATAGAGTTTATGTGCACTTACAGCCGCATGAAAAAGAAAAGAGCTCGAAACTAACAAACTGGGGAAATCTGCAACATCCCGGAGGCCGTTGGAAAGCTAATGTCCACTTGACAACTGTAGGGTCCACTTGCTGGGCGTAAAATACTCATAGAATGCCCTATCGTTTAGGTATCCTACTAGGAAAAGCACGGAGGATATCTAGAGTTATATTACATGGACTAGGATACTCTTTCATATCCTATAATACCACTAATCATATAAGTCATTGCATATTACTTGTCCCGTCCAAGAGCCACTAGTTGCGGTAAGCAATTAGCTACCTACCTATGGAAATACAATTGGATTCAGCTCCATGGCTATCAACCATGCAGTTGGGTCCCGTCCGTCCCCTATCAACTGCAACGTCGTTTTAATCGACGTCTCAGCCGGCGCTAGACGAGGAAAAAGATTTTGTCACAGGGAGTCTAGGCTCTCAAAGGGGCGACCAGGGGGTTTCATCTGCTATCACCGATCACCGTAGGTCAAGGGGACCATGAGCACCTGAATTCCATGGGCTACTGAGTTCCACGACGGGAGCTTTTCCCAAATGACCAAAACGAGCCCAGACCCTGGAGCAGATATGACAAGGGGAGAGGAGAAGGAGGAGGAGGAGGGGATGAAGTTTTAGAACTCGAGATAACTATGGAGAAGAGGTGTCGGATATAGGAAAACAAGGAAACACTGAAGGAAGAGTATTAAAGAGAGGAATAGTACGCATCAGTTCTTTGGTTCGGTAGCCGGTCTCAACTCAACACTCTCTTTCCTCCCAAGGACAATCATCCTTTTCGTACCTACTCGAATACTGCATTGCATCCTTTTTTTTGTTGTTCTGTTCACTACATCGATTGTAATAATCACGCGAAAATTCAATTGTTCATCAAAGGCTCTGTGAGTCTCAGTGTCAAAAGAATTCGCCCACTTTATTTCTTCTTCTCTCTTTCTTTCTTCTATTCGCCCTTCGCTTATAAAGTGTTGCTCTTTCTCGTTTCAGTTGTCACCGAATCCTTCGATTGGCCAAGTGATTAAAAAAGCTGTTGGTCCTTTCTTGTTTCTTGTAAGCAAGAGCTGAACATCTTTTTTCTTCTTCGCTGGTCGTTGAAGTCAAATCGAATCAAACCCTTTCCTTGCATCACATATTTTTGTGGCTTGCAGGCGACTTGCATTAGATTGGGATTGCATTGTGTTGCGTTGCATCTGCAGTCAGAAGAGAAAGATCCTCGAATCCTTGTCTTGTCTTTCCTTGCTCTGGGAACCTTGTTCTTCCATTGCTTCTATTTTCTTCTCGCCTACGCCAGTTCTGCCCGAGACTCCGATCACTCTGCGAGTGGAGATACTGTTCGTTCATCGACGGTGAATAGAAGACACAATAATCGGCAACCGAACACCGCTTGTTCTTGTTCTTGTTGTGTTTTGGTCTGGAATATCACCCACGTGAATCATTTGCAGCTGCGACTACCATCAACTCATCACCTACCATCACCCAATAGCGCCTTGTCCCTCCCGCTCGGCTCGGCTCTTGCATCCATCTAAGAAGCTGTTCCAGCATCGACAATCCAATCCCTGGAAGCGTCTCATTCCCCCACAACCAACTAGCGATTCGACGAGTCCTCTGTCACGGGTCGACCCTTCGGATATCACTTTTCTCGATTCTCGATATTCGATACTGCAGTCTTGTCACTTCCCTCATTGGGTCGTCTACATCCAGTCACCGTACATCCAACCGAGCTATTAATACCGCCGAATATTACACACACACTTCCGACGTCATCCACATCTTTGTCAGCCAACCCCTGGAAGACTTCTGAAGTGCTGGTGCAAGTCAAGTCAGATCTTTGTATCTGTGTACCTGGATATTCTTATTTACGGATACAAGAACGGCATTTGTGCTTCAAAATCCGAGGCTTGTCTCCGCTTGCTCCGCGGTCTTTTCCGGTTCAGTCAATCAATCAGTCAACGGAATTTCCTGCTGGAATATACTTTTATCGCTTTTCCCTTTAAAAGTCACAGTCACAAACAGGAGTGTGTGATCAAAAGCACCAGATAAAGCAGCCAAGATAACGAGACATCGCGTGCTTTGACTTCAACCCCCTGTTTTTACTTTCCATTACGGCAATTCGGGGTCCCTATTTAGCTCCCCATCACTTCTGTTACAGCGGCCCCCCTCCACTAGCATCGGAGATATGACAGGCGTACTTTCACCCACGGCTCTCCACCCAGCTCTTGGCAACCCCCAGGACCGAGACAGTAACGGCTACAGCACCAGTACCTTGTCTCCTGCTTCTATTCCTTTGCCTGCTCCTTCGCCTCTTAAGAACACCACCTTCGCTCCTTCTGAATCAGACTCTCGTCAAACTCAGAGTCAATTGTTCGAGCAGTCAGGTCCGTTCTCAGCACCTTTACTTCCTGCCTTATCTTTCTCTGACCATCCTCAAGTACTGGACCCTTTAAACCCTCAACCTTCCCTTAAAGACTCCACTTCTACTGCCGCTTCCACTTTGTCTTCCGCCCAAGCTCAAGACCAGCAAGAGGATACAACTCCGTTGAGCTCCTCTTCTTTGCTTGCTTCTCCTTCATCATTGCCTCTTTCAGCCTCAGATCAGACCGCGTCGTGGGCTTCTTCTCAGTACCAAGCTCATCGGTCTAATTCTGGCCCGAGGGTTTCGGCTTCGGTCATCCGCCACAACAAACCCGACGCTCTATCTCTCGCACTCCCACCTTCTTCCCACAAGATGATTGCTTCAGTACAAAACTCAGAAGCTCAAGAGTCAGACTCTCAGTCTCTCTCACAGCCAGCTTCATCTTCGGCTGTACCCGGTCTTTCCAACGTCCTCCAGACCTCAGGCTCTGCTACTCCTTCGCAAAGTTTGACTGATGCGCTGAACGACCTCGCCAAATCTCGCTTGCCTACCGCTGGTGCAACGCCCACTACCGCTCGCACTTACACCTCTATTGCCAGCAACGACACAGCTACTTCTGACGCCGCAGCCACCATCCTTGCCTCAACTCTCCAGTCTCCATGCTTCTACCATCAACGCTTCGCTGATGCTGTTGATATCGGCAAGGTCCTGGAAGAGATCAAGAACGATGTTTCCATGTCTCACTCGCGCCTCGTTGCGACTGCAACTGGTGTCCGAGAAGTTTCCAAGCAGCTCCAGCGCCGTCCCATCAAGCGCGCTGTCCGCAACATCATGATTGTCACAAAGGCCCGTGACAACCAATTGGTCTATCTCACTCGTGAGCTTGCTGGCTGGCTCCTGCGAACCCCACGCTACGGCTCCGACCTCGGCGTTAACGTCTACGTCGATGCTAAGCTCCGTAACTCGCGACGCTTCGATGCATCTGGTCTGCTTAACGAGAACCCTCGCTTCCAGCACATGCTCAAGTACTGGACTCCCGATCTGTGCTGGAGCCAGCCTGAGAAGTTCGATCTTGTCCTCACCCTTGGTGGTGACGGTACAGTTCTCTTCACATCTTGGCTCTTCCAGCGCATCGTCCCCCCTGTTCTCTCATTCAGTCTCGGCAGCCTCGGCTTCATGACGACATTTGAATTTGAGAAGTACAAGGAGCACCTCAACAGAGTTATGGGTGATGACGGTATGAAGATTAACCTTCGTATGCGCTTTACCTGTACCGTTCACCGCAACAACCGCGGTGCTGGAGCTCTTGACGCACCCAAGCTCGAGGAGCCTGAGCAATTTGAGGTTCTCAATGAGCTCGTCATCGACCGAGGCCCTTCACCTTACGTCTCTAACCTCGAGCTGTATGGTGACGATGAGCTCCTCACTGTCGTACAGGCTGATGGTTGCATTTTCTCCACTCCCACTGGCTCTACTGCATACTCTTTGTCAGCCGGCGGTGCCCTCGTCCACCCTGATATCCCTGCCATTCTTCTCACTCCTATCTGCCCTCATACTCTCTCCTTCCGACCCATGGTCCTTTCCGATACCATGGCTCTCCGAGTCGTTGTTCCTCGCAACTCTCGAGCCACTGCCTACTGTGCCTTCGATGGCAAGGGCCGTCTCGAACTCCGACAAGGAGACTGTGTCACCATCACTGCCTCTCAGTACCCCTTCCCTACCGTCACACGCACCGACAATGAATGGTTCGACAGCGTCAGTCGCACTCTCCGCTGGAACGTCCGTGCTTCTGCCCAGAAGCCCTTTGACGCTGACGTTACTGAGGACGGCAAGGACGATGATGAGGTCGGCTGGGATATCGACACCGATAGTGCATGCTACGCCAGCGAGGATGGGAGTGTTAGTGCCAGTCCCATTCGTCGTCAAATGAGTCTTCTGGGGCTATGATCCGAAGCGTAGCATAGCATCTCATTCATCCATCTATACAGAAAAGAGCGAATGGTTTTCAGGCAAGGTGTTGGCGGCGTTTGGCTTTTTGCATTACCAGTTGATCTGGGCAATAAATACATCAATAGATTAGGTCTCTAGTTAGAGTACCATCCAGGAATAATTTGGATATGATGGCGAGCAGGTACTTAGACATCTAGAATAAGAAGATTCATCGTCTTGTCAATGCAATACACAATGCATGACTATTAACTTCTGAAAACATTATAATGAGTGATGTGGTGTCCAAGACTCGGCTTCTCAGGATATGACCAATCGACTCATGTTATGGCAGGACATTGTGATATGCCTACGAGATCCACGATATACGCAACAGAGCTTGGGATTATCAACACTAGAAGTAATTCTTGATCAACGATGGGCCAGTTATGGACCGAATGAAGCCAAATCTAGAAGAATCTGTCATCCCAAAGTTTAGACATACAACAGCTAACGATACGGCGCCAGGCGTCAGGGTATCAGAAGAATTGGCTACCAAGAGCATAAGAGATGAAAGGATTCGGTCACCTTGTGCTAACTTAGGCTAGCATTAGGTTACTTTATTTCTGTAGCCTAAGGCTTAGAGTATTTCTTCTGTTGCTTGCCTGCTGGGGGGACCTTTCGACTTCTACAAGCGCTTTCACACGTTGTCGTCACGTTACATTTCGAATGATTGCAATCAACTTTGTGCATTCCAATTTCTCGTGACGAGACAAGTCATTCTTGATGATGTTTGCGAGACAGTGTCTCTTGTTCTTTTCCATTCATCCAAGAAGCCGAGCTACCAGCTTCACCTAAGCCAGCAATATTGGTTGAATGTCAAAGCATATTTACAAGCACCAGTTCCCAGGCGCCCAAACCAAACCCATACCCAGCCACCCTTGAACAGGACATGAACAAACATCGTACACCTATGTACGTACATTGGGGAACAGACTCATACAATATTCATGCAAATGCACGACAGATTCTCTTCTCCGTTTCTGGAAAGAAAAGATCACAAAAGATAAGTCGCATAGACCGTATAACTGTCATCCGGTTATTCCCCTTGCATTACATCCGAGAAACTGCAACGGCAGCTCTTTAAACTTTTTTTTCTTCATCATTTGGTTCACCTCCAGGCTCCCTGGCTGAGGGAGAGAAGGCCAGCGACACAATCCATGTCGGGCTTCTTACTAGGGCTGACCGAGCCTCGCATGAATTTCTCGACCTCGTTCTCTCGAGAAGGCATAGCAGACTTCATCGTGTCCTCGAAAATCTCCAATCCTTCTTTTATAATGGACCGGGGGCGTGCGGGGGCAGTGTTTGCTCGGTTGGCTAGTAGGTTTGGACTTTTCTGCTCCTGAAGAACTCGCCCGAGACGTCGGGGGTTCTCGCTAACGGGCTTAGGAGCAGGGGGCAGAACTCGACGGTGATAAGGATCAGGGGAGCTATGATCCTCGTCAGGGCTCAAGTTTTCCTTGTCTGAATCACCGCCCGTTGGTGAGACCAACATGGAAACCTTTACCTTGCCATACTCCCTGTCTGCGTTTTCAAGATCTTCCAATTCCGTCTCCAGTCGTGAGATACTCGATCCAGTGGGGTCCAGTCTAGCCTTCTTCGCCTGGTGAGGTCGCTGCTGGGGTTTCGTCATGGGAGCGTTGCGCTTAGCAGGGCTTGGCTGCTGAGCTCCCCCAAGGGATCGAAGGATGTTGATAGCCGCAATCGCCGATCCGTTCGACTCGTGTTCGGCCTGGGCTGTCAGCTCATCACGATTCTCTGCGTCCGCGCAGGACTCCCAGGCGTGCACGTTACGAGACCGACCTCGCATAAACCTAGGAGGAGGCAAGCTGTTGGTAAGTGCCGTGATAGGAGGTAGAGTGACCGATGGAACCGCGCTATGGCTACGCTGCAGACTTCGTTGTCGCACCTGGGGCAGACTTGGTGTAGTTGAAGATGGCCGAGGAGGCATTTCACGTGAGGGAGAGCCTTGGTTGGAGACAAGCTCAGCCTTGCCTTCTAGAGACATTGACAGGCGAACCTTGGACTGGCTCTGTGGATAAGAGGAACCTTCAGACGTGCACGAGGAAGGAGGGAAATGATCAAATCTGTACGGGTCAGCTAGAGATCACGGATGATGAGAGAAACCACGGCATACCTGAAGGAATCATCCCCGCTACGGCTCATAGCGGGTGGGGTGGAGAAAGAACCTGGAGCGGAGTTCCAACGGTTGGCGAGATAGCCAACGTTACTAGAGATGGAGCTGGACAAAGAATGGGAAGCACCGTGAGCACTATGAGAGAGAGCAGGATCGATACGGTTGGGAGTGACATCGGGGAAGCGGTAGTCACGGTCCCGAGGAATGGAGACCGGTGTGCTATTTAAGAGGTCTGAATGAGTTCGTGGCATAGAAGGAGTCTGATCGTAAGGTCGAGGCGCAGAGATATGATCCGCATATCGTGATCCAGTAGGGTCGGTTACTGGGAATGCCTTCTCAGGCCTACTAGGCGTGGTGGTGTTGACGATAGGGTCGGAAGGGATGACGTTCATGCCTCCAAATTGGAGAGCAGCGACCTCTTGTGGTGATAAGGGACGTGCCTTGCGGCGGTCGTTCTGTCTTCGGTTTTGAAACCAGATCTGGTAGGGGTCATGTCAATTTCGTGGTTCTAGAAAATAAATTTGGCAGACGCGTTGAGAGCCAACTCTTGATAGGGTAGAGATTCCAACGTCGACCATTGAGTTTGCCATACCTGAACTTCTTTTTCATTCAATGACACGCGCTGGACAATGTCCAGGCGCGCCTGCTTATCGGGTTTGGGATTGCTGCTGTACGCCTCTTCGAGAATCATCTTGTCCTTGGCCCTGCACGACGCAATCGAAACAAAATTAGCTCAGCTCTTTAGATTCTATTCGTCCACCCTTGAAATCGAGTTGCCATTGAGATCAAAACATACACCGTGCGTTTTCTCTTCCCCTTGGGATGCTTCTCCGAGTCGGGGGCGGACATGTTTGGGTTGCCAGTGGCATCTGCCAGAGGAGGGAGGCTCTGGGGCGTGACGGCGACATCGTGTTGGCTGGGGGCCGAGGCAGCGTGTCTGTCGGGTGTAGCGGCGACGAAGGAAGAGTTGTTGTGGGCGGCCATGATTGCGGATAGGAGGAGAGGGTGATGGAGATGGCCTTATTGTTGATGCAGACACATTACTGGACGGAGAATGGACGAGGAGGCGATTTGTCTGGGTGGTGATTTGTTTCGCGAGAGGACGAACAGAACAGTCACGATATTAACAAGGGAGTAAACAGATGTACAGAAGAAAGATGACAAGAAAGAAGATTTGGTTAGTAGTCCTAGAGGTCTTGATGATGAAGAAAGAGATGAAGAAGTGAAAGAAGAGACGGGAAGGAGAACGAGGTTGTCGTTGTAGAGTCCAGTCAAGTCAAGTCTAGAGTAGAGTAGAGGAGCGACGTGTAGTTAGGGCGTGCTTCTAAAACGAGGCGACCCAGCCTAGGAAGGTATCGTCCCTTCAGTTCCCTTCCAAGGCCCTTGCGCTGTACTTCCCCTCCTGGGTCCCCATTTGTCTTGGGCGCTTGCGCCTCCGCGTAAACCTTGTAAACGCGCCCCCCTGTCCGTGGCACTTGCTAGCACTGACAGGGAAAAAAACCCAGTAAACAACAGAAAAAAACCCTACGAAGCCAAACCAACCTCCCCTACCGCACTTTCAGATCTCCATCTTTAAGTGCTATTTACCTGGGCTCGTTGGAGATTAGATTAGTTATTCGTTAGCTTTCCCGCCTTGTTCTTTTTTAATAGATGGCGTATGTGCTTTCCCCGAAAACGCGGTATTGATTGATTGGATCCCTTAGGGAGTTAAAGCGCGTTGTCTCAGTCTCACCGTGACTTGAGTTTGGTTCCATGATCATTTAAGCTTTCATATAAAATGTCTTGCTCAAGAGACCTAACTCCCTAATCTACAAGATGCCGACCAGATACGGTACGAGGGAAGATGACTTGTCCCCTTACGTTAGTACCTGGGTAGGATAAGAACTATGGAACTGTTTTTTTTTTTTCCTTCCTACCCCTTCCATCGTTTTGCATCCCCGCAAGAGTATTGGATAAAAAGAGAAAAGACGCGCTACATTAAGTTGTGGAGTAGTTCATCAACAGGAACCCGAACAAACCATCACAAACGCGTGAGGTCCAATACTAGACATAACTTTATTTTTATCTGTTGAAGAGCACGGCCAGTTAGTTGTCTATCCTGACGTACTTTGCGTCACAGGGGGGAATACAGAGTTGAGACTCTAGAAAAGAGTTTTTTTTTTGTTTTTTTGCAGAAACTTGCTCCTCGATTTTACTGGACTCTGGGTGTATATGCGGCTAGAGGACAAGGTGCATAAACTATGCATGCAGAAGAATTCGGGCATGATCTAGCTTGAGGCAAGCTTTTCATTCCAGTTTCTTACCCAGGGTCTAACTCGACTGAGGAGCATAGTTTGCTTAAAAATCTTGGTTCATTCCCTTGTTTCTCATCATGCCCCACGCTCTTTATGTATGCATGTACGTATCCGTATGGATGTCTGTATCTGATCAATTAACAAACGGTGTTAGTTAAGTACCTAGCGATCCTGGGGGGAACCAGACCAGACCATATCGTGGTCAATTGACACCCCTGTTTCATTAAGTGGCTGCATGCGCCAGTACAGATACGCAGGGGTGTCATGCCCGCCATCCATGGTCCATCCATCTCAACTGTTTTAATAGCCACTTTATTTTGTCTAAACAAATAAATAAACCGCCAAGCCTAATCTCTCAATCTCTCTGTCTGCCTACGTAACATTGGATGACAACACAGATCCTGGTCAACGGTCCTTTAAATATCATTCCCCTACAGCAAGTCCGCGTGCCATAATCGATTATCGAGATTAGAGATCTCCCATTTCATTTCATTTACTTGATTCTATTTTTCTTCTCTTAAACATTATCTAAAATCCTATTCGTCTGCACGTCCAGTCTCGTATAAGTTATGGATCCATCCTCCATCCATGTTTGTATCTTGTTTTGATGGGTCCCCTCCAAAAAGCGCGTCTCACGTATTTATGGGCTGCTGCATCAACAAGAAACACAACAGCTCGACATGTCTTTCTTTTTCCGCATTCACTAACCACCAAACGCGCTTTGTTTGCTTCTGGATGCATGTACACACACGCATATGCACAAAGTGGAGGGATGCCATATCCATATCCATCCATATCCATGTAGATTGTCAAACCACTAAGCCATGATCGTCAACGTCTAGCCTCCCACTCTGCTGTCTCGACTTTAAACCCGATTACTAACTCTGACTATCCGTATACGAGGACAATACCATGAAACCGTAAGATCCTCCGACCAAAATAAACACTTCTCAAGCTAGCCTTTAGACTATTTGATGAGATTATTTCGGTTACGATAAAAATACCAGATCGTAGGCACTGTACCATCCGTTGTTTAACGAGGTCTTGGTCACAACAAGAAGAAACATCTTTGTTCCAAATCATGTTTCTCCTGGGCTAGTCGCTCATAACTCATCCCCACGCTCTGCTAAATCCTGGAATTACTACAGACATAAACGCTAGATCCCTGGTCTGATCTGTAGGCAAGCACATGCTCAAATCAGGACAACTAGGGTGGCGATCTTATAATCAAAGGAGCACACCCAAAGACAAGCGATGGATAATTCATTGGTAGATAATCTGCTCTCATGTCACTCCCGGGTCGCGTGTTTCAATCACTTTAGCATAAATAATGCGGCTCATAACGGTCTTCGTATTAGCCGAAGATCTCAACGTCCGTTCGACTAACCTTTTGCACAAGCCTGGCATGTGGATGTCTTCAACGCCCTGTCATTAGATGATTAGAATCACGGACGACCCCTGTTTTCGGTAACATGCAGATCAAATGTATAATCTCGACAAACGTGTTATCTTAATTATAGAAATCCGAGTCACACACTGAACTCCTAGAGCGTGACTTTGGGCACTTGTCTCAGAAGGCCCTTCTCATCTCAGGACTGCGAATTGGCATGGTTCCGCATATGTTGTAAAGAACATGGCCAGATATTCACAATCATATGACGACATACGAAATTTAAACTTCAGAATGCAATTCTCCATCTCTCCAGCAACTTGTTCATATCTAAATGCCTACATAATCAAGGGGAATTCTCAACAAGCCTAGTAGGTAGGTAACAGAAGAACTATTCTTCAAGGTATAGGCTATCATAACAAAGTAGCCTAAGTGCTGATCTAGGCTAATACCAAGTGATCAAATAACTTCATCACGTATGCTTTCGAGGGCTAATTCTTCTGATACCCCGAGGCCAAGTTATAGGCTATTGACATATTGGCTGTCCTCACCCGTCCGGCCGCCTCAAGAGAGACCGGCGGGATGCATTAGAGCAGCATGGCAGTTGTCGAATCACACCTGTCAATTGAGCCTATCTACATGTGCTACCTGCAATATGCCGAACAAATTTAATCGGGAGGCTAGGGTAACACGACGCTGTGATGAATGTCAAGGTGGCTCCAAGTTGACTGACTACTCCGACAACCTGGGCTGGGATGCGGCTACACACACAACGTCTGTGTTTATCTTCAGTACAAGATGCATTGATTGAATCTCCCTTCAACTCGATGGCAGAGCTTCCCCCGTCAGGACCCTGTCTCATCCATCCCTAATCTGCAGTACATCACATCGTGCATTAACACAATAATTCCACCAAAGGGTCAAGGTTCGTTGTCTCAGCCAAGCCACGCAAACTTGGCCCTATTCATTGTTTTTGTGGAGGAAGTCTAGCTAAACTAAATAAGACACTGCTCTTTGCAGTGCACCGTCCCTTGTAACCCCAAAGAGAGGCATGACGGCCAGTCTTTTGTGCCGCCCCATAATCACGCTGCTGTAAACTCCAGGACTTCCGTCCTGTACTCATAAATGGTCGTTCCGGCTGCCTATGTGCCATCCTCAAACACTGCCCAATGCACCGTTCCTTCTTTGGACACTTGGCAGCATCCTCCTCAACAAAGTTTTTCCGTGAACGCACGAGTCATTTACAGATCGTCGTCGGAAAGCTCACCAGGCAGAGGCATGGCGGCGGCGTCCTCCATCTCCTTGCGGTACTCCTCCAGGAGCTTCTCGTCGACCTGGGCAGTGGGGGGAGCCAGAGCGGGAGCAGCAACGAACTCCTGTTCAAATTGATTAGCATCTTGGAACTCAAATGGCAAGACAAAGTAATCTTACAAGCTGAGGGTTGCCGACAAGCTTGCGGGCGAGCCAGAGGAAAGGCTTCTCGAAGTTGTAGTTGGACTTGGCGGAGATATCGTAGTACTGGAGGTTCTTCTTTCGGTGGAAAGTGATGGTCTTGGCCTTGACCTTTCGCTCCTTGACATCGACCTTGTTACCGCAGAGAACAATGGGGATGTTCTCGCAAACTCGGACGAGATCACCTAGAAATAATTGTCAATCGCGGTTCTGATGATGATATCATGGCGGGGTGGGACTCACGGTGCCAGTTGGGGACGTTCTTGTAGGTGATACGGGAGGTAACATCGAACATGATGATACCGCACTGGCCGTTGATGTAGTAACCGTCACGGAGACCACCGAACTTCTCTTGACCGGCGGTATCCCAGACATCGAACTGAATCTGACCGAAGTTCTGTGATGGAATTAGTACCCCGCATAGATCAACGTGGGGTCGCCAGACTTACGGTGGTGAAGCCAAGAGGGTGAACCTCGACACCGAGGGTGGCCATGTACTTCTTCTCGAACTCACCAGTCAAGTGACGCTTGACGAAGGTGGTCTATCGTAGAATGAATTGTTAGTCGACGTTGCAGTTTTGATGGGCGGTCGCTTCATGTCTCTCGAGATTCGGTTCAACTTGGCGGAGTAGAGCTCGGCGGTCGTCGAAGAAAAAATCGCGAAAAGAGGATGTTGCGTCATGGGATCCTACACACCTTTCCGGTACCACCGTCACCGACAAGCACGAGCTTGAAGGTAGGGGTCTGCTGCTCAGCCATTTTGATGGTTGTGTTTGTGGTGTTGTAGCGACAGGCGCGAAAGATGTAAACAAGCGGGGTGCTGAGAGGCCTGGGTTAGCTTCTGTTGAGCAAGCGGTCGGCAAAGATGGCTCGATTCGAATGTTATGGGATGGGGTGGATGGGTATCAAGTGAGATGTATATACGTCGAGGTGAAGGAGCGGCGAGGGGGACTGGATCCTAAATACCTGAAAAAACCGTTGCTTGTTGGTGGGTATATTGATTGACAAACTTTCAAGAGGTCAACCTGATGGATGTTTTGAAAGGCGGCGGGGGACTTTTGGGCAGGGAAGGACCTCAAGCGAAAAATTCAGTCGCCCCTACCTACCTTGGAGTGGATAGGCTGCACGTGATGCACGTCCATTCAGTATTAAGTACAGTATCCTTTGGCTTCTGCTAGCTGCCAGTGATCCACCTACTCAATCAAGGCCTGCTGTCACCGTCACCGCTCTGAGCCCGAGAATCCGCTCTTGTCATTGGGCACCGTTTTGTTGATTCGATCCTATGCGTCTTCCTGTTCGCTGCTTCCTGCTCCGCTGGCTGTGCATGGCCGCCTGGTAGTGCCTGGCCTTGCTTTTTGGTCCGTCATTTTTCTTTATGAGGTGATCCCAGCGCCTTCAGTCAGGCTCCCTTCTGTCGATACCACCCTGCCACCCGACATCATGGATCGGGTGAGCTACCTCTAAAGTCTAAGGTTGTTTGCATCAAGATGGTTAGTCATCTTGCCCAGGCAACCTCTAGGCAGCTTTAGGTAGCACGCATTGTACTATCACTTTCAAATTTCATTGGACAATACTGTAGTCACAGAGAAGGACTCTGATACATATTAAGTTATGAAGGTAAGGTTAGTAATCTATTCTTCCGTAAGTAGTTCCATCAATACCATGCTTCTGGTCTCTCATGAGGCCTCAAGACCAATTTTCATAACAAGATTGAGTGTATGCCTCAGCAGCTGCCTAAACAAATAGACACAAGCTTTGTAATCACCTCATCTGAGTTGGCACCAATAGGTTGTTGACCGATGCTTCTGGGCAGCTGGCTATCAAAGATAACATACCCTATTTCAATGATACGCCTGAGCTTGGTACTTAGGCATACCATGTATTGGGTTTGAAATGCGTGCCCATCCCTTACACGTGTTCCCCTTCTCTCCCAGGTTGCCAGAATTGCATTTTCCAGGTCACCATGGTTATGTAGTGTAAAGACTGGCCATTCTATGATAGTACTATTCTTAGCCTAACACCCATGTACCAATGAAATCTCTTGTACTTATAAGTTATACGATATGGCAAAGAATGAGGGCAGCATCAAGGCTATTATCTTTAGTCGCAACTGTACTATACTGTCATATACAGCATCCGGGCTACATCACAATGAACGAAACTCTGTATGTCACGATGACTGCCATGATACTGTGATGACGGCTAATATTAGTCTGAGGCACCCAATCTCGCTCTGTGAATGTTTGAGGTCCTCTGTCACTCTCTAATCTGCATAAACGCTTCCAATGACTGCCATCGATATAAGCAATGCACAGAACCTTGTAGAGTCTTCCATTATGATATGACATTTGGCTGTGGCCTGATCAACTTCAGCATTACAGAGGAAGAATATGACAACCCAACATGCCACGACCACCCCAATCTTTTCTGGGTGTGAGAGTCAACCTCAACTCCTGTCGTTCGGCAACGCCGTCTGCTCGTGATACTCTGATGAAAACGCTGTTCTATGTGTTGTTAGCTGACATGCCTTCGTGGACTATTCCTCAATCTCAACTTACTCCTTCATTACCCTGAACACACTCCGCAACCTTTCTGAGATTGTCATGATTGGCCCGGTTGACATAGCCAAAATTGCGAATCTCATCCCCAGCTTTCAGACCAGCAGTCTCTGCAGGACTTCCTGCGGCTACAGTGTTGACCTTGGCGAAAGGAGGATCCAAAGGTGCAGAAACTGAGTCTGGTAAGACTGATTGGGAGCTTCCTGAGTCTGCAACCGGTACAGCATCATTCTCGTCGAGACTAGCGAAATGTTCGTGAAGGTATTTCTCAATACGAGCCATCAAAGATTTATAATCATTTCGTAGAAGGATGATGCGAGCTCTTGTGGTTCGAACTACAGCTGTTAGTGGATGAACACCTAATAACAGTGTTCAAGATAATACTTTGAGCAACATCGATGTCCGCGCGAGGGAAACCATCACTTGTCAACAGAGAAGTGCCCATATCAACTCCATGCTGCAAAAGAATCAGCATGCCTCACTTAATTATTTAGACGTTCGTGAATACCGAGTCAAGCACGCCCCCAAGAGCTTTAAGCTCAGCCTCAATATCCTCCTTCTTGCGCTGCAACTCTGCAAAGCTTAGATGCCCTGCATCGCCATTAGTGACAGAGGCAGTTGTTTCCCCGGAGGGTACAGTTGGTGCGTGTAAATTTTCCATTTTGGAAGGTTAACCAAGAGGAGTAGAGTGCAATACTGAGAGATCCTGCGTTGGAAAATAAGAGTTGGTGAATTGTGCCAATGTAAGTTGTGATCTTTCTTCTACTAGAGGTAGATGGGTAGGCTCCGATGGGTGACGTGCCTTACCCTGACGGAGTTGGAGCTGGACACAGCTTCAGGGCTCTTCAGTGCAGTCACCCAAACACATTCCACTAAAGGCCTTGTACCACAGAAGACTGCCAGAGCTGGAGAGCTCCAGCGCTCGCATTGCCCGAGTCGTATGTGGTCCGTGCACACAGCATTTGTCACTGTGTCGCGGCTCGAACAGCCTACCGCTGGCGACGTCACTTTTCATCCTTAGCAACTTTTTCTTAACGCGTCTCTTAAATCCACGACAGCAGATTGCCATTGCAAAGCAACCATCATGGCTACCGGTGTAGATGCGCGACTCATGAAGTCGACCAAGTTTCCTGCCGAGTTTAGCCAGAAGGTTGACATGCAAAAGGTCAATCTACAAGTCATGAAGAAGTGAGTCTTCTGATCGCGAGCTCCGTGGTAGCGTTTGCTGACAAGCCTCGTTAGATGGATTGCTAGTAAGATCTCTGACATCCTGGGGAACGAAGACGATGTAGTGATCGAGCTTGTTTTCAACCTCATCGAGGGCCCGCGATACGTACGTTTACCCCGATTCCGAACCGCTCATGATGAATACTGACAGCTTGCCGATAGCCGGACATCAAGTCACTCCAAATACAACTTACAGGTTTTCTCGACAAGGATACGGCACCATTCTGCAAAGATCTATGGAAACTACTGCTGAGTGCTCAAAGTAGCCCACAAGGCGTTCCCAAAGAGCTACTCGAAGCCAAGAAGCTGGAGCTCATGCAGGAAAAGGTAAGTCGTTGCGCAATATCTTTATACTTGTTATGTTTCTAACATATGCTGTATTTAGATCGAGGCAGACCGAGCCGCTGAGACTGCTAAACAACGACGAGATGATTGGGACCGCCGCGATCGCGAAGTCGCTGACATGAAAGATCGTGACCGCCGAGACCGGGCAGCTACTCGTGGGGACACATGGCAAGGACGGCGAGGAGACCGTGATTTCGATAACCGAGGTCGAGGAGGAGGCTTCAGGAGGGGTGGTCGCAGATCACGATCACCAGGCCCACGCTTTCGAGATTCCAGAGACTCGTACGGTCGTGACAGTTACGTTCCTAAAGGCAGGCGAGGAGGTGGCCGGGCCGACCATGGCCGTCGAAAGTCACCAGCGCGGTCTCGCTCAGCATCAGCATCATCTCGGTCAAGCTCTCGGAGTCGCAGTGCGTCACGCAGCTCTAATCAATCGGACCGACGACCCAAGGCCACCTCTCCAGGGGGAAGAGGAGACAGAAGGAAGCGGTCGCGTTCTCCAAAGGGAGACTCGTACCGGGGTCGTGCCAACAGACGCCGAGATAGGGGTCGCTTGAGTCGTCCATCCCGATCTGTATCGTCAGGTCGGGACTCTCCTGCAGCAAAACGCCGACGATACTCACCTTCAAGGAGTCGCTCGGTGTCCCGCCGAAGGAGGTCCACGAGAAGTGTCTCTTCGTCACGATCTGACTCTCGCAGCAGGAGTCGCAGTTACAGCCGTAGCCGAAGTCGCAGTCCCTCGAGCAGTGCATCCCCAGACCGTAAATCCAAGAGAGGCCCAAACCGTGGGAGGGGCGGACAACGATCTTCAAAGAGGAGAGAGTCGCCTGCAGGCCGACGGAGGAACAGTTCTTCGGCTTCTTCACAATCCAGGATTCGAGACAAGTCAGCTGATGTTTCTGAAGATGAATCTCGTGCCCCGCCGACCAAGCCCGAGGCAGAGGTGGCCACCGAATAAAGTATTCGAGGTCAGTTTTGGTTACACGTCTGCTAGGATGAGAGGACATTGGCGCTGACTTGCTTTTATTTTTGAAGAACCAAACTTATACTCACTTTATGCCGTTCTTGTACCATGAAGAAGGATGAGAAGATCAAGATTATCTTGTTTTTTTTTTTTGGGAAGCCGAAGCTAACGATTCCTCAAAGCCCTCCCTTCTGGTGTTGCTACTACGACAACTTTGTAATCACGCTACTTGCTATCCGCGGCGTTGGAAATCGGGAAATTGAATAAATAAAAGCATCGTAGGTTGTATATAGAGTAATAAAAGAATAAACTCTGGCTATACAAGGCATTCGTGTGCTTAACCTTGCCTCTCCAGCTAAACACTCCGAGATGAGAAGTACTTCTCATAATGCGGTATTTTGAGCTCCTTCCTTCGTAACTAATTCTCTATAGATGTATGAGTACTCTTTGATAGTTCCTCATGTAGAATATAATCTCCATCTGTCCCTCCACGAGTCCACAGCGTTCAAAGAGAAGGTGGCGCTATACTGCATCTGCTCTTCTTATCCCGGCTAATAATGCGGAATAGAGATAACAGCATGCACTTGCATCAGACACGTATGTACAAAGTGGACAGGCAGGCAAGGCAAGGTAGAGCAATCCGCATCTGCTTTTTTCATATCTACTCAGTTCGTAGAGGAGGGGATTATACGGGCATTAAAAACAAGAGAGAGAAGAAGCATGAGCATTCATATATGTGCATAAACAGAACAATTGGGGCAGCATAATTCAACCTTGGTAGGTGGCTTAGAGTAACAACCTTTCATCACAATTATCTGCGCCGCCTGTGCTATACCCCTCCCAAACATGATGCCAGTCTCCAGAGAGGAACTGACATTGGTATGACTCGATGAGTAGTCTCTCGAAGTATTCGAGCTCATAGCCCTTACAGTACGGCGATAAAGGCAGTTCTTTGAATCTTTCGTGTTTATGGGCTATCTCTGATGAAGTTGTTTTGGGTGGTGGTGCTCGCGACCTGAGGAAGGAGGATGGTGTCAACCTTGCTTAGCAGTCTACAGTCTACAGTTGGTCGGAAGGTTAGGTAGTAGGCACCTAGGTACTAGCATTTTCACAGCTCAGAAGAATACACCCAAACATCGTTTGGTCCTTTTCCAAAGCCAGGATATCGTAGCAGTTCCCGGCGCACTATCACAACTCCGGTCGCATAACTACCATGCAATTCATCACCATTAATCCTAGCGTAATCAGTCGCCTCTAGACTTTCTTTTGGAGCTTCCTGCGGTTTCATTTGCGACAAGTTATCATGTCACTGCTGTACATATTGTTGTATGAGGGTAAACCATAAAGCGGTTAGCACGCTACTACACCAAGAGCACTCGCCTTCTCCATTGTAAATCAGTTGAGTTCCTGCAGGAGGACCCAAGTGGGTGACGACGGGGCGGTTGAAGTCGTCAAATGTTAAGCTGAAAAGGGTATTAGAACACCTCGAATATCTAGAGCAATATTGCATTTTAGATTTAAGCCAAATATTAGACCCTCATTCGTTCGCGGGACATCATCGAATCCAAGTACAGGCTTTGGAAGATGTCAACATCACGATTGGCATTCCCGCAGGCATGGCGGAAGCTTACACCTTGGCTTCAAGCAATAAATAAAAAAGGTTTAATATAACCAGGTTCATTGCATCAAACAGGATCATATTCGCAACGCAACAAATAATCGCAAATAGGAAAATTGCCATATATTAAACAGGGTTCGAATTGAAGCACTGTCGGTAATTATTCGCTCCCGTTCCTATTCCCACTCGACCAAATGGCGTTCTCAAGTAGTCAGCCAAGCTAAGTACCTCGCGTCCAACGCGACCAGGGAGGTAATCGGTATGCACAACGAAAAGGTACATCATCAGGACAGCACATCTATGCCATTAACACAATAATACACATTGTAACCCAAGGTAAAAATGGAAATCAGAAGCATATCATAATGCGCAGAACATATATATTTAACTAATAAAAAAAAAAAAAGACAT